AAAGGAGCGTGCCGACCAGCGGTTGTCAGCGTTCAGGATGATCTGTTATAGGTCGTATGATTACGGCAATGTGTATTGCATTGTGTCGTGAGCTACACGAGGCAATAGTGAGATACGGGTTTGACCAAACCAAAGTTCAAATCCTTTGCTTTTGCTAAACGTAACTCCAAACATTATTTTCGCTAAACGCTAAAAACACTTTTTGCTATTGACTGATTTATTTCTTCTAGCGTAAAGTTGCTAAACGATTTGATAGGCACATAACATGAATAATCAATTAGGCGCCTTTGAAGTAGGTAGCGTCCTAGATGATGTACTCTTATGTCCATGGAACATAATATAAATACCTACCTACTTCACAGTCACGTCTCTACAGGAGCCTTGTCTAGACCGGTTCATAAGTGATCAGGCTTGGGACGTGTGCCAGCCGGCGGCAATACGCCGGCACGTGACCGGAATTCTGGCGCACCAAATCTGCCATCAGACGTCGCCGACTAAATCGAAACGACAGTGATTAGGTAATACCGCCGGAGATTAGGTTTCTCTGCGCCGTTTAGCATTTATGATGGATTGTGAAACGGCGCTCAAAGTGCCGATCTTATGTAACGTAACTCTAAGATTTCAAGTCGCGTAAAGTCATACAACACACCTATAAAAGGCGTCGTTTTGAAACATCCCTTTCAGTTTTCGCGTATCTCATTTATTGAGATAGCTACGTATCTTATGCGTATTTTCCGCATATGGGGGATCGTTTTTAGCTCCGGGCGCCATTAAAATGTGAATGGCGAGTACAACGCTTAGCTCGGTGATACCGATAACATTTTACCACGTGCAGTTGCGATAATCTCACAAGGCAGGCGATTTATAACTCCCGAAATCCTTGCCGAAATTATTGCTCTCGGTCGTTCGTTGCTCGTTGCTCGTTGGGCTCAAGATTACTACAACATAGTTGGGCTGTTCGGGCTGTTCACCGTTTGCGTATATTTAGAGTCTTGACCTTTGGGAGCCCAAGGGTCCAGGGCCCGTCGGGACACTTTACTGCAACTTTAACTTATTTTGATCTGTTCTCACTTACGTTCTAGCTCACAATACGTGGTCTTTTGAGATAGACGAGTCTGTGTAAAGCTTGCAATCTGTCTCACATATCAGCTAACTTTCTGAAAGCTGAGGTATCCACTCCTGAATACTCTCAGGATAGTCAGAAGAACGAAAGCGTCCATCGAGTTTTCTTCTCTCCGCCTCCAGCCACCGCCCTCAGGATGCCGCTTCAGAAGGGCGAGGCGGTGGAGCCGGGCCGCGTCGAGCCGCCGTTCCAATGGGAGACGCACATCCCGCACACGGTGGCGCTGATGCTGAACGCCACGGAGGAGGACCTTGTGCTCAAATCCTGTCAGTCGCTCTACAAGTTCGCGCACGAGGCCGAGGTGAACCAGCAGCTGCTGCTGCAGTACGATATCCTGCGCCTCCTTCTCGACCACCTGGGTCACTCCAACCGCAGCGTGCGTCGCATGGCCGCGATGACGCTCTGCCAGCTGGCCGGGAACGCCACCGTACAGACGTCCTTCCTCGCCGACGGCGGCGCCGGGGGACTGACGCGCCTCATCGAGAGGCTGGTCGCCGACGACGACCCTGTGGTTGACGAGTTCGTCAGCGGAGCGCTCTTCAGGGTGGCGTCGCAGCCGGTCGGTCAGGCGGCGCTGCTCGTCGGGGAAGCTGTACCCGCGCTCACCCACCGCTGACTTCATCAGATCCGGACGTGCTGAAGAAACTGTCTGGACACCCTGCTGGCTGTGCTCCAGGACTTTCAGGCGGTACCTGTGTTCGTGGACAGCTCTGGGATAGAGCGCGCGCTGGCGCTGGTGCGAGTTGAACCCCCGGTGCTTGTGGACCTTGCCCTGGAGGCACTGCGGAAGGCTATGTACACCGAGCAGGGGCGTAGACGGCTGAGGGAGATTGGAGGACTTGAGGACCTGCTGACTCTGCTTGAAGAAGACACACAAGAAGCGCACGCGGCGAGGATTGTGGCGGTCCTCGAGCACGCCACACTCGATCCAAAGAGCGTCCGCTCTATGCACCGGAACGGAGGTCTCCTACTGATGGTGCAGACTGCCAGAAACAGCAGCGACCCTCAGGTTCTGGCACAATGCGGGGAAGTTCTCGGTCACCTCGGCAGTGATCGGCCGTGTGCACTGTCCATGCGCGAGCTCGGCGCAGAGGCGGTAATCGTCGGCTCTCTGCTCAGCTCCACGCAGCCGGCGGCGCAGCGCGGCGGTGCGCGAGCGCTGGCAGCGTTCGCCCTGCTGCCGGAGGCGCAGGAGGAGATGGTGAACCGCGGCGCCGTGCCGATCCTGCTCAACATGATCGGCGTGCAGGAGACAATCGGTCCGGCGGCTGCTGCACCTCGCCGCCATCACCAGAGGACATGAGAACGCGTGTCGCCAGGCCGCCGAAGGCCTGGCGAAGATCGTGGACCGCCTGAGTGGTGATTGTGACGAGACGGCGGCGCACGCTGCGACCGCACTGGCCAATATGGCCGGCCAGGAGTCGGTGCGGCCAATGGTGGCCACCAGTCGCGCGTGTGACCGCCTACTGGCCTGTCTGGGCTCCGGCAGCGCACCTCTGCTCGTCGCCGTCTGCGAGGCCCTCGGAGTGATCAGCATGAGCCTGCGCGCGCGCCACGCGCTGGTCGAACACCACAGCGTCAACCTGATCCTGAACCTGCTGAAGAGCGACTACCCCGCCGTGCGCAGCGCCGCTGTCGAGGCCCTGCAGATGCAGTCAGCCGACCCGGCGGCAGCAGAGCAGCTCTGTGCCGACCCGGACGCGATCGCAGCGCTCCGCCGACTGCGTGCCACCTCAGCTCTGAAGGTGATCCTGCAGGTGAACATATCAGCGCTCTACAGCCAGTTCGGTCGGCTCACGGCCTACCATCGGCTGACGGACGGATTCTTCGACGTGGGCCGCGGCGAGGACGGCGACGTCTTACCTGATCTGATCACTGAGTTAGAAAGACCACCTTGTCCGGGCCGGTTCGTGTTTCTGCTCAACTCTGGAGTATGTCCCGCCCGCGTTGATGCTGCCGGTGATGACGCCGCTACGAAAGCCGCGCAGCAGTCGCCGCCGCGTCGCTCGCCGCGCCGGACCGACCGGGGCGCGCGCGGCACATCTCCCGTCTCTGAACGTCCCCCGGCGCGGCCGGTGCCGCCCGAGGACCCCCGGCTGGCCGCCTACGTGTCTTACGTCCGCCAAACGGTAGCACCTCTCGACTGTGAGCTCCAGCAGGCGGCCGAGCTGGCACAGTTCGTGGCGGACCGTATGGGCGGCACGGTGAGCCGAGACCAGCTGCCGACCTGGTCAGCGGAGCGGCAGCTCTCCGAACTGCGGCGTCAGAGGGCCAGCAACGTGCTGCCCGTTGGAGAGGTGAGCCGTGGGGGTCTGCGCTGCCGCGCGCTCCTCTTCAAGTTCCTCGCCGATCAGATTAACGTCCCGTGCACCCTCACCAGAGGCAGCTTCGGCAAGTACTGGAACAGTGTGTTTGTCACGGACCGGAGTCGCGGCGCGCCGGCCGGGGCGTACGCGGAGAAGGTGGTCGATCTGATCCACCAGCCCGGGACGCTGATGACGGTGGGGACCGGTGACGCCGTCAGCTACACGACCGGCTTCTGAGATCGGAGCAGACCGCTGATAGCGTGTAAAGATACCAAACCAGTAGATATTGCAGTTGATGACGTTAAGACACCCATGCATATGGTTGCGTTTTGTGCCGTGAATATTCGCCACTGCTGATAGCAAAATAAATCTGCTCGGAATAGGGATATTGGATACAAACACATGAAGACGGTACATCAATGGTGAGGACGTTACCACATATTCTGGGAGCTCACAAATAAATGCGCACCTGATACATCACGATCCGGCACATTGAGGCGGAATACCGGGTGTAGTAATGGTAGAACATTAATGTTGGATGTATATGATAAAGCTCATATAGGGAACACAAGAATTAATGCAAAATCAATCAATCAATCAATCAACCTTTTTGAAAAAATCCGCAAGAGACGCTTATGATTTTTATTCATGCGATATTTCGATAAAAGATAAAAAGAACGGCCAAAAGTAGATAGACAGACGTTGCAAGTCAAAAATACGTACAAGGTAAGACGATTGACGAATACAGCTTTCAAAGCCAACAAATGAATGTCACTGCCCACTGGTTTGGCTTGAGAAAGTATGCACGCCGCACGGTTACATGAGATCTCCTTGATCGTGACGGCACTCACTTATGTAATCCATCGACATTCACATTAATCCTATATTCATAATTACCAGAAATGGGAAAAAAGATGGGGTATTTAACAGCCACATATTTGGATATGAATGATGCATGTGTACACCCGTCACTCCCCTTTATATGTATTACAGGGAGTTTGAGAAATCCGTGACTTTGCAAACTCCCTAGGTGGTTTGAAAATTCCCTGACCCGTCAGTGAGTTTGCAAACTCACTAGGGAGTTCGCAAACTCACTAGGGAGTTCGCAAACTCACTAACCGTTCAGGGAGTTTGAGAAATAAAACAAAGGCGGCTATAAGTTGTAGGGCCTATATAACCTACGCACGCTGACAAATAGCCCACAGATCATATACACACCATACTTTTGATTTTAAACTGTTTAGTGACTCGGCCCATGCATGTACCGCCGCTTCATTTAGCCATACATTTATTTAGCTCACGGCCCAATTATATCCGTTCCACACAAGTGTAGCTATTCAAAGTCACTGCTCAATATATCAAAGTAGAAACAGCTCAGTTGGTCATTTATGCTAAAGTATAGGCACAAGTGTGGAGCACTTGTGTAGAACGGATTTTAATTGGGACGTGAACTAAATAAATGCATGGATGAATGAAGCGGCGGCACATGTTTGGGCTGGATCACTGAACAGTTTAAAATCAAAGTAGGTATTTATGGTGTGCATATGGTCTGTAAGCTTTTTGTCAGCGGGCGACGGTTCAATAGGCCCTACAACTAGCCGCCTTTGTTCTAACATCACGGACGGCACGTATGCTACCCATATGCTACATATGTACTTGTTTTTATTTGTCCCAATCGCTCTGGAATTTCTCAAACTCCCTGACCGGACTCACTGATGGGTCAGGGAGTTTGCAAACTTCCTAGGGAGTTTGCACACTCACTGATTTCTCAAACTCGGGCTGTAACATATACACTGATGCGAGGCAAGTGATATCTACTATCCCCCGTCATCTAGCATGGAATAATAGTCACAGGTGTGTGGGAAGATTGATGCATTTAATGCCAGTCAAACGAAAACACATTCACACATTTATGTCGAAACCATCAGCCATAGAATAGGTAACATGAAAGATTCATGTTATCTATGCATCAGCCCATGCCCTGATATCGCTATCACAGTTCGGTACCACACTCTTGAGTATTCATTGGTGCCTGGAATTGAACATTTGGTTAGCCGCTTCAGCCCACTAAGGTGTCATTTTTTATAACTATTTTCAACTTTGGGATTTGCGATAGAAGCACCGATGCCCTGATCTGCACGGAGGTTCAGCAGACTACGGAAAAACTCGCTGGGTTTTCTGAAAGGCGTCGGCTCCTCGTTCCCCAGTGTAGCAGTACCCGGCGGTCGCGAGCTGCCGGATACCGAATCACAGCCCGCTCCATCTACGATCCGTTCCCGCAGCCCGGTCTTTGCGCAGATGTCGCCCCGGTCACTGTTCGCGATCAAGTTACCGACCTCCGCACCGCTGGCTTCAGCGCGTTTCACACTGTCTACCAGAGGCAGCCCACTTGCCTCATATGGTCTCACACCGTCTACCTGAGGAAGCTCACTTGCCTCATCTTGTCTCACATTGTCTGTCTGAGGGAAGGCACTTGCTTCATCTCGTCTCACACTATCATCCCGAGGCATTCGCTCGCCCTGAGCGCCACCCCGCCCACACATTCGACGCATCAGCAGTGACCGATACCTTCGACAGCGCACAGTCGGCTCCTCACCGGTCTCTGTCGTCAGCGCCGCTACCTCAGCAGGCTCCAGGCCAGCCTCTGAGGTCAACAGAGACGTCAGCGACGCCGCGTCGAATCCGACGAACGGACAGCCGCCGCAGCTGGAGACGCTCTGTCCGCAGCGCTCCTGGGGGTAGGAAGGAGTGTAAGAGAGCGAGCGGATGAAACCTCAGTAGATGGCGGACGGACTCCGTGGCTGTACCGACTACATGGACCAGTAGCCGATCAGTCACAGCATGGTATCATCAGATCCAGACCAGAACACCAGAGTGATGGCCCATCTTGTACTGTGCATCGTTATTCACAGTTGCATTGGCAAATTATGCCCGTAAACGAGTACAAAATTAAAATGCATATCATACTAGCGGTCCTATGTTGAAGAAGAGGTTACGCTCTAACTCTGTGCTAAGTATCGATACACATTATTCATCCCACGATATATTGTAAAACTGAGGCACCAGCTAATTGCCGCAGTGATCCCACCGCGTGCCCTACCCACCTGTAGTCTGCGACAGGAGTGGCTCTCGAACGCGACACGACGCCCTTCCAGACCGTACATATGTCGGAGACTGTACAGGTACCGCTTCTGGCAGCGGGACCAGCTGTGTGAGCAGGTCGCACCGTGTCCGGCCGGCTGGCAGTACTCACGCTCCCAGAACCTGAGGAAGCAGAGCGGTCAAATGTACCGGATTGGGCCAAATGTCGTATCAGAGCCTGAACACATATGACAGTTTTCAAACAGGTGGCTTGGAAACGTTTCTTTATAATACATATAGATAGCGACGTAGTTTGCATTCTTTATAAATCTTATCGAACGGAGTTCGACACCAGCAATTCCTTAAATATTTTCAGACAATGACCAGTGAAATGACGAGATAAACTCGCTCGTCTAGCCAGCAGCCTGACCCAGCAGGGCTGCTCACCTGACATTGTCCTCCAGCGACAGCCCAACGTCCTTCAGGAAGGCACTGAGCGCCACCCGGTCCTGATGCGGCAGCCGATGGCGGCGACGGAGCTCCGCACGCAGCGCCAGCATACAGGGCGGCAACAGCGGCGCGGCGGCCTCCAGAGCGGCCAGCGACAGCGGCGCGGCCGGTCCCGACCCCTCCACCACCCCCAGACGGGAGGTGAGCCGGCTCAGCAGCGGCAGCAGTCGCTGGTCGACCACCGGACGCACCTGCCGCTGGCCCACGCGCAGCGCCGCCTCCTGGAGACAGGAGAGCACCGCCGGCGTGTGGCGACACAGCAGCAGCGCGTACCCGTCCGACAGCGTCACCGAGCGGGAGGCGACCAGAGGCGCCACCAGAGCGAACGGCACTGCGGAGACGGCGCGCACTGTCAGGGCAGGACAACGGTTTGGAAACGCTGTGAACGACTCAATCGGTAATTTATTTCCAAATGCTGCATTAGATAAAAGCAATGTATTCCAATATTAGTTTTAAGACTTACTGACCAAAGAATTAGGAGATACTGCATCGTACCATTGCAATCCCCAGAAACATACTGTTAGGCATAAGCCCCTCCCCCCACTCCCCATTCAATTACCTCTAACGACAGGCTCCTCGCAGGTCTCCAGTTGGGACCGACTGGGTGCCGTCCCCTCCGTCTCCACTCCGTGCTCAGCCAGATGTCTGTCCGCTGCAGCCGTCACCGACACCAGGGAATCCAGCAGACGGCGAGTGTCACCGGGAGGCAGCGGGCCGCGCAGCCGGTCAGCGCGAGCCGCGGTCCGGCACAGGGTGTAGCGGAGCTCGGCTAACGACATCAGCCGGAGCCGGTAGTGCAGCAGTCGGCGCTCAGCAGCCTCCACCATGGTGCACAGTGGGGGCGATTGTAGACTCAGCAGCCTGGTGGAATACTGGCGAGTGAGAGAGCGGGAGCAGGAGTGGAAGTGGGGGAGGGGAGGGGGATGGTGGAGAGAGCGAGAGAGCGAGAGAGCGAGAGAGCGAGAGAGCGAGAGAGAGAGAGAGAGAGAGAGAGAGAGAGAGAGAGAGAGAGAGAGAGAGAGAGAGAGAGAGAGAGAGAGAGAGAGAGAGAGACAGAGAGACAGAGAGACAGAGAGACAGAGAGACAGAGAGACAGAGAGACAGAGAGACAGAGAGACAGAGAGACAGAGAGACAGAGAGACAGAGAGACAGAGAGACAGAGAGACAGAGAGACAGAGAGAGAGAGAGAGAGAGAGAGAGAGAGAGAGAGAGAGAGAGAGAGAGAGAGAGAGAGAGAGAGAGAGAGAGAGAGAGAGAGGGGGGGGGATTGAGAATGTTTATAAAAGCAAATAGCAAGATGCAATAGACTGGGTAATATATGCAGATCACATCAATTATTTTCTTTTAGGAGGCAAGTAGGCGTATTTTTAAATTTGGTACCTACCTGCAGTTCAAGACTAGAATAATGAAATTCCATCAGTAATCAGTAATTTGAAGAAAATGTCTACATTGACATGAAAATACCAAACAATTTGTCAACATTATTCACTCAAGCATAAAATCTTAAAATTATTGTTCTGTCTTAATATTGAGATAATGGAACATTTAGGAAAAAAGCCCATGATCTGCAAACCTACCTGAGCGTGAAGAAGCTCAGTTTGTCACTCGGGTTGTGCTCCATCAAACAGTCTGAGTTTTGAACAAAGAAATTTATTGATGTGGCTTCTAGGAACTCTTCTAAACTATTTACATTCATCAGGTATTTTAGATATTCAAATCTAACCACGCATAGTCTCTCAATTGTAGTTAAGCTAACAGAGCCAGTGGGAGGAGTGAGATAAATAACCATCCTACCACCTGCCACATTTGACACAAGATCATGACAGGAGAAAACAATAAGCACAGGGCGGTATTCGCTAAATCACAAGAAAACTTGATGCTGTAAAATCTTGCTCTCACATAAAATAAAATGATTATTAGCGCCACCCGCCGCCAACGGTATATATCGGTCGGTATATTATCTGTCGAACGTCTGTCAAACTAGCAGCGAGCAGCGAGCAGCGAGTCCAGCAGCGAGAAACGGGCCATCCCGATTTAGCTGAAATTTGGCTCACAGAGCCTTCTCAGCACGCTGATTCCGAAAATCATGGTCTCTAGGGTGGAAATATTGACCGTTCTCGAGATAGAACCCTCTAAAGTTCTAACCATCCATGACCGGGCCACCCCAATTTGGCTGAAAATTGGCTCACAGAGCCTTCTCAGCACGCTGATTCCGAAAATCATGGTCTCTAGGGTGGAAATATTGACCGTTCTCGAGATAGAACCCTCTAAAGTTCTTACCATCTATGACCGGGCCAACCCGATTTGGCTGAAAATTGGCTCACAGAGCCTTCTCAGCACGCTGATTCCGAAAATCATGGTCTCTAGGGTGGAAATATTGACCGTTCTCGAGATAGAACCCTCTAAAGTTCTAACCATCCATGACCGGGCCATCCCGATTTGGCTGAAAATTGGCTCACAGAGCCTTCTCAGCACGCTGATTCCGAAAATCATGGTCTCTAGGGTGGAAATATTGACCGTTCTCGAGATAGAACCCTCTAAAGTTCTTACCATCCATGACCGGGCCATCCCGATTTGGCTGAAAATTGGCTCACAGAGCCTTCTCAGCACGCTGATTCCGAAAATCATGGTGTCTAGGGTGGAAATATTGACCGTTCTCGAGATAGAACCCTCTAAAGTTCTTACCACCCATGACCGGGCCATCCTGATTTGGCTGAAAATTGGCTCACAGAGCCTTCTCAGCACGCTGATTCCGAAAATCATGGACTCTAGGGTGGAAATATTGACCGTTCTGGAGATAGAACCCTCTAAAGTTCTTACCACCCATGACCGGGCCATCCCGATTTGGCTGAAAATTGGCTCACAGAGCCTTCTCAGCACGCTTATTCCGAAAATCATGGTCTCTAGGGTGGAAATATTGACCGTTCTCGAGATAGAACCCTCATAGCGAGTCCAGCAGCGAGAAACGGGCCATCCCGATTTTGCTGAAATTTGGCTCACAGAGCCTTCTCAGCACGCTGATTCCGAAAATCATGGTCTCTAGGGTGGAAATCTTGACCGTTCTCGAGATAGAACCCTCTAAAGTTCTTACCACCCATGACCGGGCCATCCCGATTTTGCTTAAAATTGGCTCACAGAGCCTTCTCAGCACGCTGACTCCGAAAATCATGGTTTCTAGGGTGGAAATATTGACCGTTCTCGAGATAGAACCCTCTAAAGTTCTTACCACCCATGACCGGGCCATCCCGATTTGGCTGAAAATTGGCTCACAGAGCCTTCTCAGCACGGTGACTCCAAAAATCATGGTCTCAAGGGTGGAAATCTTGACCGTTCTCGAGATAGAACCCTCTAAATTTCTTACCATCCATGACCGGGCCATCCCGATTTTGCTTAAAATTGGCTCACAGAGCCTTCTCAGCACGCTGATTCCGAAAATCATGGTCTCTAGGGTGGAAATCTTGACCGTTCTCGAGATAGAACCCTCTTAAGTTCTTACGACCCATGACTGGGCCATCCCGATTTTGCTTAAAATTGGCTCACAGAGCCTTCTCAGCACGTTGATTCCGAAAATCATGGTTTCTAGGGTGGAAATATTGACCGTTCTCGAGATAGAACCCACTAAAGTTCTTACCACCCATGACCGGGCCATCCCGATTTGGCTGAAAATTGGCTCACAGAGCCTTCTCAGCACGCTGATTCCGAAAATCATGGTCTCTAGGGTGGAAATATTGACCGTTCTCGAGATAGAACCCTCTAAAGTTCTTACCATCCATGACCGGGCCATCGCGATTTCCACCCTTGAGACCATGATTTTCGGAATCACCGTGCTGAGAAGGCTCTGTGAGCCAATTTTCAGCCAAATCGGGATGGCCCGGTCATGGGTGGTAAGAACTTTAGAGGGTTCTATCTCGAGAACGGTCAAGATTTCTACCCTAGAGACCATGATTTTCGGAATCAGCGTGCTGAGAAGGCTCTGTGAGCCAAATTTCAGCTAAATCGGGATGGCCCGTTTCTCGCTGCTGGACTCGCTGCGAGGGTTCTATCTCGAGAACGGTCAATATTTCCACCCTAGAGACCATGATTTTCGGAATCAGCGTGCTGAGAAGGCTCTGTGAGCCAATTTTAAGCCAAATCGGGATGGCCCGGTCTTGGGTGGTAAGAACTTTAGAGGGTTCTATCTCGAGAACGGTCAAGATTTCCACCTTAGAGACCATGATTTTCGGAATCAGCGTGCTGAGAAGGTTCCGTGAGCCAAATTTCAGCCAAATCGGGATGGCCCGGTCATGGGTGGTAAGAACTTTAGAGGGTTCTATCTCGAGAACGGTCAAGATTTTCACCCTTGAGACCATGATTTTCTGAATCACCGTGCTGAGAAGGCTCTGTGAGCCAATTTTCAGCCAAATCGGGATGGCCCGGTCATGGGTGGTAAGAACTTTAGAGGGTTCTATCTCGAGAACGGTCAATATTTCCACCCTAGAGACCATGATTTTCGGAATCAGCGTGCTGAGAAGGCTTTGTGAGCCAATTTTCAGCCAAATCGGGATGGCCCGGTCATGGATCGTAAGAACTTTAGAGGGTTCTATCTCGAGAACGGTCAATATTTCCACCCTAGAGACCATGATTTTCGGAATCAGCGTGCTGAGAAGGCTCTGTGAGGCTGAGCCAATTTTCAGCCAAATCGGGATGGCCCGGTCATGGGTGGTAAGAACTTTAGAGGGTTCTATCTCGAGAACGGTCAATATTTCCACCCTAGAGACCATGATTTACGGAATCAGCGTGCTGAGAAGGCTCTGTGAGCCAATTTTCAGCCAAATCGGGATGGCCCGGTCATGGATGGTTAGAACTTTAGAGGGTTCTATCTCGAGAACGGTCAATATTTCCACCCTAGAGACCATGATTTTCGGAATCAGCGTGCTGAGAAGGCTCTGTGAGCCAATTTTCAGCCAAATCGGGATGGCCTGTTCATGGGTGGTAAGAACTTTAGAGGGTTCTATCTCGAGAACGGTCAATATTTCCACCCTAGAGACCATGATTTTCGGAATCAGCGTGCTGAGAAGGCTCTGTGATCCAATTTTCAGCCAAATCGGGATGGCCCGGTCATGGATGGTTAGAACTTTAGAGGGTTCTATCTCGAGAACGGTCAATATTTCCACCCTAGAGACCATGATTTTCGGAATCAGCGTGCTGAGAAGGCTCCGTGAGCCAAATTTCAGCCAAATCGGGATGGCCCGGTCATGGGTGGTAAGAACTTTAGAGGGTTCTATCTCGAGAACGGTCAAGATTTCCACCCTTGAGACCATGATTTTCTGAATCACCGTGCTGAGAAGGCTCTGTGAGCCAATTTTCAGCCAAATCGGGATGGCCCGGTCATGGGTGGTAAGAACTTTAGAGGGTTCTATCTCGAGAACGGTCAATATTTCCACCCTAGAGACCATGATTTTCGGAATCAGCGTGCTGAGAAGGCTCTGTGAGCCAATTTTCAGCCAAATCGGGATGGCCCGGTCATGGATGGTAAGAACTTTAGAGGGTTCTATCTCGAGAACGGTCAACATTTCCACCCTAGAGACCATGATTTTCGGAATCAGCGTGCTGAGAAGGCTCTGTGAGCCAATTTTCAGCCAAATCGGGATGGCCCGGTCATGGGTGTTAAGAACTTTAGAGGGTTCTATCTCGAGAACGGTCAATATTTCCACCCTAGAGACCATGATTTTCGGAATCAGGGTGCTGAGAAGGCTCTGTGATCCAATTTTCAGCCAAATCGGGATGGCCCGGTCATGGATGGTAAGAACTTTAGAGGGTTCTATCTCGAGAACGGTCAATATTTCCACCCTAGAGACCATGATTTTCGGAATCAGCGTGCTGAGAAGGCTCTGTGAGCCAATTTTCAGCCAAATCGGGATGGCCCGGTCATGGGTGGTAAGAACTTTAGAGGGTTCTATCTCGAGAACGGTCAATATTTCCACCCCAGAGACCATGATTTTCGGAATCAGCGTGCTGAGAAGGCTCTGTGAGCCAATTTTCAGCCAAATCGGGATGGCCCGGTCATGGATGGTTAGAACTTTAGAGGGTTCTATCTCGAGAACGGTCAATATTTCCACCCTAGAGACCATGATTTTCGGAATCAGCGTTCTGAGAAGGCTCTGTGAGCCAAATTTCAGCTAAATCGGGATGGCCCGTTTCTCGCTGCTGGACTCGCTGCTCGCTGCTCGCTGCTAGTTTGACAGACGTATCTGTCGAAAACTATTTTGAAACAATCGCGTCATATACGCAATCGTTAATAGTTTCCCCTTGGGTGAAACGAAACTTTAGGGTATTTTGTAAAAGTAACGTAAATTCAATTGAAAAAATTTCATTACGTATTTTGTGTTTGATTCTACACTTCAATAAGAAAACAAACTTTCAATCATTTTTATTTGAAGCTTTCCAAGAAGACTGTTTTGGACACATTTATAACGCGGCAGTTGCAAAATATTCTCTGAATTTGTGCGAGATATAGAGAAAAGCATGGACTTTGATGTTATGAATGCCTGCTGCCTGCTATTGCTTTTTTCAGAATTAATATAAATGTTAAGTATCCTAATAAAAAATTCACTAAGATATTCAAGGAAGTCCATAATGAACTTTTGTGATGCACCAATCGTGGTGGTCCTTGGAGCCACCGGAGCAGGGAAGTCCAAACTAGCTATTGAAATCGCTGAAGAATTTGATGGTGAAATTATCAGTGCTGATTCCATGCAGGTAAGAAATAACACCAATTAATTATAACTTAGTTTCTTAACAATAAGATACTGGGTGTACGTGCAGTTCTTTTTCACTCTGCACATTGTGTGTGCTTGTCACAACCCATTGGCCATTGGACTGTTCACAAGGCAAATGTTTTGCTTTTCTTGGAGCCTGGGGCTGCCACTCTCTTTGTATTGACCCAGCCTGCCAGTCTATTGCACTAGCTCCATAGGCACATGCGTGTATTTGCCAAGGTCCTGTCTCAATGTGTTAGCCGTTGCTGTTTTGGTGCATTATATGATGTCAGGCTGTTTCAGTGGGACAGGTTGGACCCTGTTAAGCATAGTTTCATTCCTGCTGTGACAGATCTGTAACTTTTCCCATTCCAGGTGTATAAGGGTTTAGACATTATTTCCAACAAGGTTACACCAGAAGAACAAGAGCAAGTTCCTCACCATATGATTTATATTGTTGAGCCAACAACAAACTACTCTGTTGTCAAGTTCAGGGATACAGCTTTGTCAATTGTATCCTTTTAAGCATGACCTGCATTTTATTGCCTGTTACCTGCTACTACTTTGCAACTGGAAATGTGTAGTTTTATGTAAAAAAGAATCATAAGTTAATTAGGTGTTTTTGAGCAATGTTAAATAAGAATACTGGTTCAGATTTTGACCTGTGTCAACTTAATGATAAGCTTAAACACTTCCCCTTTGAGTTTAGCTAATCTCTCACTAATAATCTGTCATTTTGCAAGGTGCCACATGAAATAACTATGTGTAGGTATTCAAAACTTTTCCAGGCCGTTTTCTTTTCACACTACAATAGATAAAGGTATGATTTGTGTAAATCAGCCCACTGGATCCTCTAAATAGCTGTGTGATGGATGGTAGGCATCAAAGTTGGGCAACTATCAGGTAATTTTTTATTTATGAGCTTGATTTTTCTCATCATTTCATCTCCCACACCAGCCAGCGGTTAAGCTCCTTAACGTGACGAGTATGTCAGATCGAGGACCTTCGCGGCCGTCAAAAGCTGCCTGTCATCGTCGGCGGTACCAACTACTACATCGAGGCGGTGCTGTGGAAGATACTGGTGGCCGACCGCGCCTCCGAGGGCTCCAACAGGGACGAGGATGGCGGCACGGCTGATCAGGATCGGTCGGAGGGTAGTGAAAACGGCCTGGGGCGCACGGTGGATGGAACAAAGAGCACAGCTGACCGCTCGGAAAACACGGCTGGCCGACCGGAGCGCACGGCTGACGCCTGCTTTACGACTACCTGTATTTCTTGGGTTTGCACAAACATTTTATGTTGAATAATTTGATGAGTCTGTCCAATGTGTTAAATCAGAATTGAGTCATGAGTTGATTCAAATTATTTAACAGAACCCTTGAGTCATGAGTTGAATCGAATCGTTAAACTGAAAATATGCTTGAATCATGAGTCGAATTGATTCATATATTTCTTGTCATGTTTGAGTCAAGAGTTGAATCGAATCATTTCAATTAAAGTTTTTGGAATCATGAGTCGAGTCGATTCAGTTTTAGGAAACTCTCTTCTGAATCGACTCACCAAAAATTTGAGTCGTATACAACCCTGGTAACCACTAACCATCAACAGCACCACTTTAACCCGCGCCGGGCCGGGGGGGGGGTGTTTGAACACCCCCCCCCCTTGCGGTTTTTCGCAGATATCTCAAAAACGGCGGCGCGGAGCGCCGCCGTTTTTGGCACACCTGTTTGTGCATCTTTTCCGCACATGTTGTGAAAATTTCAGACCCAGGTCACCTTAGGTCAGGTCACCAGGTCACGCCAAGTGACCTCACCTCAGAAAAAATAAGAATGCTCGTCATAGCTACACCGACTGAACAATTGCCTTGAAACTTTCAGCGATTGATTAGAGCAACACTATCTATAAAATGTTTATCTCGGAATTTTGATATCGGTGACCTAAGGTCAGGTCAATTTTGCGGCCTCTCCATTATAAGTCAATGGGAGAAAATTGAAAAGCGCCTGTTTTGCACGAACGCTATTCTAGACACTCTCAAACGTCGAGATGTAGGTAAAATAGACACACTGAACCAGAAAATGGCAACTGTGACCCCTCGTTATGTCCCCGAGGTCATCTCAGGTCACGAACAGAATCTAACAGTTTTTCGATGATAACTTCTGATAGAGGCGTGCTAGAGCGCTGAAAACGCCTTAGATGTGTTCGGCTCGACGTTGCGGATCGACTGATATGCAACATGACCTTTTCCGGTCAGGTCATGACCTTGACCTGAGGTCAAATTTTCAAGTTGACCTTTCAAGGTCAAATTATAGTTCATTCGACGCGTCTCGACGAGAGGAACACGATGCTGGCAAAAGTAATGTCATAGCTCTTTTGAGTCAAAAGTTATTGCCGAAAAAACGTTTTTCGTAAAAACGGCTATTTTTGGAGTTTTTGCCCTCTGGAGGCTAAACCGTTGACCTGAGGTCAAATCTGATAACATTACTCAGAAAGGTCTGTAAAAGGGCTATCGAATGCGCTTTTTTGCGGCGCTGTAGCTCTATTGGTTCCCGAGATAGCCGTTGGCAGTTTCCAAAATGTTGAAATAGTCAACATTTTACCTTTGGTGACCTCTGGTGACCTGACCTTTGACCTGACCAAAAAAATGACCGAAGTGTTTTCGTCCTTATTTTTGACGTTCTTTCGATTGCCGCTTACCGCGTGTCGCTACGTGGCCCAGGAGCCGAGTTAGAAGGGGGGTGTTCAAACACCCCCCCGCGGCCCGGCGCGGAATTTCAGAGCACCGGCCCGGCGCGGGTTAAGATTCCGATCTTCTGTTCTTCACAGTTCACTTATTGCACCCAGACATAGCCTTTCAACACTATGCAATGCGACAACGCCCTCCCATCTGTTACGACCGGAGACACGAGCGTGGGGAGACGCCCACGCCCGGTGACCTGTTACAAACACATGAGACGGTGGAACTGGTGAGAAGTAAGGACAAACAAGTGCACCACGCCTGTGCCGAGTTTGTCCATTGCGCCTGCAGATAAAGCCGAGAGACGCCCATGGTAACGGCCGGGTCACGTTTTGATTCAACGCAATGTGGTGTTTGAGCTACCGACTTTTTTAGATGAATTGGCCATGAATACGAGTGCACTTTCTTATTAAATTGAAAATGCGATAGGTATCTGATACGAGTAGGTATACATTTTGTGAAGGGTTGAAAGCGAAACATTTTGCGCCATTTATTCCATAAGCCAGTTGTAATTTATAATAGAAAATACCTCTTATCTCTAAATATATAATAGACAAAAGAGCTATATAAAGCTCATCGACAAACTGAAGGTAACTTTCTGTCTTTGAAAACATCTATTAATTAACGCTGAAGCCATCATTCATTCCGAATCACTCCCTCTAATTTCCTGCAGCCTTTGCTCCGCTACATTTAGTACGGCACAAACAGGGCACGCTAATTTGTGTGCTTACTAGCGACACATTGGCCGTATAAATGAGCACCATTTGCCAAAATATGAGGTGAACATCAAAGTCTGCTGGCTATATGAGACTGGCTTGTAATATGGTTGAACAAGGTAAACATATATTTTGAGCTCAATCCATGCAAGAGAAGGGGTAATAAAGATCGATAAAATAAGGTATGAGCACAAAACGAGATTGAAGTTGGGAAAGATATGATTGTTTTCTATGTCAAGTTCGAACCAACGTCAACTGCAGCATCCGGGTTTCAGCAACAGGACGCCATTAGCCGTGTCATGACACAGGACCAGCCGAACAATGCAGAGTAGCATAGCGATGACATATCTGATAAAGCCGCACACGAGCCGGACACCCTCAGACCGTTTGATGTTCACCGTCCACCACTCGCCGCCGGCAAGGTCTGATCATCATAACCGGCGCCACAACCGGGTGAGAACAGCTCACATTCAATAGCTGCACCGCTCGCCGCCCTCCGCGCCGGGGCGGAGACGGCTCCGGCTCACTGGTTTACGAGAGTGGAGAACACGACTCAGTTATCTCTCGGTCAGTTATGACCCTTTGGAGTGTTCGTGTGCGGACAGCTTGTTAGTCCAGGGCGCCTGAGGAGGGAAAATCGGCCCATGGCCGGCGCGGGCGGATGGGGGCTGTATTAGGTCGAACGGCTGTATCGTGAGGGATGGTTTACGAGAATTGGTTACTTGATGGATGGAAAGGAGCGTGCCGACCAGCGGTTGTCAGCGTTCAGGATGATCTGTTATAGGTCGTATGATTACGGCAATGTGTATTGCATTGTGTCGTGAGCTACACGAGGCAATAGTGAGATACGGGTTTGACCAAACCAAAGTTCAAATCCTTTGCTTTTGCTAAACGTAACTCCAAACATTATTTTTCGCTAAACGCTAAAAAGACACTTTTTGCTATTGACTGATTTATTTCTTCTAGCGTAAAGTTGCTAAACGATTTGATAGGCACATAACATGAATAATCAATTAGGCGCCTTTGAAGTAGGTAGCGTCCTAGATGATGTACTCTTATGTCCATGGAACATAATATAAATATACCTACCTACTTCACAGTCACGTCTCTACAGGAGCCTTGTCTAGACCGGTTCATAAGTGATCAGGCTTGGGACGTGTGCCAGCCGGCGGCAAATACGCCGGCACGTGACCGGAATTCTGGCGCACCAAATCTGCCATCAGACGTCGCCGACTAAATCGAAACGACAGTGATTAGGTAATACCGCCGGAGATTAGGTTTCTGCGCCGTTTAGCATTTATGATGGATTGTGAAACGGCGCTCAAAGTGCCGATCTTATGTAACGTAACTCTAAGATTTCAAGTCGCGTAAAGTCATACAACACACCTATAAAAGGCGTCGTTTTGAAACATCCCTTTCAGTTTTCGCGTATCTCATTTATTGAGATAGCTACGTATCTTATGCGTATTTTCCGCATATGGGGGATCGTTTTTAGCTCCGGGGCGCCATTAAAATGTGAATGGCGAGTACAACGCTTAGCTCGGTGATACCGATAACATTTTACCACGTGCAGTTGCGATAATCTCACAAGGCAGGCGATTTATAACTCCCGAAATCCTTGCCGAAATTATTGCTCTCGGTCGTTCGTTGCTCGTTGCTCGTTGGGCTCAAGATTACTACAACATAGTTGGGCTGTTCGGGCTGTTCACCGTTTGCGTATATTTAGAGTCTTGACCTTTTGGGAGCCCAAGGGTCCAGGGCCCGTCGGGACACTTTACTGCAACTTTAACTTATTTTGATCTGTTCTCACTTACGTTCTAGCTCACAATACGTGGTCTTTTGAGATAGACGAGTCTGTGTAAAGCTTGCAATCTGTCTCACATATCAGCTAACTTTCTGAAAGCTGAGGTATCCACTCCTGGAATACTCTCAGGATAGTCAGAAGAACGAAAGCGTCCATCGAGTTTTCTTCTCTCCGCCTCCAGCCACCGCCCTCAGGATGCCGCTTCAGAAGGGCGAGGCGGTGGAGCCGGGCCGCGTCGAGCCGCCGTTCCAATGGGAGACGCACATCCCGCACACGGTGGCGCTGATGCTGAACGCCACGGAGGAGGACCTTGTGCTCAAATCCTGTCAGTCGCTCTACAAGTTCGCGCACGAGGCCGAGGTGAACCAGCAGCTGCTGCTGCAGTACGATATCCTGCGCCTCCTTCTCGACCACCTGGGTCACTCCAACCGCAGCGTGCGTCGCATGGCCGCGATGACGCTCTGCCAGCTGGCCGGGAACGCCACCGTACAGACGTCCTTCCTCGCCGACGGCGGCGCCGGGGGACTGACGCGCCTCATCGAGAGGCTGGTCGCCGACGACGACCCTGTGGTTGACGAGTTCGTCAGCGGAGCGCTCTTCAGGGTGGCGTCGCAGCCGGTCGGTCAGGCGGCGCTGCTCGTCGGGGAAGCTGTACCCGCGCTCACCCACCGGCTGACTTCATCAGATCCGGACGTGCTGAAGAACTGTCTGGACACCCTGCTGGCTGTGCTCCAGGACTTTCAGGCGGTACCTGTGTTCGTGGACAGCTCTGGGATAGAGCGCGCGCTGGCGCTGGTGCGAGTTGAACCCCCGGTGCTTGTGGACCTTGCCCTGGAGGCACTGCGGAAGGCTATGTACACCGAGCAGGGGCGTAGACGGCTGAGGGAGATTGGAGGACTTGAGGACCTGCTGACTCTGCTTGAAGAAGACACACAAGAAGCGCACGCGGCGAGGATTGTGGCGGTCCTCGAGCACGCCACACTCGATCCAAAGAGCGTCCGCTCTATGCACCGGAACGGAGGTCTCCTACTGATGGTGCAGACTGCCAGAAACAGCAGCGACCCTCAGGTTCTGGCACAATGCGGGGAAGTTCTCGGTCACCTCGGCAGTGATCGGCCGTGTGCACTGTCCATGCGCGAGCTCGGCGCAGAGGCGGTAATCGTCGGCTCTCTGCTCAGCTCCACGCAGCCGGCGGCGCAGCGCGGCGGTGCGCGAGCGCTGGCAGCGTTCGCCCTGCTGCCGGAGGCGCAGGAGGAGATGGTGAACCGCGGCGCCGTGCCGATCCTGCTCAACATGATCGGCGTGCAGGAGACAATCGGTCCGGCGGCTGCTGCACTCGCCGCCATCACCAGAGGACATGAGAACGCGTGTCGCCAGGCCGCCGAAGGCCTGGCGAAGATCGTGGACCGCCTGAGTGGTGATTGTGACGAGACGGCGGCGCACGCTGCGACCGCACTGGCCAATATGGCCGGCCAGGAGTCGGTGCGGCCAATGGTGGCCACCAGTCGCGCGTGTGACCGCCTACTGGCCTGTCTGGGCTCCGGCAGCGCACCTCTGCTCGTCGCCGTCTGCGAGGCCCTCGGAGTGATCAGCATGAGCCTGCGCGCGCGCCACGCGCTGGTCGAACACCACAGCGTCAACCTGATCCTGAACCTGCTGAAGAGCGACTACCCCGCCGTGCGCAGCGCCGCTGTCGAGGCCCTGCAGATGCAGTCAGCCGACCCGGCGGCAGCAGAGCAGCTCTGTGCCGACCCGGACGCGATCGCAGCGCTCCGCCGACTGCGTGCCACCTCAGCTCTGAAGGTGATCCTGCAGGTGAACATATCAGCGCTCTACAGCCAGTTCGGTCGGCTCACGGCCTACCATCGGCTGACGGACGGATTCTTCGACGTGGGCCGCGGCGAGGACGGCGACGTCTTACCTGATCTGATCACTGAGTTAGAAAGACCACCTTGTCCGGGCCGGTTCGTGTTTCTGCTCAACTCTGGAGTATGTCCCGCCCGCGTTGATGCTGCCGGTGATGACGCCGCTACGAAAGCCGCGCAGCAGTCGCCGCCGCGTCGCTCGCCGCGCCGGACCGACCGGGGCGCGCGCGGCACATCTCCCGTCTCTGAACGTCCCCCGGCGCGGCCGGTGCCGCCCGAGGACCCCCGGCTGGCCGCCTACGTGTCTTACGTCCGCCAAACGGTAGCACCTCTCGACTGTGAGCTCCAGCAGGCGGCCGAGCTGGCACAGTTCGTGGCGGACCGTATGGGCGGCACGGTGAGCCGAGACCAGCTGCCGACCTGGTCAGCGGAGCGGCAGCTCTCCGAACTGCGGCGTCAGAGGGCCAGCAACGTGCTGCCCGTTGGAGAGGTGAGCCGTGGGGGTCTGCGCTGCCGCGCGCTCCTCTTCAAGTTCCTCGCCGATCAGATTAACGTCCCGTGCACCCTCACCAGAGGCAGCTTCGGCAAGTACTGGAACAGTGTGTTTGTCACGGACCGGAGTCGCGGCGCGCCGGCCGGGGCGTACGCGGAGAAGGTGGTCGATCTGATCCACCAGCCCGGGACGCTGATGACGGTGGGGACCGGTGACGCCGTCAGCTACACGACCGGCTTCTGAGATCGGAGCAGACCGCTGATAGCGTGTAAAGATACCAAACCAGTAGATATTGCAGTTGATGACGTTAAGACACCCATGCATATGGTTGCGTTTTGTGCCGTGAATATTCGCCACTGCTGATAGCAAAATAAATCTGCTCGGAATAGGGATATTGGATACAAACACATGAAGACGGTACATCAATGGTGAGGACGTTACCACATATTCTGGGAGCTCACAAATAAATGCGCACCTGATACATCACGATCCGGCACATTGAGGCGGAATACCGGGTGTAGTAATGGTAGAACATTAATGTTGGATGTATATGATAAAGCTCATATAGGGAACACAAGAATTAATGCAAAATCAATCAATCAATCAATCAACCTTTTTGAAAAAATCCGCAAGAGACGCTTATGATTTTTATTCATGCGATATTTCGATAAAAGATAAAAAGAACGGCCAAAAGTAGATAGACAGACGTTGCAAGTCAAAAATACGTACAAGGTAAGACGATTGACGAATACAGCTTTCAAAGCCAACAAATGAATGTCACTGCCCACTGGTTTGGCTTGAGAAAGTATGCACGCCGCACGGTTACATGAGATCTCCTTGATCGTGACGGCACTCACTTATGTAATCCATCGACATTCACATTAATCCTATATTCATAATTACCAGAAATGGGAAAAAAGATGGGGTATTTAACAGCCACATATTTGGATATGAATGATGCATGTGTACACCCGTCACTCCCCTTTATATGTATTACAGGGAGTTTGAGAAATCCGTGACTTTGCAAACTCCCTAGGTGGTTTGAAAATTCCCTGACCCGTCAGTGAGTTTGCAAACTCACTAGGGAGTTCGCAAACTCACTAGGGAGTTCGCAAACTCACTAACCGTTCAGGGAGTTTGAGAAATAAAACAAAGGCGGCTATAAGTTGTAGGGCCTATATAACCTACGCACGCTGACAAATAGCCCACAGATCATATACACACCATACTTTTGATTTTAAACTGTTTAGTGACTCGGCCCATGCATGTACCGCCGCTTCATTTAGCCATACATTTATTTAGCTCACGGCCCAATTATATCCGTTCCACACAAGTGTAGCTATTCAAAGTCACTGCTCAATATATCAAAGTAGAAACAGCTCAGTTGGTCATTTATGCTAAAGTATAGGCACAAGTGTGGAGCACTTGTGTAGAACGGATTTTAATTGGGACGTGAACTAAATAAATGCATGGATGAATGAAGCGGCGGCACATGTTTGGGCTGGATCACTGAACAGTTTAAAATCAAAGTAGGTATTTATGGTGTGCATATGGTCTGTAAGCTTTTTGTCAGCGGGCGACGGTTCAATAGGCCCTACAACTAGCCGCCTTTGTTCTAACATCACGGACGGCACGTATGCTACCCATATGCTACATATGTACTTGTTTTTATTTGTCCCAATCGCTCTGGAATTTCTCAAACTCCCTGACCGGACTCACTGATGGGTCAGGGAGTTTGCAAACTTCCTAGGGAGTTTGCACACTCACTGATTTCTCAAACTCGGGCTGTAACATATACACTGATGCGAGGCAAGTGATATCTACTATCCCCCGTCATCTAGCATGGAATAATAGTCACAGGTGTGTGGGAAGATTGATGCATTTAATGCCAGTCAAACGAAAACACATTCACACATTTATGTCGAAACCATCAGCCATAGAATAGGTAACATGAAAGATTCATGTTATCTATGCATCAGCCCATGCCCTGATATCGCTATCACAGTTCGGTACCACACTCTTGAGTATTCATTGGTGCCTGGAATTGAACATTTGGTTAGCCGCTTCAGCCCACTAAGGTGTCATTTTTTATAACTATTTTCAACTTTGGGATTTGCGATAGAAGCACCGATGCCCTGATCTGCACGGAGGTTCAGCAGACTACGGAAAAACTCGCTGGGTTTTCTGAAAGGCGTCGGCTCCTCGTTCCCCAGTGTAGCAGTACCCGGCGGTCGCGAGCTGCCGGATACCGAATCACAGCCCGCTCCATCTACGATCCGTTCCCGCAGCCCGGTCTTTGCGCAGATGTCGCCCCGGTCACTGTTCGCGATCAAGTTACCGACCTCCGCACCGCTGGCTTCAGCGCGTTTCACACTGTCTACCAGAGGCAGCCCACTTGCCTCATATGGTCTCACACCGTCTACCTGAGGAAGCTCACTTGCCTCATCTTGTCTCACATTGTCTGTCTGAGGGAAGGCACTTGCTTCATCTCGTCTCACACTATCATCCCGAGGCATTCGCTCGCCCTGAGCGCCACCCCGCCCACACATTCGACGCATCAGCAGTGACCGATACCTTCGACAGCGCACAGTCGGCTCCTCACCGGTCTCTGTCGTCAGCGCCGCTACCTCAGCAGGCTCCAGGCCAGCCTCTGAGGTCAACAGAGACGTCAGCGACGCCGCGTCGAATCCGACGAACGGACAGCCGCCGCAGCTGGAGACGCTCTGTCCGCAGCGCTCCTGGGGGTAGGAAGGAGTGTAAGAGAGCGAGCGGATGAAACCTCAGTAGATGGCGGACGGACTCCGTGGCTGTACCGACTACATGGACCAGTAGCCGATCAGTCACAGCATGGTATCATCAGATCCAGACCAGAACACCAGAGTGATGGCCCATCTTGTACTGTGCATCGTTATTCACAGTTGCATTGGCAAATTATGCCCGTAAACGAGTACAAAATTAAAATGCATATCATACTAGCGGTCCTATGTTGAAGAAGAGGTTACGCTCTAACTCTGTGCTAAGTATCGATACACATTATTCATCCCACGATATATTGTAAAACTGAGGCACCAGCTAATTGCCGCAGTGATCCCACCGCGTGCCCTACCCACCTGTAGTCTGCGACAGGAGTGGCTCTCGAACGCGACACGACGCCCTTCCAGACCGTACATATGTCGGAGACTGTACAGGTACCGCTTCTGGCAGCGGGACCAGCTGTGTGAGCAGGTCGCACCGTGTCCGGCCGGCTGGCAGTACTCACGCTCCCAGAACCTGAGGAAGCAGAGCGGTCAAATGTACCGGATTGGGCCAAATGTCGTATCAGAGCCTGAACACATATGACAGTTTTCAAACAGGTGGCTTGGAAACGTTTCTTTATAATACATATAGATAGCGACGTAGTTTGCATTCTTTATAAATCTTATCGAACGGAGTTCGACACCAGCAATTCCTTAAATATTTTCAGACAATGACCAGTGAAATGACGAGATAAACTCGCTCGTCTAGCCAGCAGCCTGACCCAGCAGGGCTGCTCACCTGACATTGTCCTCCAGCGACAGCCCAACGTCCTTCAGGAAGGCACTGAGCGCCACCCGGTCCTGATGCGGCAGCCGATGGCGGCGACGGAGCTCCGCACGCAGCGCCAGCATACAGGGCGGCAACAGCGGCGCGGCGGCCTCCAGAGCGGCCAGCGACAGCGGCGCGGCCGGTCCCGACCCCTCCACCACCCCCAGACGGGAGGTGAGCCGGCTCAGCAGCGGCAGCAGTCGCTGGTCGACCACCGGACGCACCTGCCGCTGGCCCACGCGCAGCGCCGCCTCCTGGAGACAGGAGAGCACCGCCGGCGTGTGGCGACACAGCAGCAGCGCGTACCCGTCCGACAGCGTCACCGAGCGGGAGGCGACCAGAGGCGCCACCAGAGCGAACGGCACTGCGGAGACGGCGCGCACTGTCAGGGCAGGACAACGGTTTGGAAACGCTGTGAACGACTCAATCGGTAATTTATTTCCAAATGCTGCATTAGATAAAAGCAATGTATTCCAATATTAGTTTTAAGACTTACTGACCAAAGAATTAGGAGATACTGCATCGTACCATTGCAATCCCCAGAAACATACTGTTAGGCATAAGCCCCTCCCCCCACTCCCCATTCAATTACCTCTAACGACAGGCTCCTCGCAGGTCTCCAGTTGGGACCGACTGGGTGCCGTCCCCTCCGTCTCCACTCCGTGCTCAGCCAGATGTCTGTCCGCTGCAGCCGTCACCGACACCAGGGAATCCAGCAGACGGCGAGTGTCACCGGGAGGCAGCGGGCCGCGCAGCCGGTCAGCGCGAGCCGCGGTCCGGCACAGGGTGTAGCGGAGCTCGGCTAACGACATCAGCCGGAGCCGGTAGTGCAGCAGTCGGCGCTCAGCAGCCTCCACCATGGTGCACAGTGGGGGCGATTGTAGACTCAGCAGCCTGGTGGAATACTGGCGAGTGAGAGAGCGGGAGCAGGAGTGGAAGTGGGGGAGGGGAGGGGGATGGTGGAGAGAGCGAGAGAGCGAGAGAGCGAGAGAGCGAGAGAGCGAGAGAGAGAGAGAGAGAGAGAGAGAGAGAGAGAGAGAGAGAGAGAGAGAGAGAGAGAGAGAGAGAGAGAGAGAGAGAGAGACAGAGAGACAGAGAGACAGAGAGACAGAGAGACAGAGAGACAGAGAGACAGAGAGACAGAGAGACAGAGAGACAGAGAGACAGAGAGACAGAGAGACAGAGAGACAGAGAGACAGAGAGACAGAGAGACAGAGAGAGAGAGAGAGAGAGAGAGAGAGAGAGAGAGAGAGAGAGAGAGAGAGAGAGAGAGAGAGAGAGAGAGAGAGAGAGGGGGGGGGATTGAGAATGTTTATAAAAGCAAATAGCAAGATGCAATAGACTGGGTAATATATGCAGATCACATCAATTATTTTCTTTTAGGAGGCAAGTAGGCGTATTTTTAAATTTGGTACCTACCTGCAGTTCAAGACTAGAATAATGAAATTCCATCAGTAATCAGTAATTTGAAGAAAATGTCTACATTGACATGAAAATACCAAACAATTTGTCAACATTATTCACTCAAGCATAAAATCTTAAAATTATTGTTCTGTCTTAATATTGAGATAATGGAACATTTAGGAAAAAAGCCCATGATCTGCAAACCTACCTGAGCGTGAAGAAGCTCAGTTTGTCACTCGGGTTGTGCTCCATCAAACAGTCTGAGTTTTGAACAAAGAAATTTATTGATGTGGCTTCTAGGAACTCTTCTAAACTATTTACATTCATCAGGTATTTTAGATATTCAAATCTAACCACGCATAGTCTCTCAATTGTAGTTAAGCTAACAGAGCCAGTGGGAGGAGTGAGATAAATAACCATCCTACCACCTGCCACATTTGACACAAGATCATGACAGGAGAAAACAATAAGCACAGGGCGGTATTCGCTAAATCACAAGAAAACTTGATGCTGTAAAATCTTGCTCTCACATAAAATAAAATGATTATTAGCGCCACCCGCCGCCAACGGTATATATCGGTCGGTATATTATCTGTCGAACGTCTGTCAAACTAGCAGCGAGCAGCGAGCAGCGAGTCCAGCAGCGAGAAACGGGCCATCCCGATTTAGCTGAAATTTGGCTCACAGAGCCTTCTCAGCACGCTGATTCCGAAAATCATGGTCTCTAGGGTGGAAATATTGACCGTTCTCGAGATAGAACCCTCTAAAGTTCTAACCATCCATGACCGGGCCACCCCAATTTGGCTGAAAATTGGCTCACAGAGCCTTCTCAGCACGCTGATTCCGAAAATCATGGTCTCTAGGGTGGAAATATTGACCGTTCTCGAGATAGAACCCTCTAAAGTTCTTACCATCTATGACCGGGCCAACCCGATTTGGCTGAAAATTGGCTCACAGAGCCTTCTCAGCACGCTGATTCCGAAAATCATGGTCTCTAGGGTGGAAATATTGACCGTTCTCGAGATAGAACCCTCTAAAGTTCTAACCATCCATGACCGGGCCATCCCGATTTGGCTGAAAATTGGCTCACAGAGCCTTCTCAGCACGCTGATTCCGAAAATCATGGTCTCTAGGGTGGAAATATTGACCGTTCTCGAGATAGAACCCTCTAAAGTTCTTACCATCCATGACCGGGCCATCCCGATTTGGCTGAAAATTGGCTCACAGAGCCTTCTCAGCACGCTGATTCCGAAAATCATGGTGTCTAGGGTGGAAATATTGACCGTTCTCGAGATAGAACCCTCTAAAGTTCTTACCACCCATGACCGGGCCATCCTGATTTGGCTGAAAATTGGCTCACAGAGCCTTCTCAGCACGCTGATTCCGAAAATCATGGACTCTAGGGTGGAAATATTGACCGTTCTGGAGATAGAACCCTCTAAAGTTCTTACCACCCATGACCGGGCCATCCCGATTTGGCTGAAAATTGGCTCACAGAGCCTTCTCAGCACGCTTATTCCGAAAATCATGGTCTCTAGGGTGGAAATATTGACCGTTCTCGAGATAGAACCCTCATAGCGAGTCCAGCAGCGAGAAACGGGCCATCCCGATTTTGCTGAAATTTGGCTCACAGAGCCTTCTCAGCACGCTGATTCCGAAAATCATGGTCTCTAGGGTGGAAATCTTGACCGTTCTCGAGATAGAACCCTCTAAAGTTCTTACCACCCATGACCGGGCCATCCCGATTTTGCTTAAAATTGGCTCACAGAGCCTTCTCAGCACGCTGACTCCGAAAATCATGGTTTCTAGGGTGGAAATATTGACCGTTCTCGAGATAGAACCCTCTAAAGTTCTTACCACCCATGACCGGGCCATCCCGATTTGGCTGAAAATTGGCTCACAGAGCCTTCTCAGCACGGTGACTCCAAAAATCATGGTCTCAAGGGTGGAAATCTTGACCGTTCTCGAGATAGAACCCTCTAAATTTCTTACCATCCATGACCGGGCCATCCCGATTTTGCTTAAAATTGGCTCACAGAGCCTTCTCAGCACGCTGATTCCGAAAATCATGGTCTCTAGGGTGGAAATCTTGACCGTTCTCGAGATAGAACCCTCTTAAGTTCTTACGACCCATGACTGGGCCATCCCGATTTTGCTTAAAATTGGCTCACAGAGCCTTCTCAGCACGTTGATTCCGAAAATCATGGTTTCTAGGGTGGAAATATTGACCGTTCTCGAGATAGAACCCACTAAAGTTCTTACCACCCATGACCGGGCCATCCCGATTTGGCTGAAAATTGGCTCACAGAGCCTTCTCAGCACGCTGATTCCGAAAATCATGGTCTCTAGGGTGGAAATATTGACCGTTCTCGAGATAGAACCCTCTAAAGTTCTTACCATCCATGACCGGGCCATCGCGATTTCCACCCTTGAGACCATGATTTTCGGAATCACCGTGCTGAGAAGGCTCTGTGAGCCAATTTTCAGCCAAATCGGGATGGCCCGGTCATGGGTGGTAAGAACTTTAGAGGGTTCTATCTCGAGAACGGTCAAGATTTCTACCCTAGAGACCATGATTTTCGGAATCAGCGTGCTGAGAAGGCTCTGTGAGCCAAATTTCAGCTAAATCGGGATGGCCCGTTTCTCGCTGCTGGACTCGCTGCGAGGGTTCTATCTCGAGAACGGTCAATATTTCCACCCTAGAGACCATGATTTTCGGAATCAGCGTGCTGAGAAGGCTCTGTGAGCCAATTTTAAGCCAAATCGGGATGGCCCGGTCTTGGGTGGTAAGAACTTTAGAGGGTTCTATCTCGAGAACGGTCAAGATTTCCACCTTAGAGACCATGATTTTCGGAATCAGCGTGCTGAGAAGGTTCCGTGAGCCAAATTTCAGCCAAATCGGGATGGCCCGGTCATGGGTGGTAAGAACTTTAGAGGGTTCTATCTCGAGAACGGTCAAGATTTTCACCCTTGAGACCATGATTTTCTGAATCACCGTGCTGAGAAGGCTCTGTGAGCCAATTTTCAGCCAAATCGGGATGGCCCGGTCATGGGTGGTAAGAACTTTAGAGGGTTCTATCTCGAGAACGGTCAATATTTCCACCCTAGAGACCATGATTTTCGGAATCAGCGTGCTGAGAAGGCTTTGTGAGCCAATTTTCAGCCAAATCGGGATGGCCCGGTCATGGATCGTAAGAACTTTAGAGGGTTCTATCTCGAGAACGGTCAATATTTCCACCCTAGAGACCATGATTTTCGGAATCAGCGTGCTGAGAAGGCTCTGTGAGGCTGAGCCAATTTTCAGCCAAATCGGGATGGCCCGGTCATGGGTGGTAAGAACTTTAGAGGGTTCTATCTCGAGAACGGTCAATATTTCCACCCTAGAGACCATGATTTACGGAATCAGCGTGCTGAGAAGGCTCTGTGAGCCAATTTTCAGCCAAATCGGGATGGCCCGGTCATGGATGGTTAGAACTTTAGAGGGTTCTATCTCGAGAACGGTCAATATTTCCACCCTAGAGACCATGATTTTCGGAATCAGCGTGCTGAGAAGGCTCTGTGAGCCAATTTTCAGCCAAATCGGGATGGCCTGTTCATGGGTGGTAAGAACTTTAGAGGGTTCTATCTCGAGAACGGTCAATATTTCCACCCTAGAGACCATGATTTTCGGAATCAGCGTGCTGAGAAGGCTCTGTGATCCAATTTTCAGCCAAATCGGGATGGCCCGGTCATGGATGGTTAGAACTTTAGAGGGTTCTATCTCGAGAACGGTCAATATTTCCACCCTAGAGACCATGATTTTCGGAATCAGCGTGCTGAGAAGGCTCCGTGAGCCAAATTTCAGCCAAATCGGGATGGCCCGGTCATGGGTGGTAAGAACTTTAGAGGGTTCTATCTCGAGAACGGTCAAGATTTCCACCCTTGAGACCATGATTTTCTGAATCACCGTGCTGAGAAGGCTCTGTGAGCCAATTTTCAGCCAAATCGGGATGGCCCGGTCATGGGTGGTAAGAACTTTAGAGGGTTCTATCTCGAGAACGGTCAATATTTCCACCCTAGAGACCATGATTTTCGGAATCAGCGTGCTGAGAAGGCTCTGTGAGCCAATTTTCAGCCAAATCGGGATGGCCCGGTCATGGATGGTTAGAACTTTAGAGGGTTCTATCTCGAGAACGGTCAATATTTCCACCCTAGAGACCATGATTTTCGGAATCAGCGTACTGAGAAGGCTCCGTGAGCCGAATTTCAGCCAAATCGGGATGGCCAGGTCATGGGTGGTAAGAACTTTAGAGGGTTCTATCTCGAGAACGGTCAAGATTTCTACCCTTGAGACCATGATTTTCTGAATCACCGTGCTGAGAAGGCTCTGTGCGCCAATTTTCAGCCAAATCGGGATGGCCCGGTCATGGGTGGTAAGAACTTTAGAGAGTTCTATCTCGAGAACGGTCAATATTTCCACCCTAGAGACCATGATTTTCGGAATCAGCGTGCTGAGAAGGCTCTGTGAGCCAATTTTCAGCCAAATCGGGATGGCCCGGTCATGGATGGTAAGAACTTTAGAGGGTTCTATCTCGAGAACGGTCAATATTTCCACCCTAGAGACCATGATTTTCGGAATCAGCGTGCTGAGAAGGCTCTGTGAGCCAATTTTCAGCCAAATCGGGATGGCCCGGTCATGGGTGGTAAGAACTTTAGAGGGTTCTATCTCGAGAACGGTCAATATTTCCACCCTAGAGACCATGATTTTCGGAATCAGCGTGCTGAGAAGGCTCTGTGAGCCAATTTTCAGCCAAATCGGGATGGCCCGGTCATGGATGGTAAGAACTTTAGAGGGTTCTATCTCGAGAACGGTCAACATTTCCACCCTAGAGACCATGATTTTCGGAATCAGCGTGCTGAGAAGGCTCTGTGAGCCAATTTTCAGCCAAATCGGGATGGCCCGGTCATGGGTGTTAAGAACTTTAGAGGGTTCTATCTCGAGAACGGTCAATATTTCCACCCTAGAGACCATGATTTTCGGAATCAGGGTGCTGAGAAGGCTCTGTGATCCAATTTTCAGCCAAATCGGGATGGCCCGGTCATGGATGGTAAGAACTTTAGAGGGTTCTATCTCGAGAACGGTCAATATTTCCACCCTAGAGACCATGATTTTCGGAATCAGCGTGCTGAGAAGGCTCTGTGAGCCAATTTTCAGCCAAATCGGGATGGCCCGGTCATGGGTGGTAAGAACTTTAGAGGGTTCTATCTCGAGAACGGTCAATATTTCCACCCCAGAGACCATGATTTTCGGAATCAGCGTGCTGAGAAGGCTCTGTGAGCCAATTTTCAGCCAAATCGGGATGGCCCGGTCATGGATGGTTAGAACTTTAGAGGGTTCTATCTCGAGAACGGTCAATATTTCCACCCTAGAGACCATGATTTTCGGAATCAGCGTTCTGAGAAGGCTCTGTGAGCCAAATTTCAGCTAAATCGGGATGGCCCGTTTCTCGCTGCTGGACTCGCTGCTCGCTGCTCGCTGCTAGTTTGACAGACGTATCTGTCGAAAACTATTTTGAAACAATCGCGTCATATACGCAATCGTTAATAGTTTCCCCTTGGGTGAAACGAAACTTTAGGGTATTTTGTAAAAGTAACGTAAATTCAATTGAAAAAATTTCATTACGTATTTTGTGTTTGATTCTACACTTCAATAAGAAAACAAACTTTCAATCATTTTTATTTGAAGCTTTCCAAGAAGACTGTTTTGGACACATTTATAACGCGGCAGTTGCAAAATATTCTCTGAATTTGTGCGAGATATAGAGAAAAGCATGGACTTTGATGTTATGAATGCCTGCTGCCTGCTATTGCTTTTTTCAGAATTAATATAAATGTTAAGTATCCTAATAAAAAATTCACTAAGATATTCAAGGAAGTCCATAATGAACTTTTGTGATGCACCAATCGTGGTGGTCCTTGGAGCCACCGGAGCAGGGAAGTCCAAACTAGCTATTGAAATCGCTGAAGAATTTGATGGTGAAATTATCAGTGCTGATTCCATGCAGGTAAGAAATAACACCAATTAATTATAACTTAGTTTCTTAACAATAAGATACTGGGTGTACGTGCAGTTCTTTTTCACTCTGCACATTGTGTGTGCTTGTCACAACCCATTGGCCATTGGACTGTTCACAAGGCAAATGTTTTGCTTTTCTTGGAGCCTGGGGCTGCCACTCTCTTTGTATTGACCCAGCCTGCCAGTCTATTGCACTAGCTCCATAGGCACATGCGTGTATTTGCCAAGGTCCTGTCTCAATGTGTTAGCCGTTGCTGTTTTGGTGCATTATATGATGTCAGGCTGTTTCAGTGGGACAGGTTGGACCCTGTTAAGCATAGTTTCATTCCTGCTGTGACAGATCTGTAACTTTTCCCATTCCAGGTGTATAAGGGTTTAGACATTATTTCCAACAAGGTTACACCAGAAGAACAAGAGCAAGTTCCTCACCATATGATTGATATTGTTGAGCCAACAACAAACTACTCTGTTGTCAAGTTCAGGGATACAGCTTTGTCAATTGTATCCTTTTAAGCATGACCTGCATTTTATTGCCTGTTACCTGCTACTACTTTGCAACTGGAAATGTGTAGTTTTATGTAAAAAAGAATCATAAGTTAATTAGGTGTTTTTGAGCAATGTTAAATAAGAATACTGGTTCAGATTTTGACCTGTGTCAACTTAATGATAAGCTTAAACACTTCCCCTTTGAGTTTAGCTAATCTCTCACTAATAATCTGTCATTTTGCAAGGTGCCACATGAAATAACTATGTGTAGGTATTCAAAACTTTTCCAGGCCGTTTTCTTTTCACACTACAATAGATAAAGGTATGATTTGTGTAAATCAGCCCACTGGATCCTCTAAATAGCTGTGTGATGGATGGTAGGCATCAAAGTTGGGCAACTATCAGGTAATTTTTTATTTATGAGCTTGATTTTTCTCATCATTTCATCTCCCACACCAGCCAGCGGTTAAGCTCCTTAACGTGACGAGTATGTCAGATCGAGGACCTTCGCGGCCGTCAAAAGCTGCCTGTCATCGTCGGCGGTACCAACTACTACATCGAGGCGGTGCTGTGGAAGATACTGGTGGCCGACCGCGCCTCCGAGGGCTCCAACAGGGACGAGGATGGCGGCACGGCTGATCAGGATCGGTCGGAGGGTAGTGAAAACGGCCTGGGGCGCACGGTGGATGGAACAAAGAGCACAGCTGACCGCTCGGAAAACACGGCTGGCCGACCGGAGCGCACGGCTGACGGTCCAGAAAGCGTGACGGGAGGCACTGTGGCCAGTAAAGAGGGCGCTGAGGACGTGGCGGCGGATGGCGGGGCACGGAGCGGACGTGGCGACTGTGACCGCCGTCACCTGGAGCGTCTGTCCACAGAGGAGCTGTACGCTCAGCTCCGAGAGCGGGACCCTGTCCAGGCGCAGATATTGCACCCCAACGAGCGGCGCAAGATACTCAGGTGACTCTCTTTTTCCCTCCCTATTTTTCTCTCGCAAGTCTCCTTTTTCGCTCTCTTGTCTAGGTTTCAAATGAAAAAGAAAGAGAGAAAAGTCGAGTGGAGATTGACAACGTGTGTCGTATCGGCTGTATTGGCTGATTTGGACAGTAGCTTAGTTGTTTGTTTGCTGACATTTTAGCTATCTGCTTTTAATTGTTGTTCGACGGAGGTGTATTTGTTTGACTACCTAATGACGACGATTTTCTGGTACATCGTTTCGTTGATCAAAGCTGATGAGAGGTGGCCGTTTGCTGACACTGACCTCTGACTCCGCCAGGTCGCTGGAGGTGACCCTGCGCTCCGGTCGGCCGATGAGCGACCACCTGCGCCAGCAGCGGGCTGAGGCGGGCGGCGGCGCGCACGGCGGCCCGCTCCGGTTCCAGCGCGCCTGCCTGCTCTGGGTGACCGCCGACCAGGAGACCCTCGACCGGCGTCTGGACGCGCGAGTCGATACCATGATGGAGCGTGGTCTGCTGGATGAGCTGGCGGACTTCCACCGGCGGTATAACGCTGCCCGGCTGGCCGACGGCGTGGACGCTGACTACACTCACGGCATATTCCAGTCGATCGGCTTCAAGGAGTTTCACGGCTACCTGACGAGGCCCAAGGGAACCACCGCCGACGAAGCGAAGGCACTACTCGCGGAGGGCGTGGAACGGCTGAAGCTGGTGACTCGCAGGTACGCGCGCAAACAGACGCGCTGGGTTCGCCGCCGGTTCCTGAGCGCCGTCGGTCGTCAGGTGCCGCCGGTATACAGACTGGACGCCACCGATCCACGTCAGTGGGAGGAGGAGGTCCGCGCGCCGGCCGCTGCCGTGGTCCGTGACTGGTTGCAGGGGAAGACTCCGAATCTGGCGCCGGAGCCGGTCGTGCCGACCAACACGGGTGATAGAACCACGTACCACTGCGCGGTGTGTGACGTGTACACCTCCGGGGCGCAGCAGAGGGACGAACACCTGCGCTCGCGGCGTCACCATCGCGCTCTGCACAGCCTCAAACGCAGCCAGGCAGCTGAGGGTGGCGGAGACGCCAAACGCGCCGCGCTAGGCGGTGGTATGGAGGGGGAGGGGGTGGCGGAGGTGGGGAAGGGCGAGGAGTGTCAGACGCCGAAACAGGCGACGGTTGTAGCGGAACAGACGGCTGGGGAGGGTAAAGCGATAACAGCGGAACTCCCCACGGAGGAAGGGGAGGCGAAAGGCAGCGTGCAGGGAGCGGCATAAGTAGCGTGGCGTCGAGCTTGTTGACGTTATTCGGGTTGGTTTGTAAATTTTAGTGTGCTCCTTTTGGAATAAGAAACGAATTTAGGTGACAAAGTTGCATAATGTTGTCACCTAGTTGGTGATAATGTTATTGAGCGTTTTACTTGCGATTGTCTTTCATGCAGGAAGCATATAAGAGTGATAAAAAGTGGCTTTGTTGCTAAAAGTGTGCTAAGTTTTAGGTGAATACAATGTCTTCTCGTCGTAGCGTGTGAATGTTTTTAATCTCTATATTGATTGCAATTTTCGCACGTCATGCTCATGGTCACTTTTGACGACAACCGAATAAAAGGAGCAACTGATATACAATGCAAGGGCCGGCAAGAGCACTTGCCCTCCTAGCGTCCAACTCCAGACTGAAGAGGACGAATCGCTATAGGCGGTACGTAGAGCCGGATAGAAGCTGGCCAACGAAAAGCCCGATAAAGTGTGAGAAAAAATCGTCCATTGTGTATACTTACTCTTATGACTTTAAAAGATGAATAACGCATCCTTTGAAAGGGGTAACTTAAGTGTGGAAAGCTCGGTTGTACTATATCCTGGTGAATAATTTCTAAACCACCAGAATATACTGGGTGATTTATTATTTACTAGTGCTTTCCTGTGTTTTGCTTGAGACATTTACAGTGTGCATTAGGCAAACAGGGTGCTCTCAAAAAGTATCAACAGGAAGCGGATTGACCAAATATGGACATTATTCCCTGGTTGCTAGGATACTCGCTTCGCGCTTCGTACTTTTGTGCAAGTTGCTAGGCAACAAGTCTGACCTGACCTCACGTTCCTGTTATTGAACACAGCCTGACAGGCTCGAGGAGTCGATATCGTGCGGTTGAGGAAAGAGATCTCAATCAGCTTTATTTACATAAATGAGTCCGTTTAGGGGTTCAGCATCGCCTAAAATGTAAATTGATTCAGAATGTCACGAAACAGCGATGGTTTGCATCAGATCAAAGAAGCAATTAAAGCGCAGAATGTGTGTACAACGAAGCTATTGGTCCGTGACATTGGTCTTGCTGCCGAAGAAGGAAAGAAGGGAAAGGTAACTCCGATTCAGATTGGTAGTTTGCATTGAATATGCATAATGAATTTGCCTAAATGCTGCTAGGCAGCTGAGATGGAACATATTGTAATGCCTGTTTTGATAAATGTTGTTAACCCGGAACGTTTTTCGCCCACAGCCACAAGGATAGCATTTCCATAATAATGAGAGGCCAGTAGAACTGATGGGTGTCGGGTGATTAACTTGTCATACAAATTCCATTGCATTAAGCAGGAAAGAATAACTCATGCTTTTGACTCTGATCTATTCCTCACTCCTTACGTGTCTTTCCTGTCTTCAGGTTTGCGCAGGACTTCTCCAGACAGTCGCTGAGCACTGCTCGGACGAGGTTGGCTCAAAGCTGGTTCTGCTGCTGGTGACGTCTGCTGGAGCAGACGTTGCTGGCGGGGATGGTGAGGCAGCACTGCAGAGTGCCGTCAGCAGGTGCCTGCCGCACACAGTGCAGGCTCTGCTGCAATGTGGCGTGGAGCCACCAGAGGCCCTCTCAGAACAGGTGTGGTGATAGCAGGTAGAGTGGGGAAGGTGTATTACCTTACTACCTACGTTACTAACTTACTACCTTACTAACCTAAAATGCAATCAGCGAAAAAACAGGCTGGGCAGGCTGGGTCAATACAAAGAGAGTGGCAGTGGACATTGTCCCTGACAAGTGTGGGACCGATTCCCTTCTCATATCGTGGTACAGAGAACACACGTTCGAGGCTCCAGCTCAGCTGTCATTCGGAGGCGCGTCCCCCCACGAGTCATGGCCCGGCCGCCGACCCAAATATAGCCCTCGGTCGGTGGACCAGCCGGTATCCTGTAACCACCGCTGCTCTGCGCCGACACCGACGCTGACGAACTGTACTCATTTTGAATACACCTCTCTGATCTTCTACCGTGCCTCCGCGACACAAGTCCTCCCTCAGTGCCCTCCAGAGGTGACCGATGGGGTGACACTGTCCCACCTTTTTACTGTCTGTGACCACTGATAATTCCCCCTCTCTCAGTGTCCACTGGAGCTGGCCGATCTGGTGGAGCTCTTCCGCCCCGGGCTGTGGACGGCAGTGGCCGAGGAGCGGCTGGGAGACGTGCGTCGTCTGCTGAACCTCTGGTGTCGCGTCGACCTCCGCCGTAACGGTCGCACGCTGCGCCAACTGGCACTCGATACGGGAAATGAGTCAATTATATCGCTGATACTCAACATCGAGCCCACCATGGTCAGTTGGTGCTATGTTTTTATTTGGGTGGTGTGGGGGGGGGGGGAGCGCAGTGGGGAGGGTCTAGGCCCGAGGGGGCACGACCACATCATATTGCTGATGGTTGAAAGAGTTCCTTATCGATATCTAGCATGATTTTACAGTGTCTTGTGAATAATGTTTTACTGATGTCAATCGATTAATTGATCTAATAATATTCGCCGTTTACGTTCACAGAAATGCGCGTTTCTGGTCCTGGCGGGGGACGAGGACGGGCTGGCGGAACATTTAGCGTCACCTGCCGGCAAGAAGGTGAACCCAAACTTCCGGAAGCAGTCGGAGCGCGGCGCTCCGCTGCTGTACTTTGCCGCGGCGTCGGGAAGCGCGGCGAACTGTCGACTGTTGGTGGAGAGAGGAGCTTCCGTGGGCGTGCAGATGCGCGACACCGAGGGCGTGAGTGTGCTTCGTCTCCTATGATGGCGTGCGATGGGTCGCAGCCTCTGGATTATGCGTTTTGAGCAGCTTACCAGGCGTCCTGAGTGTTCCCGCTTCACTATTGATGCTTGGTATTTTGTGATACCGTGAGCCGTCCGTCGTTGTTTCGATCCTCAGGATACTGAAATCCTTCTCCTCCACGCCGCAACCCCCACTCCGGGCTGGACAGGCAACTTCATCTCTTGTGGGCTGCTCCCTTGGAGCGGCACCGCTGCTCCCGTGGGAGCACACCCGTTGCCGGGTGCAGTGAGTACCTTGGGGCTGGTCGGCCTGTCCTTCGGGACGGGTTCAGCCCCGGTGACTCACTTAGGGTGCCTACCCAGGCCAATGTCTCCCCCTAATTCCTATCGTCTTTCTGGCTCTGAAATGGTCTCATTGGACCGAAAGGGCCTAACGCAACAAAAAAGAAGAAGAAAAAATGCCGTGAGGCTCTATCTAACTTCTTCGATAAATTTGTTATGAACTCGTTGGTATAGTACAGAGGCAAACATCGGGAAGCTCAATTGTACCAATGGCTGGTGCTTTTGTACAGATTCTGGTAAGCTCCTAGTTGTGATATGCCAACAATTTGATTACGCACTTTTTCAGGCGGACCTGCCGCTGATTTTCGCCCTGCTCAACTCGTCTACCTCACCCGAGGTGATCCGCTGTGTGCTGCCACCTGGTGTTTGCGAGGACGGCTGTGATTCGCCGTCCGGCCGCCAGGGGCGCCAGCTGCTGCAGTCGGTGTGCTACCGCTGCCGCAATGTTCTGACACACTCCGTGGAGGCTGACCTGGCGCCTGAGGTGATCGCTACTCTTCTCCAGGCAGGTCAGTTGACTCACTTTGACTAGGAAGCCAATTGGATGGAGATTGACTGCATGCTCATTTCAGAAACGACATTGTCTGGATGGTTGACTTTCAGTTGAAGGCGACAGTTAGGTGATTATTGTGCTGGCTAAACAGTAAACACCTAACTTGCGTCAATATTTAGTAAAAATGCTCGCTGACGTAATTGTCACTTGACACCTTTGCCAGCAATTGATGTAACATTGCCACTCCGTCGTCTCCTCCGTCAGCTGGCCCGGAGCTGGTGTGTGAACGCGGCACGGACAACCTGTGCCTGGCTGAACGGCTGGTGGACCGTCCACCTCTACTCACGCTGCTCCGTGCCACCGTGCGCGCGTGGACCTGCGGTGGTGCGGCCCGCCACCACCTGGTGCCTCTGCTGGTCCGAGGGTGTGACTGGTTGGAGCCGCTGCTGGCCGGTGACGGGCGTCTAGTGGACGGACTTCGTTCGGACAGTGACAAGGCAGCTGGGGACGTGCAGGATGGACCACAGATGGCTGGGGCCGTGCAACAAGAACGACAGACAGCTGGCGAAGAGGTCAATGAACGACTGGCTTCCACTGAAGAACCTGCAGCGTCTATGGATGAGCAGGAGCGCCGCCTGTCGTCCTTTCTCCAGGAGCGGCGCTCTGCGCAGGGGGTGGTGGATGCGTTGTACCGCTGTCTGAAGGAGGACTGCCCGCAGGAGGATTTTGACCGTCTGGCCGAGCAGCTGCCCAACGAGTGGCTCTGGCACGCCAGACCCACGGTAAGAAGGCGATGGAGGCACGCTCCTAGTCGGAGAGGCTAAACTGCTCAAACATAGCGTACTTAAAATGGTCGAGTCAACTTCAATAACGTCTTGATACAAACAAATTTTAACAAGAGCTATACTAATAAAATAAAAATCATATTTGATGATAATGCTCGGAATTATACTTACGGTTGCGTAGTGTAGCCTCGTCTTAACGTTGTTGCATGCTTACATCTTTGTTACCCGATATCGATTTTTGCAACGAGCCTGCTTCACCGATTTCCTTGCCGTGCTAAGCCAGCCACATCTACCCCTCTGCTCTCCCTCCTTCCGACAGGGCAGCGGCACCCCTCTGCTAGTGCTGGCCGCCCTGACGTCCCGTCCGGCGGCCGTGGCCCGACTCAGTCGCGGCCTCAGCTCTGTGGACCTGGTCAGGGACGGGTTCCGGCGCACAGCGCTGCACTACGCGTGCGGAACAGACTGTCAGCCGGTGCGGCGCGCGCTGCTCAGGGCCGGAGGGTCGGAGCATACACTGGATGTGGTGAGTGGGAAGAGTGGAAGAAAGAGGGGAATAGGTTTTGGAATGTGAGGCCATATGAGTTCGACACATGATGTGCCTGATTTAAAAGCCAAAGGCATGCCATCATTTGTTTTGTTTATTTTTGAGAGGTCATGGGATCAATGGCGTAAGTTACAACGTTTCGTCGTTCAGTCATCGCCACATATTATTTGGTATTTAACATTTGCCTGAGGTAACCAGCAACTTGCTCGTTCAGTGGCCTCAGTTAGTGTTAATGCTGTCACCGCAGTACCCGATAATCTAACGTGTCTCCGACCCCTCGCCGACAGCACGGCCGGGAGCCGCTCGACTTTACCGATGTGGTCGGCTCGGAGCGACTGGCTGAGCTGCTGAGGATGCGACGCGATCAGGTCAGTGGCCGCTGGCGGTCGGCGGCGGACGTTGCTCAACAAATTACTGTACTATTTCTTCGTAGTTCTTTCTTTTCCAATGATTTATAAAAATTTGACCGATCTATCTGCATTTTTACGGAAGCTTGCGCTAGATTCTTGCAAAAACTTTCGCGACCGCCTTTCCTTAAAACACTTTCTCGTATGCTAGATTTCTTTGCCTGCCTCATCGCTCGCTTAGCGCCACTCTAAGCCAGTGCTCCCCCAGGAGTACACCCGTGCGGAGCCGGATCCGTGGGAGCCGGAGCACCGGCGCCAACTGCAGGACCAGCGGCGGCGCCAGCGATTCCTCGACCCGGCGCTGAGACACGCCCACTCCAGCCACTCCCACTCAGGCCACGTCCACTTAGGCCACGTCCACGGCGGAGCGGCCTTCTTTCCGACGGCCGCTGGCTCTGACTTCCGCTGGCCCCTGCCCCCCGACTATAGCCGGGCTAGTTTCGGTACGGCGGCGACAGGCGGCGCCACCGGCGAGCCCGAGCCGACCAGATCCACCAGCTGTGTGCTGTCGTGAAGGACGGAGCTAGTGAGAAGCTGTGGTAGGGAAATAGAACATAGTTAGTCATTTTAACAGCCAGGGATGTTAAGTAGACCGAAGCTAGTCAGTTGAAATCACACTTTGCTTACGTCGAACGTAGCTGTTCAATGTTCATAGATCGGAAGCGTATTGAAAAGGCGAAATACTCCGATAGAAGATAGATATATAAAACATAGAAGCGCACAAAATTAGCTAGAAGCGCACAAAACGGCTTCAGCACAGCAAACTATATTCAGAGTATTCTGCACTTGTGCAGCGCACTTTTGTGGCGTGAATTACGTGCTTTGTGCGTGGTGACGTGACTGTCCAATGTGTCCAATGTCCATAAACGCGTTGGTGACGTTCAGGTCTACGTTGCGGTAGTCCGAATTATCCTACCTCTAATCAGTACCCAACTGCCGATAAAATTAGTGTTAGACACTCTATATACATAGCTGGGCGTCAATGTCCTCAACTGTTTTGGTTTTTGTGCCCACGTGATACGCAATATTTATTACGTTTTTACAATGTCGCACTTGATTAGTGCCCGTATTAAAGTTTTTTTTTATCGTAAAATGTAGGTGTTGAAATGAGCTGGTTGCAATACTATTCATTTATGACACCTCTGTGTGTAACTATTCTCTATACAATTGGACAGATATTATCTCATAAGGTTGCTATGTACCATTGCCTAAGTGCAAGCGTCTTGTGACGCGTCCGAGTCGTCTTATCGCAGTGTATAACAATAATTTGTTGAATACTTACCTAGGTTTTCATACAATACTGTGTTTTCGATCTGTCGCCATTTCCACCCATTAAGTGTTACGCCGCAATGCCTTACCTACACATATGCCGTCACTGGGATTCAATGGTACACTTAGCCTCGACATCCTGTCCCCTCGGCCTCGTCCTTCCGTTCCTCGACTTCCCCTCCTAGCATCCTAATCTCTGTATAGCTCGCTGGTGGGTCCGTTCCTGACAGCCCATAGCTCGCCCATGGCTCCCTTCTTCAGCTTATGGCTCGCTGATGGCTCTGTCTTGAACGACACGGCTGTATGCTAGCTCGGCACATATCTCCACCATATTCTTGCGTTGTTCTTCATCGCGCATTAGCCATTTGGTATACAAACACGGGCACAGCCGACCTTACGCGTCGCTATTGGGGCCTCCTCCCTCTATGGAGCTCCCGACCCGCTCTCCAAATAAGGCGCCTCACCGCGTCACCCGCTCCGACGCTCTCCTTCCCAAACAGCGCCGTACGTAGTGCGAACGGCACCCGCTAATTGCGCGGTGACGTAGTGGGTGTGACGTCACGCCGGGTCAGACCCACGCCCCAGTGACGTCACGGGCTCCGGAAATGGCGGAGGTCGGGTGCCTTGTTTGGGAGCGGTCTGACGGGCTGCTCGGAGGGGCTGCCCACTGGATTTACAGCTGACTCGAGAGGTGCTTTAGGAGGCCCATGAAATCACTATAGGGTACTTTGTTTCATTTTGGACAACCCCTTATACCAAGGCTAAGAACAGCTTTGATCGAGTGATAGTCATTATTCGGATTATTTCAGTAGGAATGGACGTGACTGGAGTCATGTGTAATCGTTTTTTACCCGCAAAAGTGGCGATTTATGTCACATTGGAGTTTGTCGCCAGGTTGATATCTATTATCAAGTATTTCCGAATTCCGACCCCGCGCCCGACCTTGTGATATTTGTCAGCCACCTTTGACGGATGTTCAGGCGCGCGGCGCAGGGCAGGGCTGGGCCGACTGGAACCAGTGTGAGGGCGGACAAGTGGGCAGGTAATATGAAAAAGAGATTATCGATAGTCACGACATGGAGGTGGTGTTCGATTTCTCTTGTTCGGGCAGTGGAGGACATATAGCCTACAGAAGAATCGGCCATTGGTCCTGGGACCAGTGTGTGCGAATCGGGTTACTTTTCGAAGCACAGCGGAAGACGGTTCCGCCCTCTTTCATTCACATGTTTCCAATTTGTGAGAAACGCAAACAAATGATTCACGTCTTTCAAGAAGGCCGGCGCTGCAATGGCGTGCCGCATTCCATAAGGGGCTCCTGTCCCGCCGACCCTGTTAAGACAGGTGTCCTAGTGACTCACCTGGCTGACGCATTATTGGCAGACGGACAATGGAAACGGCGGCCTTTCCGATAGGTGACGTTTCGATACCAGTCATATCCCGGAGTAGTACGTTGCGTGATTTTGGTGTAACACCATGACTGGAAAAGCTTGTAAACTCGCATCCATGCAAGCTTTCCACTTGAGATGGAAAAGCGTGCAGCTGCTCATGAAAATCACTGGTAAAAACAAATACCCGGCTTGTCTCAAGGTCTTGCCCACTCTAAATATAGAAGCTCGGGTCCATCGGTACCGCGACTCTACCATAAGCTGCCAAGCTGCCGCAGCTCCTCTGGTGGGCCTGCCCGCCGTCCCGCTGTGCCGCCCTCCCCCCACCGTCCAGGGGCGTCTCTGGGGCGAGCTGTGGCGGTGACGGCCCCTGCCGAGCGGCTGAGTGAACCGGTCCTCCCACGGGCTAGCAGCGGCAGGCCTCTGACGCCCTCCGCCACAGCCGGGGCCCGGCTGACCGCCCGAGCTAGGTGGACTGAGCGTAGGTCGCTGTGATGAGTAGGTGGCAGCTGGGGCTGAAGAGGCGGCTAACAGTAAACTGAGTGATTCGGTAGAGCGAATGACGTGGAAGCGGGGTGGAAGGAGGGCGGGTGACGCTGGTAGGTCATCAGAGTTCACTCAGGTGGTCTGGAGGCGTCGTGTCACGCATTCCTTGCATTCTAGTGATCCCCCATATACGGAGAGATGTTCCAAGAAATGCTGTACATAGGCATTAGCAATTGCAGATTATTTATGCACGTGCACACTACTGACCGGAGTCGGAGTTGGAGTCGATTTTGGAAATCGGAGCCTGAGTCGGAGTCACTGAAAAATCCATCGACTCCGCAGACCTGGCAGGGCTGCAGAGTCGGAGTCGGAGTTGGAGTCGGTCGGAGCATACAACTAGGTATGCAGTTCGGCCCGGAGTCGGAGTCGGAGTCGGAGTCACCGAAAATTGATCGACTCCGCACCCCCGCACGTGCCGTGCATGCCTCAGCCTAATGTGTCTTTGGGGCGGTTGAGTTTGTGGCAAATACTATGCTGGATATGTGATTTTTCTTGTTGAAGGGTTCGGTGTGTGGAGAAGGAAATCATGCCTCCCACTCCCGATGGAGGCCCCAAAATGTCTGACCCTATTCTTTGTATCTTTCTGGGTGTCTGGGGCGCATAGCGACACGGGACAGCCGGCTCCCTGGCCGGCTGCCCGACCGGTCACCGGACCGCTTGCGTCCGACATCCACCATAAAACCATGTTTCTGTGAATACACAGACTCACTTCTCCTCTACCGACTGTACCGCCAACACTACCAAGTACGGCCGGTCCACAGGTGTCACATTTTTTGACAAAATTTGATAGGCTCACGTTCTACCGTTCAAGAAGATGAAGTCAATTTCTCGGAGTTCAGCGTCGATCGTCTTAAAAATTAAGGTGCAGATGCACACCTTGCACCTTCATAATGCAGTTTGTTTACACATACCACACATTTCTTCTGTTATTAACGCCACGGACGCGGCCCTACATCAAGTTTCATTTACCTGGTATTGTCAGTGTGCTGGCTTCGTTGGACTCACACCATAAATATTGTCACGGCAAGTTTCATGCAACTGCAGCTGGTGGACCATGAGCCCGGCAGCTGTCGGGGAAGACGGGTGGCATGGCATCCTCACCAGCAGCTGTGCATACCGGCTCAAGGTCACTGAAGGACAGACAGTACCTACATGTGGGAGCTGTCCGGCTTGTAGTTAAATGAAATAACCTTAAAGTTGTATTCACATTTTCAGGATGGGTGACGGTGGCATGAATTGTGCATTTGTTGTCATTATCGTGTTTTATGTCGCACATTTGCTTTCATTCAACATAACATCTTCTCATTTACGTGGCACGCCCACCGTTCCAAACAGCGTTCACCATCGCCATGGCTTTCTGTGGCTGTGTGCAGTTTCGATTCGAACATTGCACGTCGTTGTCTCACTTTCGCACAATTGCGCGATGTTTTCTCACGGGTCACGCTACAAAGTGTCGGCGCCGCTTTCATATCAGGAGACGCGTGTCGACTACGCGGTGAAATGTCGATGGGCGGGCCCACGCCGTCGCTGGCTCGAAATGAGAGTGGTGCGTGGGACTCGTCGGCTGCCGTTTCTGGGCACTGAGCTGTGGCAGGATTGGGACAGCTCCGGTCTGGATGTTTGCTATAGCTTGTCCGTAGTCTGTACGGGCTAAATTATTGCTTTCGTCTTTTTTCTTGGTCGCATAAAAGTAATGCTGAATTAGGTGGCTATCTTATATACCTAGATCCGATGAAAGCGACGGTGAGGTTGATTCGTACCTCTCTAGCTCCAGGAGCACTTTTGCTGAAGGTGACGACAGAAGAATCATGGTCCTTTCGCTCGCTCGCTCAGCATGCTTTTTATAAGTTCCGTTCGTGTTTGCTATTCGTTCTCAGCCTATACGATTGTGTCTAGACCAATATCTTCCAAAATTAACTTCTTTTATGCATGTCACGGCTGCTTTTATCGTGGTTCGTTGGTGTTATCTGCGCGCTATTTTATGTGGTTAACTATAACTCGTAAATACGCTTTTGGAGGTCACGGTACTTTTAACAACCCCATTTGATGTGATATACTAGGGCGATGAAATCACAATCATGCACGCCATGATGATATGTTTGGAAGAAACCTGCTGGTCTGGATGCATCATGCAGTGCTGAACATGACTGACCGGGTACCAGTCACCTGCCACCAGTAGCCTATCATGACAGTCACTCGCTCCAACAGTCTGTCATGTCTGTCAGCCTGTCACCTCCCGATAGCCTGTCATGACAGTCATCCTCACCAGCAGCCTGTCACCCATTTTCCAGCAGGCTTTCAGCTGCTCCCAACAACCTGTGATGGCGCTGTCAACTGCTCAATGTCTACCGTCAATCACTCACAACGGTCTGTCCATACAGATCTCTCCCTGTCCCGCCGGCCATCGAGCCATACAGTGCGCCCGCCCACCACTGCACCAGTCCACAGCCGGGGGCGTTCGACGTTAGTCAATCCCAACTACTCCCGGTACATTTCATCGAGCAGCCGCCGCCGTCTGCGACGTAGAAAGTGCACTCGGCGGTCGATCCGAGCTGCGATTCCGTCATGGCTCTGCACTGTTCAGCGTCGACCGGCACTTATATGGGCGACCACCGCCTGCAGGAACCGGACCTGTCCGACGTTCCGCATCTCCTTATCCCACTTCACCGAGCTGCCGGGGCATTGGCCCCACAGCTAGCTGGCAATGGCCGTAGGCACGGCGCTCCTCGTATGAAAACGATCTCATACATAGTGAGAAATGAGGTCCACTTGTAGGCAATCGCATGGAGCTATCAGACTTCAAGGTCTTCCTGGAAAAGGATCCCAGTTGAGCGGTGCTTTGTTATCCGTGCGATTCGTTAGCGATCGCTTCGGTTTTGCATAATGCACCTCGTAATGAAGCTGGATGCAACGATGACACGGAATACGGATACGGTTTGGGTAAATGGCTATTGAATCCCAAACGGGTATCGGGTAGGTGGGTAGGTCCCATGGGGATACCGGTTGGGTGGGTACTGGGTAGGGCACCGCCGGCGTAGCCATGACTTCGCAACATGCATGTTGCGGCAAGCAATGATAGTGAGTGCTCACCTACTTCTTGATTGCTGCAAATACGACTCAATTGACTCGACTATCGGCATTTCCCGCTAGTGGATTATGTGTTGTTACATCTTAACCCTCGCCCGCACATGGGGGGGGGGTGGTTGCCACCCCCCCCCCGGTAGTCTTTCTGCTCTGCACTCAACATTTTAGAGCTAGAAGGCTGATTTTTCGTATAGCTGCTCCTCTATCCTTTCTTGATGTCCACTGAAAATTTCAAGTTTCTGTGATTTTTGGTTTCGGAGATATGACCTTGTTTTTCAGGTCATGTCATGACCCAAATGGCCAATTCTCAACATCTTGCGTTTGCCATGGGCCTTATGAGCTTTTGACACCCTGATTTCGGCCTTTTTTGCCAGTCTTACCTCCTACCTATCATGGAACATGTTGTTCGACGATGTGCAGGGGTCAAGGTCAACCTAGGTCACCTAAGATAATTGCGTTTTAGGCAAGCTGAATTTACTTTTTTTGAAGTTTTTTGACTGCATTTTTGGTAAAAGCTTCTCAGATCATGATTTCATGTAATATGGACCCAAAAACAATCGGTGCACACATCAGTATACACACAGACACACACAGACATACAAACACATATAATTGACCTTGACCTAACTTGACCTGAAATGACCTCAGCAGCAAAATTCTGGTCAGGTAGTGTGACAAAGAGGTTCTAGCTGGCTTGGCACCAGAAAACAGCATCGTCATCGGTATTTGATAAGCAGCACACTTGATATCCAACGGTGACTCAAAACAGCAACATTTTTTAGTTTGACCTGACCTGGAAGGTCAATGACTGACCTGAGAAGGTAAAACTGGGTATCATTGGATTCGTCTCTTCCCAAAGAATCTTTTTGGTCTTTACTGCTAAGCTCTATCTCCAACAGGAACGAAATGGCGCGGGGGGGGTGGCAACCACCCCCCCCCCCCCCATGTGCGTTCTAGGATGGGAGAATGGCATGTGCGGGCGAGGGTTAAATAGTCCGAGTCGTTGCAAGATGTCGAGATGTTTTTTTTTCATTTATCTAAATTCGTTACATTACCCGTGGATGTTGGGGCTTGCTTATGTTGGGGTTTTGCATTCGTAAGTCGTAACACAGCGGGCTACTTTGTTCTACTGATATGCAGGGTGAACTATAATCTGGGACAATTAACAACGTGTAATTTGGGCCTCAGCAAAACGACGCATTTCTAAATGAAAGTGTCTAATTAATTCAATTAATTTAGGTCTCTAGAGTAGACTTATCACGCATATCATGCCACGGTACCTTCAATTACGGCGGAAGGTCATGGCAGTCCCCGTCGGGACTACTGCAAATAAACGTCGCTTGACGAATGCTAACTAGTGTGCATGACCAATGGACGTTCTGTTCAGACTATAGAGTAGCGCCCCCACGGCAATGTTGCCAAAGTTCAATGCAGATTAGGAGAAACCCGGTAGCTGGATGTGTAAGATGTCAGTAGGCGCCGTTGCACAGTACCGCTCGGTGAAAGCACAATTCAACAAACCCGGCTGTCGGCGTTTCCCGTTAGTCGATTCTGTATTGTCACACATCAGGGAAGGCTTAAACAAGAACACAACGTTAATCACGGTTAACAACAAGCTCAGAGGCAAGTGGCCACGCGGCAGTGAGGACCGACTGCCACGGACGCTCGATTAGTGCCAGCCAGCCAGCACGCCCGGTTAGCACAAAGTCCCTGCAAGACTGACAACACGCGGCCCGGCCGCTCCGAACGTTTTCAGGGAGGGAAAACTCCCCCAGGGTCGCCCCAAGGTCGCCATTCAGCCTCGGGGGCTCCACGGTCATAGCACCACAGGGATAACCACTCTTCACACCGAATCGTCAAACAGCAGCTCAGAACATGGGCTCGGCGGCAGTGTGGCGGCGCCTTGTCTCACAGCTGGGGCACGTTACGGGTTCACCTGGCCGCTCCCGAGCCTTGAGTCCCACAGGCAGTGACAGTGGTCCCTCGTGGGTGTCTGAGTTGTCTGACGGCTCTGCGGACTGATGAGCGGCAGTGTTGTGGCTCTCGGCCGCGCGCGCTGTAGATGCGACGCGCTAGTGAAAGTGCGTGTCCCACGGGTCCCACGGGGTCAGGGGCAGGTCACAGGTCACCGGTGGGTCACGGGTCGAGCGGCGGGTCAGCGCGCGGCCGCCGCACAAGAAGCAGTGCCCGGGGCTCTTCTGACGCAACGGCCGCGGGGCAAGCGGCTGCGAGAGACGGCAGCTGGGGCCAGGGGGAGGGGGCAGTGGGGCGCTCAGGTCACAGCCGGTAAGGGACGATGTCCCGGCCCGGATATCGTGCCCCGCGTCGGTCCCGACTGCTCCTCACAGTTGTTGCGTTTGTAGCTGAGCTGAGTGGTAGCTGGGTCGCTGCTGTCTCGGCCGCCACGGGGTTACCTTCATCGTCCTGACCCGTGTGTTCCCGGCGACGTATCCGCTCCCACAGCACAGAGGGAGACTAGAGTGACGCGGAGACTCCCCCGAGCCTGCTGTTGACGTTGGCAGCTGGCGAAGGTAGCACCATCAGTGGGAATATCTGGAAAGAAGGAACGAATTGTTATAAGAACTGCATGCATGAAATGTTGAAAACAGGATGGACATGATTTTTTCTTATAACAACACACTAAGATATCATTCGTGAAAATGCAATAGATGCAATAACTTGGTTCCCTTGTAAGTACGCGATCCTGGATATTCCATGTCCGAGCTGGTGTGATTCAACCCGTTTTAGTGCGAAGCTGATGACGTGCCCGTGTGACCAGTGCCGCCGTGCTTCACCCCGACCCAGTCCCGCCATGGTGACAGCGCCTGGCAGCGCGCTGCGCCGCCAAAACAGCACCCGAACGCGCTCGTTTGACCTCAGAAGGCCGTCGGGCGACCGGCCGTGACGGTGGCGCTGCACAGCGGCAGCAGCGCGAACTAGCCCAGTGGGCGGGCCGCTCGTCTTATATGGTTCGTGGGCCCGCCACCCGGCCCGCCAGCGGCGGCGGCTGTGGCGCTGCACCTGCTCTATACTCAGCACAGAAAGCAGACCCGCCTAATAAAAACACCCAACATGCTATCGTTCTGCCAAACTGCGGAGAAAAAAAATATCGCAGATTGGGGGTAGCGATACGGCCTCGGCGTCCGTGCCTCTGCGAGCGCAGCGGATGTTGTGACACCGTTGACGGCGTCTCGGGACGCGCCGTGTGGGCGGCGCACGTCGGCGACTGTTTATCCGGAGCGGCGTCTCAGTTCGACCCACGGCTGCAGCGCGCGGGAGGGAGTGTTGGTAGGGCCGGGGAGGGGCGCTGCATCGCCCATCGAATCCAGCCGCGGGGGCCGAGACCTTGGCGGCGCGGAGCGCGGCTGCAGCCGTGGGCTGGTTGGCTGGTGGGCCCGTGTGGAGGGCTCGGCCTGCTGCTGACAGCTGTGCGGTGCTACCAGCCGGCACCTGCCAGACGGGGATCGAATCCACTGACAAGCTGATTGACGGGAGGTATAATTGTGGTGACGTGAAACGGGGCGACCGTCCACTCTGTATTGCCTAGAGATGGTGAAGATACCGACAGTCCGAGCCAAGTGGCTGGTAATGATGAGGGCACGACACATGTTCTTGCACATGCAGTCTGAAGCTTATCCTGCCAATGAAGTCTTCCACAAATCAAACATTTTTTAGAGGAGTTCGAAGTCTCATACATGTTCGGCGTATGGTGTGCCAATATTTCCTGGCGGGTGGTGCTTTCCGTCTGTTGAACAGGGGTAATACCCACGGCACGTGCCGAGGCGAAGATGTGCCAAGTCATGGCTAACTGGATTAGCCGAATCAGAAGTCACTCCAAGTTCCAAGGTGAATGGGTTACACCAATGAATGAAAAGACGAAATTGAACACAAAAAGTTGTGTGTTTCCGGAGCTGGCTGAATCCCAGAAGCCGTGACGCGGATGTAAGCCATCAACACAACATCGGCAGTCATTCCCCTATCATTATCGGTCGAATGCACCATTGGTGCCGGCTGTGTGTCAGTGGATTTTCCAGATCCAATTGCACACATTCAGCCGAGTGCTTCCACTTACACTGTCAGCTACGTGGTAAAAACGAGCTGCGAACGCCAGTCTTTGCGCCCGAGCTTCCAGCGTCCGTCATGTGTGAAACACTATCTGTTTGGGCTGACTATGTGGAACGCCCAGCGCTCGTCAGCTAGTTTTGCCTCCGCCATGTCATCCTATTTGGGTGGCTGACGCCTACACCATGACCTTCAGTCAGATCGATAGAGACGGAAGCCCGACAGAAGAACTCCGTACATCCAAATAACGGGCTTTAAGCTTCCCGTACCCTCGGCTGTTTACCCCATCTTACCCGACAGTCACAGCAAGTGACATCCGTTTAGCATTGCAGTCAGCCGGCTGAACAAACCGTTCTGGGTACCGCGGCGTCGGCACGGAGGGTCGGCTGCCATTACGAGTCGTTTGTGTGGCGTACGCCGCGGAACTGGCGCTTTGTCTCGCCAGTTGTTGGTTGACGAGTTCCATACAAAGCCTTTCGTCCAGAGCGGTCTCACGGAGTGGGTCTCGCTCTTCACCGCTGCGGGACGGCCTCGGGTAGCAGATGTGACTGATACCCGCTGGGTGCTTGTTTAGACGGGCCCGCTATCTAATTCGCAACTGTGATAGGGTTGTGTGAGGTTTCAGGTAGCTTGAGAGTGTCATTGCATGTTTCAGTCAATAGTGTTGAGCGGAGGTGAGGAGTAGAAGAGCCATTCACGTGAGCACGTGTCAGAAGCACGTGATGTGCACGCGATTCCAGCTACCCTTTCTGAGTGCCGTTTTGGGTATCGAAGACAACGATCACTACGTCAGCCAGGTGTTAGCTGTAGTTAGTACGATCTACTACCTTCTCCGTCAGGTCATCAAAACCCGGTGCTGGGACCATGCCCGACATCATCCATAGGCCGTGCTCCCGCCGCCGCCGCCGCCGCCGTCCGTCAGCCGCGTCCCACTCGGCCGCCGCCGCCGCCGCGCGACCTTGGGTGAGGGCGGCGGCGGCGACGGCCGGACATCTGTGACCAATGTGACCCCTTGCACGGCCCGCGGCGGGCTGACAACCGCGGGTCGTCGTCACAGGCTTCAACACCGGTCAACAAATGTTCAGTGCCGGTTTGGAGCCGGTGTGAGCACTGGTGCTCCGACTGCGGACGGTTTTGTGGAGGGGTGTTCGCGTTGGCTGTCGAGGTCAGACTAGCCGGCTGTGTCAGGAAGTGCCGCGCCTGTCATTCAGGGGTGTGCCTCGTCCTTAGGACGTGATCGGACGTGGCATTGGACTGGGGAAGTAGGTCATCTCGATTGGTCGTGGGTTTCACATGTATGTGATGGTTTAGTCAAGGTCGTCTCAATGTCCAATGATGCATATTTCGAAAGTGGCTGCTTTGAGTATGGATGCCGCCTCAGCTGCTGTCATGCAAGGAATTTAGATATTGGGATGCATAAAAGCAACTTAACAGAAGCTTCGGCTAATGTTAAGCATTGTCTGCCAGAAATACCTACCTTCATTTTTGGAACTTGGAAGCCTTCCCTGGACACCAATGCTCTTTTTCTGGATCGTAATCGCTAATTGCCAATACCCGCAGCATGCATGTGTTCACGACCCGTAGAGTTTATTTGTTTTCGACAGACATCGGTATCTGTTCACACGGTATAATTTGAAATAAACAGAAAGTGCTGTGGACTCCAAGAGTAGACAGACACATCGCGATAGAAGGTCTGTTGCGGCGATTGCGATAGAAATGCCGTGGAGCCCAGCTTTGGGAGACTGCAAGAAGGAACACGACACTAACCGGAGGAGACTGCAACGGAAGGTCGCTTAGTATCCATGAAAGACTACAACATAAAACACAACACTAACACCAAAAGGACTGCAAGTAGGACCAAAACACTATCCGAAGAAGACTGCAACGATGAACATAACACTAGCCGTAAGAGACTGCAAGTGGGACCAAAACACTATCCTTGAAAGACTGCAACGAATAGCAAACCACCAGCACTGAAAGCCTGCAGCTCAGACTAGAGCACTATCGGGGGGAGACTTCAATGATGAACAGAACAATAGTCGAGGTGCTTGATCTTTGCGTCCCGCATGCTGGTCAATCGGCCCTCGCTAATAGAAACGTGTGGTTGATGTTACATGCCTCCAGCAATAGTTCAGTGAGTCTTTGTGAAAATTTATCGATGTGGTGATAAGGTATTAGATGGATGGGCATGCCTGTTTTATGAAACACAGCAAATCATTGCTTCTTCTATAAATTATAATCAACATTGGACGACAAACGCCTTTAGCAACAAAATCACTCGGTTGCACAGCGCAAACATCTTGTCAAAACAGTTCCAAGCATGCTCATTGCTCACTGCTCATTGCAATAACTGTTCGGTTTGGATGTTCCCATCGAGTTTCCACGGTGGCTGGAGGTGTCTGTCCCACGCCAATCAGGACCAAATCATACGGTCTTTGTGTGCCGGTGAGAGCACCGACCGTGGTCTGTCGGGAGCACAGGGCGACCGGTCGGGAGGGGCGCCCAAACGGGGAGAGTGCCCACTATGATCCCACGCCTCCTTCACTATAACGGGGCGCGGGTATTGCATGCAAGCGAGGTTCATAAAGCTGAGGCGAAAACAACTACGTAAACCAGAACCGATTTCATGGAACGTATTATCATACGCTTATCATTGGTTTGAAATTCATTCAGCTCATTTTTCTCAAATGACTGACAAAACATGCTTATCACAAAGTCGTAAAATGCCACCGCATCGCAAGAACCTTTCCAACCGCAGTTATGTCGAGTATTCTGCATGACACGGGCCCGGCTATCAAATGCAGCCATGCATTGTGCCAGAGCGCGCGGTCCGTCGGCCGCGGCTGTGGCCGGGGCGTCTCGCATCCTTACAAGGTGAAGGAACCCGTAACTATTGCACGCTCAGTGCGCGCACGTGAGGCAACTTTGTCGAACGCGGAAACTGAGGCCACATGGCTGTTTGAGCTGAATACGATACGCGTAAATCGAATATTTGGGCTGGCAGAGGATAAACAAATAAGGCGGTGTGCTTCGAAACTGGTATTGTGGAGATTGCAGACATCTGATACACAGAATGCCATATATGTGTGATCAAGAGCAACACATTCACCGATCGTTGAAAGGTAAGGCGTTCCGCTTGAAGAGTGGAACGCCATGAGAGCAAAGCCCAATGCTCATTTTCATCCCGGGTTCTAGCATTGTATCTGATATGGCTGAGCTATACTGGGCCGTTCCCAGGGTCACCCCTCAAACACCAGCCGCGCCTTGGCATTTAGCTCGGCAGAACGTTTGAGAGCGCGTCCAAATGCGGCCGCCCGGCTGCTCCACATGCATATATGTAGATGGTATCGCCAACCATGAGTGGTACGGCTCACGCCTGTTCTGTGGGCTGAGAGGCGCCGCCTGATAGTGAGCCGGAGCGCTGCCCGGGTCACCGACCCAGACCCGACCTGGCGGTCACCGCTGAGCTGGTCCCATTCAGACACCCACACCGGAGCTGGGGCAGCCGTCTGACCCGGGCTGAGCGGGCGGCTCGACTAGTGTCCGCTCAGAGTCAGCCAAAGTCGGGGTCATGGAGCACAGGCTGGGGATGGGGTCTGTCTCTCGCCGTTCTAGCGTGACTGACACGTGCGCAATGGAACAGTTGGCAGTTTGCTTCCCAGTACAATAACTAGCTGACCTGACAGACATCCCTTATCCTGCGGCAGAGTGCCGAATGCGGTTAACACCGAATGTGCTTGAGGCTACTTGAGTTGCTTGTTCCCACAGCTGCTTGCTGGACTTCCCCACAGCTGCATGCGCTATACACCATCTCACAGCTCCCTGTGACAATGTCGAGTCGACGGATATACATTATACAGCCTCGTTTGGCGCTGGACAGTGCTGTGACTGTCTATTTGGTGACTGATGTGCTGTCCTGCACTCCATGAACCGCCCGGTATAGTGCCAGTGCGTACTGCAAACTGCCAGATATATAATAGTAGGTATGACAGTGACAGCGTCTGCTGATGACTGGCAGCTTGGCGACTATAACAGCCTGCCGACAGTCCATCTGCGTGTGCAAATTTAAATGGGCAGCGCCGACTCTAGGTCAAGGAGGGCTTGTGTGACTCGGCATAAAAAAGATGAACAAGACATCTGTGTTATGGTAGACCCTTCAAACTCTTAGCAGATTGGCTTTGAAGATTAGTATTAATGAGGCGATTATCGTTTCTCGAATCAGTGCTAGTCCTTTGAAGATACTTTGTCACCTATACCTGATCCATTGCCCAGGCGTCTGACCGTCTTTTTCTCCCACACTGTCACCCATTGTAGAATGTAGAGGTTATGACATCGGCGCCGGTCAGCCAGCCGGTGGCTGGGCTGACCTCAGGTAACCTCAGCTAACCTCAGGGTGACGATGGCGTCATCAAATGTGGCCGTATTCGGCGCGAGCCGCGCCAGCTAACCCTGCTCTACCGGGAGGGAGAGAGGGCAGGCTGGGAGCCGGTCATCTGAGACGAAACGGACGAGATAAATGCACCGCTACCAGTCGGTGAGAAAGACCGATGGCATCCCGGAGACTTGTACTCAGAGGTGCCAACACACAGGGACATCTGTTAGGCGCGATGGTATCTAGAAGAGTCCCATTGCCTGCTCGTGTTTGTTCCGTGTTCGCCCGTAAGTGCCGAATGGTGTGAGGTTACCTGGGTGGATAACCTTATCCCCTGTTACATGTAATCAACCGGTATGTCTACCGCTATCAGATGCATAGTAAGCAAGATTGGCGTGCTTGGACTTGATCTAGTGTAACAGAACAAACGTCCTCATTAACGAACCGTAAAGAAAGATAAATGTGTTTATCTCTCATTAGTCGTCACAGGACTTGCCATCGTCATAAAGCATGACCACGGAACTGGGACAGTGTGATTTGTGCCGAGGCGAATACAATTTTACATACAACCATGACGCTGACATGATTTATCAGCTGAGCTGTGCTGGAATTTTGCTGGCAGCCAGCGAAGCGTACCCACATTACGGACCGGCCACTATCCATCATTACTGGCCAGCACATCAGCGGTAGCATCGGGCGCAGTTAGCGCGGATCTCAAGGGCGATTTGCAGTGCAATCAGCCTTGGGGCCCGGTTCTGGCGGTCTGTTCACTCCGTGGTACGATGTCGCCCGGCGGGTCCGCCGTCGGCTCAGCCGGGCAAACAGGGCCGCCGCCGCTCTTTGGCGGGATAGTGCGGCCACACACGCTACACTGCCGGTCGGGAGGCTCCCTCCTGATGCCGGTCACGTCGCTAGTTTGACCTGCGTGTCAACACGGGCAGCGGCCGGCACCTTGGTCCGCATACTTCCGGCGGCGCTGGGCGGCGGAAGCGAATACTTCCGGCATTGTTTGGCAGCCGACTGGTCGCTCGGAGTGGTTCTGAAATTTGAGAGCGCGAAGACCCAACTCAGGCTTCTGTCTCCTTTCGACAGCAATGTTGCTCTGTCGCTGACCATCTCATCCTATGGATGTGACTCCACCCGACTACCTTCCCCACCGACCCGACCTCGCCCGCGCCTCTCCGGTATCCCCCGCACCGCAGATGACCTCCGACAGCCGCTCACACATCATAGGAGCCAATCGCCTTTCCGGACCGCCCGACCGGCCGAACGGGCGGCGGGCGGCCGACCTTCTATGGCAGGGCCGCCCACACACGAGGGGCGGGGCAGACGGTGCACAGCCGGCTGGTGACGTCACCCCGCCTCCAGTGTGTGCGACGTCATCAATGAACTAGTGACGTGATGCACGGAGGCGTCCGCAGGCACGCAGCCTCCTGGATGACTGACGCGGCAGATATGGCCAGCGAAAACAATGGCTAATAGGTCACATCCGAGGCGCAGACGCCGCCTAAAATGGCAATGGAATTTGCCAGGTACGCAGAAAGTCCGTGCAGTATGTATAGCTCGGTAGGCTCCCTGTATGATGCATGAGTGATTCTTGCTTTCTCGTGTGATGCATGTGACACGCTCACGATGAAAACTAGAATGAATGAGTGCTGAAGCATGGTTGCAACGTTTCACTGTAAGACAAACAGTGGTATGGATCACGCTATAAGGGTAGCGCCGTAGGTATAAGCTACAACGAAGGTGAAATGCGCGAGCCATCAGCGCCGCACTGTGCGAGCGAAGTATTGTGTAGTCGCTGGTACAGTGCAGCATGGCATTGCAGGCACATGTGACATGAAGAACATGGACAGAATCCCACATATTGTTGCGTGCCAGAATGGGGCCGCCACAATATTGCTCTAGAAACTAACAAGCGTGGTATCATACACCAAAGACGGCAATTTAAAATGTTCCAGCGCTGCAGCAGTGCGCTTGGCATTGCTGGCTACCTTGTGGTCGGCCTGCGGTTACGTTTTGGGCGCATTGTGTGGGTTGTGCTCACTTCGGCGAAACAGTGGGTCATTGACACTGATCGATGGAGCTGTCGAAACGGGTCTACGGAATGACACTAGTCGATTGTCTATGGGCTCTTTTGGAAGTTCGGCAACGGTGACTAGCCCATGAGAAGTGACTGATCTATGTATGTACTGTGAGCGGCTTGAGAGCGGTCAGCAGTTGCCTTTGGGCGCTGAAGGTGACAGTCGGCACCAGGGTGGTAAATGAATTACGAGTGGTGAATGACATATGGGACATTCGGCAGTCGGCACTCACCTATTGGCGTTGATGTCGGTTACCGCGCCGGCCGGTCCTCGCTGCGGTACGCCGACCGGGAGCCCTTGGGCAAGCTGGATGACCGCGACACCGCGTGACGCTCCTTGTCTCGCCTCTCCCGGTCCCGGTCTCGGTCCCGGTCCCGGTCCCGGTCTCGGTCTCGGTCTCGGTCTCGGTCCCGGTGGCGGTCGGGGGACCGCTCGGTAGAGTTCTCCAACTCGTCCCTCGAGTCGCGGTGCGGTCGAGGCGCGCGGGGCGGTCGTCCGCTGGCACGGCCGTCTCCTCCATTGCGCACACCGTCGCGCGAGTCGCGACTTTCCTTGCGATCGTTGTCATAGTTGATGGTCTTGTCGTTGGGATGTTTCAGTCGGAACGGTGTCAGCATGGAGAAGGACCGGGAGACCTTGCGTCGTTCGACGGTGGGCAGTGGCTCGCTGTCGGCGGCCGTCGTGTCCGCGGCTCCGTCCGGTGAGGGGATGTCGGCCACGGTGGTGGCGTGCAGGTAGACGGACCGCTCGCCGCTCGCCGTTGTGCGGCTGGCCGCCGGTCCGGCCGGCTCACTGCCGCTGCTGTTCAGGGACGAGGTGACGCTGTGCGAGTTGCGCCGCCCGCGCCGCTGGCCGGTGCCGGCCGCACTCGGCCGCCGGCTGGGTGGTCGCCTGCCGGTGCCGCTGCGCCCCGAGTCGACCTCGTCCTCCCCCGGGTAGCGCCGGGAGAAGCTGGCGGAGCGCGAGGCGGGCCGGCCGCCCCGCCGCTGCTGCGCTCGTCTCTCCGCCGTGTGTGCCGCTCGGCGGTGTTCCGGCTGGTGCGCCGCTCCTGAGTGTCGCTCTGGTAGCGACTCTCGCGGTCGCTGGAGCGGTTTGAGTCGCGTTTCTCGGCGGGAGGGTGGCGGCGAGGCTCGCGACTGTCGGAGCGACGCTCGCGGGAGCGGCGTGGCGCCCGCTCGCGGTCCGATGATACCTGGGCGCGCTCGTCAGAGGTGCCGTGGCTGTCCCTGCTGACCGAGCGACCGTCCCGCCGGCGGCTGATGGTGCCGTGACCCGAGCTGGTGGTCCGCCGCTCCCGGCGCTCGGCGCTCGTCCGACTCATCTCCAGCGGTCGGTCGGGTGAAAACGAACCTCCTCTCGGGTCTGGAGAGTGCGATCCGCGCCGCTTCGGCGAGTTGGAGCGGCGCTTCTCGTCGGAGGATTTTCTCAGGTCCAGTCGGCTGAGAGTGGCCGACAGCCACCCCTTCTTTTTCGGTTTCTCCGTTGATTTTTCCGGTGACCGGTCAGCAGACCTCTCGCGGGACTGTCGGTCGGGCGATGCGGACCGCGCTCTGAACCGCTGCCGCTTCGTCTCGTCGCTGGAGACCGATGAGCGCGGCTTCTCCTGGCAAAATATTTACATAACAAATGTGTAGTTACTGTGTTGATTACCTATACAATAGGGCATCGAAATTAGGCATGTGCATGATACGCCAGCTCTTAGCGACATTTATGAATCATACTGTCAAATAGAGGCTTTCAAGCAATGAGGACTTCTTTCTCGGTTAAATCTCAAGGAAACTGAATGAATCAGCTGGCAGTTACCGCGATTCACTGCGTGAAAACTTGATTGAAGAACAGATTATGCGGCTTTGGTACGCGTTGAGCATTAGCATTATCAAGGTCTCTGTGTAAGATAATCCCATGTCCGGTCTTTTAATCCAGACCAAAAATGGCGTATTGTGGTCGGCAGACAAATCCATTACAGATAACATCTGTCAGGCCGGCCGGCCGGCAATGGCTTGTCTACGACTAGACGATCGTGACTGGGCGGAGTACCGCAGCTAGGGGCGTGGGTCCGGCCTGCCCCGTGCCATCCTCATAAGGTCCGGGAGGCTGAAGGGCAAAATTCATTGACTGCGCTATGAGCCGAGCATAGGTGCCAGGCCAGCGTGGGGCGCGCCGACGACCGTCATCACTCATTGCTATCCCCAGCGCTGTTCCGTGACTTGGCAGGCGCCAAGTCACGGAGCGCAGACCGTCTCAGTCTGTTCGCCGTCCGCAGCGCTGTGGTGGGATTTGGAACTCACCCTGTCCTCACGGCTGGTGGCCTCGGAACGCCGCGTGACCTTGACCTTCTCAGAGCGTCGGTGACCCCCATCGACCCTGTCTTCGTCCGTGCGAGAAGACCACTCGCCCTGAAATGATGCCGAGAGTGAGCTGGGAAGGGAAATGGAAGTTTTCGCCTGCTAATGAGGACGAAGTCTGGTGCAATGCTGGTCGAACATTCTTTTCTACCACAATACCCGTTGCCGTTCAATGTAAAACGCTCATATGTTGAACTGTTTTTTTGCCTACATGTAACTATAAATTCTTGTGCTGGAACGTCCGATAGTATTTGGTTTGAATTCGAGCGGAATTGCGCCAAGCATTTACGCTTGGAAGAATAAAAACGTGCTTTCGACAACTTGACTAATCACAAAGAGCAAAATATAAGAATCACGAATTATAAATCGATCTCTATAGTTCCTTTCCCGCCTATATATGACCATACTTGTACGACATTATTAGACGGCACATTCCGGCTGTCTCATCAGTGTGCTATCACAGCGCCTAAGACACGCGTCTCGTCCATTCAATGCATTCCCAGCGTCATTCTGCGGATAGCACGCGGCGCACCGCTCGGTGTTCGCTAGGTAAGAACGACCTCACCAACGGTAGCCCAGCACCTTGCATGTGCACTGCAAAACTACATCGGAACAACAGAAACAAACTGTCGACAAATGTCCACACTCGATGCGTGTGCTCGTATCGTGCGGGGATGTCGCTGATAATCGCGAACACTTACGCAACAGCCGCGTTAAATTGCAAATGAGCACACGCACATGTACCGGCGGGGCTCATTAACATTCTGCTCGCGTGAGAGTGTGTGCGTAACGTGTACGTCCCGAGCCGGAGGAAGGACGAGTGAGGTCGCGTGGTGCGTGAGCTGACCAAGGCTCATGACTAATCGTTAAATGGCGTACAGTTTTGCAGGGCCACTATGTTTGATATCGTAAGATACTGACATATTGTGAGTTGCTATCCGCGATAACGATTTATTGGCCTTTACGTGTGTGCAGCGGAATTTCGTCAAATAAATGTTCATCCAGCTTCTGTTTCAATTTCTGCGCCGTTCTATGGAACAATCGCTCATTTTATGGCTGGCCTTCTTGTGAAAACGACTGCGCCGGTATATACCGAGACGACACCCTCGGTCGTCAGCCGAGACCGGTGCTGACTGCGCTATGCGCCGAGCCTAGGTGCCAGGCCAGCGTGGGGCGCACTGACGACCGTCATCACTCATTGCTATCCCCAGCGCTGTTCCTTTGTCTCCCGTAAGGCGCCGGCCGCTGCGCCCATTTTATGCAGCAGCACAGGTGATTATCGTCGAATTGAGACGAAGATGTGCCAGATTAGGTCGATATACGATTTAACGGCTGCGTGATTTGGAGCGATCTAATACCGGTCGGAATGCATTGTTATTTTTCATGGAGCGCTCTCTGACGGTGATGGCACGAGTGGTGTGCTCTGAGGGTCGTTTTAGTGCCCCGGTTCTGGGCTTCTACAACAAGCTGGCGTGTTTGCTAGAAACCGCAAACCTCAGTGAACTTGCAATAATGCTCCATGATCACCCCAGCCCCTCGTTTCTTCCCTCTCTCTCTCTCTCTCCCTCTCTCTCTCTCTCTCTCTCTCTCTCTCTCTCTCTCTCTCTCTCCCTCTCTCCCCTCTCTTTCTTTTCTTTCTGTCCGCTCTTGCTATCGATTCCACGGATACAAAATTTCCAGCTGTAAACCATTTTGTACGAGAAATATTAAAATTGTGATGCATGATAAGTGCGGAGCGGACAGGTCACACAGGCACCGGCGACAATCCCCGTGTGCCCCCTGAAATCCTGAAATCCCATTATACATATTCCACCAACCCGCCCGACCTCCCCGACCACCACGGCCCCGCTCGGCTCGATCGCGTGTCGACTGGCCACCACTGCCGCCGCATTTATGAGCGGCACCGCTGCACAACTGGCCGCTCTACGGTCGTTTTGCAGCCGAGGTCGGCCGGCCGGTCGGCGGACGAATGTCGTGGGCGGTGGGGACGAGTGAGGGGCAGACGGAGCCGAGATTCGCTCCGCATCGTTCACTCCGTACTAAACACTTGCTCCAGATACCTATACTCTCGTAACCGATCTGACACGACACCGGTATGGGTGGTCATATCTTTGGCAAGCTCCTGTTAAATTTCCTCGCGACCACTGAGTCAATTTTTCAGTCAGCATTGATCTTAGACTCCCATGAACCCTCCCATTTGCGGGTTTTCCTATGAATTTTCAGCGCTTGTGAAAGGGAACCACAATGAGAAGGGGAGGTCTGAGCGTAGAAGTCCAAATCACTTATTCTACGTGAGCCTTTGCCACGGCTCATATGAGGGACGTTTATAACGGTCCGTGGTCGCATTTAAAGTGGTGAATTTTGTTCTTTGTTCGCCTCTAATTGCACAAACAATTTATGTGCTTATCGTCTTTAACATCTGGCACACCGTCTCATCAAGGATTCGCGTTTTATTGCTGCACATGATTTATGTGTTCCTTCTAGAGCAGTGAAGGGACAATAAAGAAAACTCATTTGGCTGGCAATGTTTAAAGTTCATTGTAAATCCAGACGAATAGAAGCCATACGTGGTGCATTAGCATTTCTTTCAGCTGAGCGCAACGGTAAGGATGCCATTTTTCACGTATTTTGACACTTGAATCGCCCTTACGAAGTTCACTTGTCATTTTCGTATGCGTCTTACGAATGCTTATTTGGTTAAACCTTCATGTTTTTATGACAAATAGCCATGCATCTCAACCTGACGGTAGATAATCGCTCACTTCACCTTTTGTATACTATTTATAACGATAAATGTAGGTATGCTGTGGATCAATGAAGAAATATGCCTACAACAATTTTTCGCCCTCCGAAGAACAAAGACCGCAAAGAGGACCTCATTGAATGTGGGTAGCTAGCGCAGTACCACTAACGAACCTAGCCACTGTCTCCGTTCTGGCTTTCACCCACACACCTCCCAGCCCCTCCCTTCTCTGCTGTCGGGAGATGGCACTTCCGTTGCTCGGTACTCACATGTGGGTCCCTGTCTCCGTTGCGGGGCCGCGGCGATTGCTCGCGACCGTCGCGTCTCTCGGATGTCTGAGTGCGGCTGCTCTCCACCCGGGTGATGAAAGTCTCCGGGGTGTCCTTGTGCGGCCGCCACGAGCCGCTGTCGGGCTCGTCGACCCCCTGCCGCCGGCGCCGACCGTTCTGCGGACTCGCGGAGCTTCCCTCCTCGTCACTACCACGGAACTCAGTGAACTTGGCCAGACGCACATCGGAAGGCTCTTCTTCGTCGTCGTACATGAACTTGATCTCGAAGTTCTTCTTGCGGTCGTGTTTGTGCTTTCCGTCGTGCTGGCGGTCGCGTTCGACGCGCTTGCGCGCCCTGCCGAGGGTGCCTGTCTCGCGCTCTCGGCTCTCCCGGTCGCGGCTGGTGCGATCTCGACTCTCGCGGTCCCGGCTGTCGCGGTCGCGGCTGTCGCGTTTGCTGTGCGTCTCACGTGTCTCGCGTGTCTCCTTGACATCGCGTCGGTGGCCGTTGACGGTGCGAGGTGGTCGGCGCTCCTCGGATGGGTCACGCGAGTCGCGGCGACGCGGCGACTCGGATGAGCTGCTCACGTGGCGGGTCGACGCGTCGGCGCGACGCGTGTCCACGCGCCGTGTCCTGATGGTTTCGGTGCGCCGCTCGTCCCGTCGCTCGTCTCGCCTCTCATCCCGTCGCTCATCTCGCCTCTCGGAGCGTCGACGCTCGGTGGTCTCGCTGGGACTGATCCGCGGTCGATCGGGGGACAAATCGAAACCGGAAGATACCTGACGGTCAACCCTGCGCGAGTCGCTGGGCTCCGGACCGCTGCTGTGGCTGCCGCTCACAGACAGACGGATGACGTTCTCTGTCTCTCTGGGCGAGCTCTGCCGAGGGACGCTGTAAAGATCACCACCGCGGGGTGCGCGGTAGTGCTGCTCCTCGTCACTGGGAATGGATCCCTCCTTGACTGTGCTGAGCCGGGGCGAACGTTCGTTCGGCCTCTCTACGGGTCTGTCTGTCCGACGGCCGGTGGTCGTGACAATCTCAGGCGGCTGCTCTCCGATCATGACGATGCTGGAGCCGTAGCGATCGCGACGTGAGTCCCGCTGCTCAAACGAAGAGTCGAGCACGTCTTCCTGGAACCGGTACGACCGCGTGGCTTCCGCGTGGCGCGAGCCACGAGTCGGCTCCGGCGGCTTGCTCTGGAAGTGGTAAGTGCGCGTGCGCGTCTCCGGCACATCATCACGGTAAGTGCGTGGCTCACCGGACGAGTCGTACTCGTAGCGGAAGGTGTGGGTGACCGGTGGCGCGTCCGGGCGGATGACACGGATGCCCGGAGAGTCGAACGGATCAGTGTCGAAAGAGGATGGCAGAAGTGGCGACGGCTCGCGGAAGTTGCGGCTCACGGGTGGAGAGTCGAACTCGTACGAACGCTCCAGTTTCGGAGGTTCGTAGTTGTAGGTTCGTGTCAGCCGCGGTGGGTCGACGTCGGACGATTCGTGGTCGTAGAGTCTCCGTGGGAAAGTGCTGTTGAGGACGTTCATACCTGGCACATGGTCGGGGGACGAGGACCGGCTCCGCGGTTTCGTGCGACCTGGCTTGGCATCTGGCGAGCGGGAGCGGGACCGGGCGATCTGATCGATAATGCGCCGACTGCGGCTCTCAACAGAGTCCGAGTGGCTGATGATGTCGGCGTCCTCTCGGCCGATGTAGCTGAAGCCGTGCAGCGGCCGGTACTGGCCCGGCGTGCGGTCAGGTCTCGGCGGAGGCGCCTGACGTGGCATAGTGTCTGGCTCCAGGCGTTTGATGCTCGGTCGGCTCGCCTTCTCCCGCGAGGTCGTCTTCAGCGGCGCCTCGTACTCGGGGGTGATGCGGATAGTCGGCAGGGTGGGTGTCGAGCGGTGACCCGGTCGAGAAATCAGCTTGCCGTTCAGCCTCTTTGGGTTGTCCACCTCGTTGTCTCGAAGGTCGCGATCCTCACTGGACGGACGAAGTTTGTTCGGGTAGCTGGAGCGATCGTCGCCGTCCTTCAGGCTATTCAGGTTATTTAGGTGATCCACCTGACTTGAGCTACGCTTCAAAAAGCCGTTCACCTGCAGGCGAGTGAACTCTCCTTCGCGTGCACGCTCCCTCTTCAGAGACTCCGCCTTGAGGATGTTATTCTTATCCGCCTCGAGACTGCTGCTTCTGGGCGCCGGTGCCGGTAAAGTGTTGGTGCTCACAGACTTCACCGAGCCCGCCCTGCTGCTCGACTTGTTCTTCTTCTGCTTCTTCAGCGACGCCCTACTCAGCGAGCCGAACTTCTCGGGCGTCCTGCTTGGCCGCAGTCCGTTGTCGATGGGTCGCTCTGTGGTGCGCACGTCGCACGTCACGGCGTCCAGCTGGCGGATGATGTCCTCGGCCTGTCGGGCCACCTCCTCCGCGCTGGCCGGCGGCGGCTGGCGGTGCAGCACGGCGCGACCTACGGAGGGCCTTCGAACGTCCACGCCGCGTCGGAACGTCACCCGGCGGCTGGCGTCCGAGCGCTGGCTGTCTGAGCGGTGCACCGTGGGCGGCGCCAGCTCGCGCGGCATGCCGACTAGCCTGCCGCCGCGCGCATCGCCGGCGGCGCAGCGGGCCTACCTGCCGGCAGTGGAACGGGCACGGTCACGAGGGGCAGGTCGGAGAGGTGAGGGGGAAGGGGACAGAGACTGGTGACGGTACCTAACCAGTAACCACCGATAGTTTTGAGGAGTTATCCTTTACTATTATTGCATCCATGTTATGGAGTGTGCAATAAAAGACACGGCTTTTCTGTTAACTGTGTCTGTGCATGATAATAGTTGGCTAAATCGACATCATAGTGCCTTGTCAGCACAAGATTTCGTCGTGTGAAAGCGAGTGTAAGGAAGAAGTTTAGAAGGAAGTAAGCTGGCATGAGCGTTGAGTGTAGCGAGCGGCACGGTGACATGCTACCTCTGGGAACGGGACTCGCCGTTGTGACAGCCTAACATGCAAGTTAGGCAATGCAACAGTAGGGCAGTGACATGAACAGCGCAATATGATAGTTGTTCAGACGTTGTCGGTTCTGTGACGAATGCGCAAGTCACCATGTTACGACATTGCAAATGTATGTGCATGCATACAAGGATATTGCGCACAGAGGATTGCAAAGAAGGATGTAGGTTCTGCTGCCACAGGTCATTAGTCTCTAGGAAGGGTTATTAAGGATATGTAGCTGCTCTATTCCTCGGACTATGCCCAGCTAACGAGTTGGGTTCCAAAAGGGGCCGGGCTTAGGCCTGTGCTAAGTGTGTCGTCTAAAGGGATGTGCTTTGTCCTGCTCTAAGTGTGTCGTGTGCTGGAATGTGCACCTGCCCGGCCTCTTATATCCCGCTCCACCGCTTACATCCCGGTCTGTATTGGATATCATCTCACAGTGTCACGAGGCGAAGGCGACATAGACGGGTGACATGTTCCGATAACTACTTTGAAGCACCGTATGCTTGCGTATGAAAGCGCCGTTTGTCATCGTGTACACTGCATCTGTTTACTAAGTAAGTTCGCTGGAGTGGTGATCAGAGCTATTTGCATGCATGGACATTGAGCAGCAGATGGTGGTATTTTTAATCCGGTAGTTGCAAACATCGAACACATCTCTGTTGGGCATTAATGCCGGTGAAAGGGGCATTGTCTGATGATGAGATCACCACCGGTCAGGATAACTAAAGACCACCGTAGGGCCACGCCGCATCCCATGATTCCGCCGAAGCGTGCAACGGACGATCGATTTGAGCGCTTCCCTGTATAGGTTATAAGCTTTATAGGCAGCCACTGCGTTTTCCTTAGATCGACCATTCGTCATGTCATTGTTGCAATGGGTGGGCGCCGCTGAACAAGCATTACATAAAACATATCGCGTCTTTTGATCCGGCTGCAAACGGCAGCGCTGCGCTGCGTGTGGAGTTTCAATGCGACTCTGAGAATACCGTTCACACGGGCTATGACTAGGCTGTGTTTGAGTCCAAACATTGCGCCGGTTCGGTAAGGTCCTTCACGTTCGGTACCCTCCACCTTGGCTAGTCGGTGGCGAACTCACACTCAGAACAGATTTCGAAGTGACCACTCATACCCATGGCACACACGTCCCGCTGCCGGTCACCTATACGCTCGCTATCGGTCACCCATGGAATACTCATCCCGTGGATCCCCTCGCTTCACTGATTATGCACCCGTAAGTGTCCCCCTCCCCATCGCCCACCCATGGCTCCCCCGCACTCATCCCGTAGTATGTCCTTCACCGGCCACCGCTGCTCATGGTTCAGAGCTCCCCGCCGCTGCTGCATTTATCTCCATCGCTCTCCGCCAGAAGTTTGCGCGGTGGCTCAGCTGCGGGCTGGCCGCGCCGCCGGCGGCCGGCGGTACTGTTCGATGCATTATTGATGGTGGGGCTCGGGCGGCTGCACCCAGTGGGCTCCGCCGGCTGCTGGGACCGCCACGGAGCCGCAGCACGGCGGCAGCTATCGGCTGGAGGGCGCACGGCCCCCGGCGACTCCTAATGCTCGGTTTGGGAGGTCGCGTCAGCTTTTACCGACCCCTTGGTGCTCGCACTGAAGGGTGTGAATCGCATTCTGCTCACTTGGCTACGTGATTTGTCATAGCGCATACCCCGCTGTGTCTACATTCGGAAACTACTCTCCTAAGGGGTGCCGTAAACGTGTCGTAACTCAAACTCTGCCACATCATTGTCAAATGAATATTTTGTTGCTTTGAAACCCCGGGGACCCATGCGCTGGACGGCTTGCTGGTTAGGTGTTGTAAGTGCCAAATTCACTTCTTGACACCGTGAGACTAATAAGGGAAATGTACAGACAGCTGAATTGTGCCGTGCCTTGCAGCTATCCGGTTTGTAAATGCCAAAGCTTCAAAGCTCGACTTGAGGTGACCTATGATCGTATCGGCGATCATTACACTTGATTTATCTTTATAGCAAAGTGCCATGGCTGTTGGTTGAACCTTTCTCCCACAATATCTATGCGATCTTCTGAGGCAGACTGCCCGTCACAGTCTTATTCAGTCATTCAATGCAGAAGTTCACCCTGAAGGCCGTACTAGCCGTACCTGAGCTGTCACTCAGCTCCCCATCTGCTTGACCGGACGCCGCGGCTCTCCCCGCCGAGCCAACCGAACCGAAGGGGACATCTACAATTCATGCCATTGCTGAGGTCAAGCCGCCAAACCCGTGTCCGGCTCGGCAGACTGCCAATCCGTCAGACGGCGGTGGGTGCCTCCGGGCACAGCCGTCTGTCCGTGCCGGCCCACGTGACTGTGACGTCACTCTGTGTTAGGCGCCGCGGCCAGGTCAGGTGACGGGGCAGCGATTGTTTGCGGTGAGTGCGGAGGCGGGGTGCAGGGGCGGTAGTGGTTCGAGTATAGGCGGCCGCTGCTGAGCTGGTGGGAGTGAAGTAGGGCTGACGGGACACTGATACCGTTCTCTTGCAGCTGCGGCGATCTCTAGAAGAAATTTGTACGTTTCGATCATAATTTTCGAGAGAGTCGTTGTGTAATGTCTGATGAGTATGAGAGTGCCAATTAAAGTTCAATCAAATTTGGCTGTCCTGCTTTCTGGAGCATATTTTAGCGATCATCGCCGCACAAGAAGAAAGCAAGGACGGAGTTGTTTTACTTCATTTCAAAACTGTTGCGTTTTTAGACGTCACTGGCCTGAGGCAAATAAATCATGACAGAACGGCATCTTAGGTCAGTAGGCATATTGTACAGTGGTTCTATACATGAATGATTTTAGAACATTTTGCCATAATGTAATCCTAAATTTAGGATTGAGCTTTATGGTTAACGCAAATCAGTGTCTTACTTATTGCCTGCAAGTTCAAAGAGCGAGAACCGCCTTGTTAACGGTCCGTTCACCCAGTCAGCAAAATGGCCCGCCGGTGTCTGCTGGAATCGCCAGAACCGGGCTTCACGGAGGTGGCGCGTCCATAAGTGGACGCCCTGGCACTGAGGCGAAGGCACGGGGCGGGGGACTGGTCGGCACGGCACGGGAGTCTGGTCGGCACGGGAGGGGATACGGGTCGGCACGGGACGGCACGGGACGAGACGAGAGACAAGTGTTGGTTAGGATGGCTCGGAAAGAAGTGCTCGGAGACTATGTGTTTGTTGGGACGGCTCGGAAAGAAGTGCTCGGAGACTAGTGTTTGTTGGGACGGCTCGGAAAGAAGTGCTCGGAGACTAGTGTTGGTTGGGACGGCTCGGAAAGAAGTGCTCGGAGACTAGTGTTGGTTGGGACGGCTCGGAAAGAAGAGTTGGGTCAGCACAAGAACAGACGTCAGACGGTGTGGGCACGAGATGGGAGACGTTGCTGGTTGGAGACGGAACAAGAGAAGGTGTTAACAGGGAATGGGCTCGCTTGCTTATTCCGAAACGGATCATGTGGAACATCAGAACAGCGGGCTTGGAAAATTAGCACTTAGTGGATGGGCTCATGATGACTGCAGCTGCTAACTACTCAGAGGAAGCCGTACCGGCCGTTCCCATTTAAAAGAAACGCTATGAGCAGTATAATTTTGTTTGCATTATTGCATTATGCGCATTTCTCCATAATTATATCGGTGTAATCAAATTACAATTATTTATCATTTCATTGTCGCACATAAATAACATAAAGCAATAGGCACAATGATATGAGTCAGTACTGTAGGATAAGTGAAAGAAAAAAGCCGTTACGACTTGCAATCAAGAGATTTGACACAACTTTTGTGCGAAACTTTGGGAATCCACTGCCGATCACCAAGGCATAGCGCACCTGTTCAGGGGGAAATTGCATAAAGTGCATATGAATGTCATGCAGAGCCGATTATCACGTGCTTGCGATATCTAGCCGTTGAAAAGATATCGCATGCCGAGGAAATTGCGCCTGTTTACACATTACGACAATCAGGAGGCCGACAAACGGTAGCGATTGTCAGCGCACGGAACAGATGCCAGGAAAAGATAGCAACCCGGTCCGCTAGCTCTAATATCATGAAAGTCACCAAGAAATCAGCGCTTTACCGTGCATCAGCAAATACCCACATATTTGCAACGAAGTGTAAAGGCATAATGTTGCTTCACAAGCTTCACACTGACTCCCGTTGCCATTTTCCACCACCACTCTCCGCTATATCACCCGTGTTTACCTCCCAGCGCCCTGCTCACCTCTCTGAGGACTCCTCCGTGAACAGGTGTGGCTCTCAGCAGCCGTCAGCGCTGCCGGCCTCACAGCGACCCCTCACCGACGACACACCGACCCGACTGACGCTGCCGCCGCTCACGGCCGCCGCGCCGCTGCCGTGACATCATCCGTGACGTCAGAGACCGCCGCGCAGCACGCCCATCACTCCGGGGGCGGGGGCGGGGGCGGCTGGCCCGGGCGCCGCCCACCGACCGTCCTGGACGATGGCGGATCTGACCGCGTTTGTGGTTATAAGGTGGAAGTGGTTTTGTTGACTGGAATGAGTTCAGCGGTGTTGGTCACGTCTATAGATTATTGAATCCTTCAGCATTTGTTCCAAGGGCGGTCCAAAGTTACGTGGCCTGTTTTAATTCTATATAGCAGCCAGCCGCCAGTCAGGTAGATGGGATATACTCGTAAGTGCGCATAGAGAGGTTACATTACAGGGTGTCAAAGAGTCGCGCCAGTTGACAAATAATAAGACTCGGATCTTGATGGCTAATCGTAACAACATAAGGAGCCACCTTTTTACGCCAGGTGTCATCTATTGTCCGGCTCCAAATATTTCAGTGTCCGGCCCGTGCTTTTGAGTTCTGCGACCGGACCTGACGGACGTGTGTGCACTGCAATGTTGCACACACGACAATGACAACACCCGGGAAACCGGCGGCGACGGCGGCGAGCCCGCGGTAGCCACCGGCAGACCGCGGTTGGCGAAAGTAGAAAAGACCGTGCCGTGATGAGATCACGGCTGGCGGCTCGGAAAGTATTGCCACTGTGCACCAGGGTAATAGACATATTACTGAGCGTGTCCAACGGCTGGGAATGCCCAGCACAGGGGACACAGTACAGCAGCGGCTCTGTGCAGCGGTTAGTGGCCACATATGTCTATGGTGGCACGGAACGTTGTAATCAGTGCCTATAACGACACGAGGAGTGGCAACAAATGCCTATTTTGACCCCACCGGTGCTAATCGTAGCGCCGTAAGCATATTTTATGCGTCGTCCCGCTCTGTCCGTTCAACCCTAATCGAAAGGAGGGGGTTTTCGCTGTGTTCCCTCGCCCGGCACAAATGACCGTCATCTTTCCATAGGGCGTAATTGCCGGTGACGTCATGAAAACGGAAAGTCTGCAAACATTTATAACGGTCCGTCACGGCTAGTGACTAGAAATCAAACAACTTTTCACAGCGCAGGCCGTAGGGATTCGGCGCCGCTGTCGATGTGTTAGGTTCTGAGCCGTCGTTGCAGTCTCCGGGCATAGCCGGTGCTACGTTTATGTTCCTAATGCAGTCACTGATTTCCCGAGCATCGCAGTCTCCGGCTGAAGCCGGCCGCTCTCAATTGAGTGACATCTCCTCCGCTAAGTGAACCGTTCTAGTTGAAGTCATGTCTTCAGTGTGATGCAGTAACGTCTAGCCCATTATCCTACAGGATACCTAAGCTACGTGACTGGCAGATATGTGTCAATTTTGCGTCATGTGCCCGAGGTTGCCGGTATTTTGGCTCATTATGTGATGCGCACTCCCATCACTGTGCTACCACGGCCTTGTGCGGTATGATACGCCCTTCCCACGCCATCAGACTAGATTGGGTGTTCGTACTGGTCCGTACGTACGTGCAGAGTTCCTGCTCATCAGCGCCAGACACACCGCCAGGTCACCCGGCTATGACCCGCTGTCACTCAGAAGGTCGGCTGACGCCAGCAATACCGGAAGGCGATGCAAGAGGCTGCCATGCATTTGGAAAGATGCATGCGGTCTCTAGTGACGTCATGGTGTGGGTAGCTGCTTGATGTTGTCCACAGTGGTAGCGATTAGTGGCAGGCTCCTGGCTACCCCTATTAGTGGCAGGGGGGGGGGGGCTGTTTACGACCCCTTCCTAATATCTCGAGATCTAACGGGCCGATTTTCAAAATTCAAACGGCATTCGATTTCGCTCAACGTGATCTACATTTCTAAAAAATAAAAATTAAATGTCAATAGGGGGTAGAGGGGGGTAAAAACGGCCAAATTGCAGATACATTTTAGACTGTTTATCACGGCCAGGTTTCTGAACCAATCTTAACGCAACTTTTGCCGATCGATAGAGAATGAACCAGGAATTCACATGGATCCTAAAAATGTGCATTTTCAAAAATCATAGGCGGATACAGATCATTGAGATTGGGGGTACACAAAAAGTATAGTAAATAAGGTTTTTGTTGGTACTGTTTCTAAAAAGGGTGGTAATTGTCTTGTCATGTTACAATTTTCGTATGAGAGAACGACTACAATTGTATTGGTCATGCATAGGCGGTGTCAGGGCACCTATGTTGGGAGGTAAAACATACCCCCCCTTTTTTGGACGCCTGGATCCGCCTATTATAGCAAAAACGTGTCAAAAGAGGATGCACAATAACTTTGTATATGTTATCACATAATACCTTTCATTCACTGTTCGTAAAACTGGTGCATACAGTTATAATACATCAGCATCGTGATCTTCGCCCAAATGACTCGCTTCACGAATAGGACCCCCCAATTCCCAGTGCTCTGGAGCCGCCCCTGGTAAAGTTATGAACTTGAAATTTTCAGGGAATGTGCCCAATTTAGTTTTAGGAAAAGTCAGAAAATTTCAGCATCGTAGCTTCAGCGGTTTCGGAGATATTCCCGAAAAACCTGAGGGGTGGATGAAACCCCCCCCTGCCACTAATAGGGTTATTACGTCGATTGGTCTTAGAGCTAATTTTAATCAGCAAAAGCGCAGTCGGAAGGCTCACTGTTCAACTCCCTAACTAGTTGAGGATAGAATATTTCCCCGTAGAGAAAAACGCGATATGAAAGAAGATAAAATGTAACTCACTACAATCGAGTGTTGGCCCTGCACGGTATCAACAGTCGCCTGCTGACTGGTAGTATATATAAGTAAAATCAAAATCAGCTTAGAATATAAAAATCGTCCCAATCGTATATCCCGTGCCCCGCTGGGCTATTCAGCCATACGCGCCCTGCTGGGGGGGGGGGGGGGGGCAGATTCTGCCCCCCCTGTCTAACTTCCGAACCGATGGTCGTAGAAAGATGGGGAAAACGGCAATCGAAAGCTCTCAACAAGGCGGATCTTAAGAGCCCAAATTTTTTTGCTTAAGTAGGTCAGAGGTCAGGTCAAGGTCAGGTCAAGGGTACAAAATGCAAGTTTCTACAGTATCGGCCTTGCACCGTAGTTGCCGAAGAATGGACTGAGACTGATTGCCCAAAACGTATTCTTAGACTACCAAGACAATATTCGTTGCATACAATGTCATTCAAAGGTCAAGGTCAAGGTCAGGTCAGGTCAGGTCACCAAAAACAAAATATAGAAATAGGCATGTGCGACACATGTTTTATGGGTCATTTCACTCATAGAATTCAATAGGCACACTCAATAAGTGATATGGACCACCTCTGGATGAATTTCAGGTCGAGGTCAGGTCAAGGTCAGGTCAAGTGAGGTCAAATTTTGAAGTTGGTTGTTTAGGCATAAAAAGGTGTCTATCTGATGCAGTTTTTCACGGCGAATCGAATGGTGCTATTTTTAATTCCGTACGAGATCTAGAACTTCCAAAAAAATCATTTTTCAAAATTTTTGTTTGTCGTGACGTCATAAAATTTTGAATAACTCCCACATTTTTTTAACCGATTCTTCTAAAAATTGGTATGTAGGTGCACATAGACCACTTCTCTAACATATATTCCGTTTTTTTTTATACACTCAAAATTTTGGATTCTATAATTATTTTCCCAAAAAAGTCAGTTTTTTGAACAAATTTGGACCAAAATCCAAAATTTTCAAAAAACCGAGATAGCCATTTGATAGACAAAGTGGAATCACGTATAACCTTTTTGTTACGTCTTGATTCCTTTAAAAATGAAGATGTTAGCGGCGTTTGAAATTTTGCCGTTTTTGAGGCGAAAATGGCGAACATGACGTCACTAAAACGTAAATTTCTCAAAAATTTTCCGACGGATTTCGCTCAAATTTTCAGGGAACGTGTCAAATTGATGTATGATAAGGTACTGTAAGTTTGACGTCGCTGGCGTTACGCGTTTAGAAGTTATTGGCGAAAAACGGGAGGGGGGGGCAGATTCTGCCCCCCCCCCCCCAGCGGGGCGCGGGATATTCGACATACGTGCGGTTTGGAAAATATAGCCAAACCCTATGGGCAGTATCCCGAAGAGCCCCTCTGCTGCAGACAGACTCGGCAGAGATTCTTACATCGTCTGTTCCTTGCGGCGGCCAGCGGTATCGTTCGTTCAATCTTAACGATCATGCAACTTGTACGGGATTAACTGAAGCCGGGATAAGTCGGCAGTCGGCACCAAAGCAGCACCGGGTCCTGTGGCCTTCGGGCGGGCTATTAAATTACGTCCTCGATTCGGAATGCTCCACGGAATGGTGGTTAGACACGAAAGCCAAGAGACCAAACCAGTAATGAGTGTACCATGGAAGGTGTGGTCAAAATATGAATCACAATTCTTGCAAATGACCATACATAGCTGCCAACTTTTCCTACTTTGCTACGTCCACTTCTCAATTGCAGACCATAAATCTTAAAAACGCTAATGAAACTAAAAGGTATCAAATGAAAATGTATTTTATGAAACACCGACCAATAAAACCGCATGATTTTAACAAAGTGGGCTACTGGAGCCTACCTTATAAACGGACAACAATACGACACCTTCATGTAGCGCGCCGTGACTCCCACAGGGAGGTTCATTCATTTTTCAGGCACCATCGTTTTCAGCCACCCGTGCTCCTTTGGACCCGCTCAGGTCCCACTGGCCCATGCAGTATAACTTGGAGTTCGCAGGCTGGTGCGGCCTCAGTTCAGTCCGGGCCGGACTGTTATCTCTGACCCGCCGCGCCGGTCCGTAGCACCGTCACGGCGGACTCCGGAAGAAGGCAGCACGTCCCACGCTCAGCCAATGGCCGCGTCACCTTCGCCAGAGGACCCGCCGCGACGAGCGCCACCAGCGGTACATCAACACTCACCACAGAAGGCACGCACAGTTGACGAGTTTCCTCCTCACACCTTCCACGGAATACTGCAGCCTCTACAAGCACCAACGATCCCCTTCCCATCCCGAGACCACCCACCATCATCTCCACACAACGCCACCGCCTCACGCTGACTCCACGGCGAACTTGACCTGCAGGTCGCCCGTTTTGGCGGCGAAGCTGAACTGACAGCGGAGACGGTCGGCGCCGGGGGTCACGGGCCGGGGTTCTCTGATGAGGTGGGCCGCCTGGCGGGCGTACCGGTCCCAGACGATCTGCTGGCCGGGCCGCGGCGCCTGCAGAGGCCCCGTGGTGAGCCGCTGTTGGCCGGCCGGGTCCAGAATCCACTCCATCCAGAGCGCCACGCCGTTACACGAGCCGGGCCTGGCAGTGGGGGAAGGGGCGTTAGTGCACACGGCGGGAGGAAATATTCACAAAGCGACAAGCTTGTGATGTTGATCTGTGTTTACGAGGACAGGCCATCAGAAACGAAAATTGAACGCTGACGGCATTGAATTCGATTACCATTCATACCTTTTCATGGTGATTTTTGGAAAAAGGAAACTACGGCTCAAAGAGTTATCGTAATCGTTACATGACAATAATTGCAATCAATAACTAAAAGCCTTGCAATGCGGCGATGAAAACTTTAATCCACCAAGCCACGCAATGAATGATAACAAAAAGAAAACATAAACCATCAACCGACTTCTAACCAGGCCTGTGTTAAAGCATCTCCCCTCAAAGCACCAACAGCCGCCGGCGGGGCCCGTGCAAACCCACACAGTAGCCGGTAACACCGCTCTACGGTAACGAGCGGCGGCAGCCGTCCGACCGGCCGGCCGGCCGCAACACGACAACAAAGCCGCCTAATCCCACCAGAAAAAGTCGATCGTGTGCCGTAAGCCCGTGCAAATCAACTTACTGTCAGACTGCCAAACAGACAAATCATGGGAAAACGAACGGGTTCTTGGACGTCAAGGCTTTTTGCAAGCATGCAGTAGGTATTACTGAAAAAAAAAACTCGCAATACTAATTGCTCACAGCACGGGCCCAACCAAAGTTAACTACGATTCCTAACCAACTGTTCGCCACCTCTGCCAAGAACTGTCCCACTACCATCTGCCCGCTCCCACCCCGTCACTCTACCCCGTCCTCCCGTCACTCTCCCAATGACTCACGCTGTGATCTCCATATTGGTGGTGCTCTGTAGGTCGGCCGGCGCACCCCCAGCCAGGTCAAACGTGGCCAGTGATAGGGGCTCCGTTAACGCCCGGCACGGGTACTCCCAGAGAGGGTGGGGCTCGCACTCACTGTCAGCCACCTGACACGCAGACTGGGAGGGGAGAGAGTGGGTCAGATCAACAGCGGGTACAGGTAGATGTCATAGGGATGTGCGTCAAGACACAATGGGTAGTGATGGATGTCGGAACATAGCCGCTAACAAAACAGACCGCTATAGTCGGCCTGAGTCGCAGTTACTAGAAATGGACAGGCAATAATCCCGGTGAAACGGGAAGTAATGTCGACGGGAGGCATTAGGAGTGATGTGAGGTAAGCTCTGTGTCTGAAAGACCGCGACCTTTAGGCAAGTCTGTCTGTCTTCAGCCAGCATCATGGCAATTAATGCTAGCCCGTAAATCCAGTTAAGCCAGTTCAATTAACAAACCTACATCAATCATGAAAAGACCACAGCAGCATATCAAGAAAAACGTGGATTACCGACGAATTAATCCGTTCCATGACCTGCGCATTCGTATTGCCCTCATTACGCCAGTAATTAGCACGAGCTCAGCACGCAGTCGAGCCCCAAACCGCGACGCGTGGTCGGCGTGTGGCTCACCTCGATCAGGTCATCGAAGAGGTCCATTTTGAACCCCTCGACCGAGTGGAGCGGCGCTCGGATCTTCCAGAGGTCGCGGTACTCGACACCGACACAGCGCAGCTCGGCGGAGTGAGGGATCGTCTACCGGAACAGCGGGGAAGGGATTAAAGCTGCAAATATAGAGCCAGTGGTCAACGATCGACTCATCGGTATTGAGAATTCGAGGCATAAAATGGCCACGCCCCATTCGTTTTCCATTTACTTTTCCTATGAAACATAAAATTATTTCAAAATTGCACCATGCACCATTTACAAACCTCAAATCTATTGAGTTTCAAAGCAATTTTGCGATGGGCCAAGTTAAATCTAACCAATTCACAAAGAAATCCCACCATCCGTCCCTCTCACCAACACAGCTCACACACTGTCATTTCCACCAGAGCGTGGCACACATACAGTCGCCTCACCAGTAGATCATACACATTACACGACTTCCTATTTCAGTGTAAAATTTTTACTTCACCGTTACCTGTGCAGATGAAAAAAAGTTTTGTTTTTTACCAGTCAGTGATGAAAAAAATGACCGATCTTAACATGCAATGATGATTTTTACACTAACGGGTGCTATGATGAAAAGAATGACAACGTGAATTACGTTACGGTGTAAATGGTGTGAACCATTATCCAGCTCACAATGATGGATGGCATAGAAACATCGTTATAAAAAACGTACATGGCGGCAACCATTTTCTGTTCTGATCCATCTTCTCTGATCAGAGAGGATAGTGCTCGAGTTGAAGGTGAAAAACTTCTTCACAATGTAAAACTAAAATAATTCTGAAAATAAAAATACCTACCAGGTTTCAGAGAGCTACCCAGCGACGCATTATCATTACGTTGCTTATATATATCCTGATCATTACCCTCTCTGAAAACGGAAGGCACGCGACGCACGTCTGTCAAACTAGCAGCGAGCAGCGAGCAGCGAGTCCAGCAGCGAGAAACGGGCCATCCCGATTTAGCTGAAATTTGGCTCACAGAGCCTTCTCAGCACGCTGATTCCGAAAATCATGGTCTCTAGTGTGGAAATATTGACCGTTCTCGAGATAGAACCCTCTAAAGTTCTTACCACCCATGACCGGGCCATCCCGATTTGGCTGAAAATTGGCTCACAGAGCCTTCTTAGCACGCTGATTCCGAAAATTATGGTCTCTAATGTGGAAATATTGACCGTTCTCGAGATAGAACCCTCTAAAGTTCTTACCATCCATGACCGGGCCATCCCGATTTGGCTGAAAATTGGCTCACAGAGCCTTCTCAGCACGCTGATTCCGAAAATCATGGTCTCTAGGGTGGAAATATGAACCGTTCTCGAGATAGAACCCTCTAAAGTTCTTACCACCCATGACCGGGCCATCCCGATTTGGCTGAAAATTGGCTCACAGAGGCTTCTCAGCACGGGGATTCCGAAAATCATGGTCTCAAGGGTGGAAATATGGACCGTTCTCGAGATAGAACCCTCTAAAGTTCTTACCACCCATGACCGGGCCATCCCGATTTGGCTGAAAATTGGCTCACAGAGCCTTCTCAGCACGCTGATTCCGAAAATCATGGTCTCTAGGGTGGAAATATTGACCGTTCTCGAGATAGAACCCTCTAAAGTTCTTACCACCCATGACCGGGCCATCCCGATTTGGCTGAAAATTGGCTCACAGAGCCTTCTCAGCACGCTGATTCCGAAAATCATGGTCTCTAGGGTGGAAATATTGACCGTTCTCGAGATAGAACCCTCTAAAGTTCTTACCATCCATGACCGGGCCATCCCGATTTGGCTGAAAATTGGCTCACAGAGCCTTCTCAGCACGCTGATTCCGAAAATCATGGTCTCTAGTGTGGAAATATTGACCGTTCTCGAGATAGAACCCTCTAAAGTTCTTACCACCCATGACCGGGCCATCCCGATTTGGCTGAAAATTGGCTCACAGAGCCTTCTCAGCACGCTGATTCCGAAAATTATGGTCTCTAATGTGGAAATATTGACCGTTCTCGAGATAGAACCCTCTAAAGTTCTTACCATCCATGACCGGGCCATCCCGATTTGGCTGAAAATTGGCTCACAGAGCCTTCTCAGCACGCTGATTCCGAAAATCATGGTCTCTAGGGTGGAAATATGGACCGTTCTCGAGATAGAACCCTCTAAAGTTCTTACCACCCATGACCGGGCCATCCCGATTTGGCTGAAAATTGGCTCACAGAGGCTTCTCAGCACGGGGATTCCGAAAATCATGGTCTCAAGGGTGGAAATATGGACCGTTCTCGAGATAGAACCCTCTAAAGTTCTTACCACCCATGACCGGGCCATCCCGATTTGGCTGAAAATTGGCTCACAGAGCCTTCTCAGCACGCTGATTCCGAAAATCATGGTCTCTAGGGTGGAAATATTGACCGTTCTCGAGATAGAACCCTCTAAAGTTCTTACCACCCATGACCGGGCCATCCCGATTTGGCTGAAAATTGGCTCACAGAGACTTCTCAGCACGGGGATTCCGAAAATCATGGTCTCAAGGGTGGAAATATGGAGAGACCATAATTTTTGGAATCAGCGTGCTGAGAAGGCTCTGTGAGCCAATTTTCAGCCAAATCGGGATGGCCCCCCAGTAAACATGACGACGTCGGCCCGACGTCGGGCCGAGGCTCGGCCCGACGTCGGCCAAACGTCGGTCCAACCTCGGCCCGACATCGGCTGGACGTCGGATATGCCCGCATGTTCCGACGTCCAGCCGAAGTCCAGCCGACGTCGAGCCGACGTCGGGCCGAGATCGTTTGCCGAGGTTGACGAGATCGTTTGTCGTTGGACCGACGGGGCCGACGTCGGCATGTTTATTGGGACAACGCGCCAAAAGTATCAACCGGCGGCGGGATTCGAGCCCCCCAGTCGCCGACGTCGGCATGTTTACTGGGACAACACGCCAAAAGCATCAGCCGGCGATGGGATTCGAACCACGTGTCATTCGAACGCGAGGGTAGTGCGCTAACCACTACACCACGCAGCCAGCAAACAAAATTGGTTTGTTTTGTTGGGTTATGCCCTTTCGGTCTGACAAGACCATTTCAGAGCCGGAAGGATCATAGGATGGAGACATTGGTCTTCTTGGCGAGCACCCTGGGTCCAGTTCATATAGAGTCCCTGGTCCCATTGCTGTTACGTGACACTTATTGGAAAGGGCGACCCCACTATGGATTCATATAGCCACTCTTACACACCTGCACCAACGTTTCCCAAAGTGTCCCTTTGATAAGTGGCACTTTAGCAAAGTGACACTTGCCGACTGGCCTTTCTATATGAACTGGGCCCGGCCCTGGTGAGTTGCCGGGGCTGAGCCTGACCAAAGGATAGGCCGAGCAGCCCCTCAAGCACTCACCGCACCCGGCTACGGGCGAGCTCGGTTTACATACGGGCAATCCCAAATGGGATAAAGTTTCCCGTCCAGTCCGGATCAGGGGGTTGCGGCGTGGAGGAAGATTTGAGTTTCCTGAGGATATTTTGAATACAGAAGCTCTTTATGAAACATGAAACATGTATTTTATATTATTTTAACGGTCAAAACAGCGGCCGATGTCGGTCCGACGTCGCCCCGACGTCGGCCCGACGTCGGCTGGACCTCAGCAATTTATCTCGGTCCGACGTCGGCCCGACGTCGGCTGGGCCTCGGCTGGACGTCGGAACATGCGGGCATATCCGACATCCAGCCGACGTCGTGCCGAGGTTGGACCGACGTCGGGCCGACGTCGGCATGCCGATGCCGAGTTGCCGACGTCACCCCGACGTCGGCCGACGTCGGGCCGACGTCGGCATGTTTACTGGGCCGGTCATGGATGGTAAGAACTTTAGAGGGTTCTATCTCGAGAACGGTCAATATTTCCACCCGTGCTGAGAAGGCTCTGTGAGCTAATTTTCAGCCAAATCGGGATGGCCCGGTCATGGATGGTAAGAACTTTAGAGGGTTCTATCTCGAGAACGGTCAGTATTTCCACCCTAGAGACCATGATTTTTGGAATCAGCGTGCTGAGAAGGCTCTGTGAGCCAATTTTCAGCCAAATCGGGATGGCCCGGTCAAGGATGGTAAGAACTTTAGAGGGTTCTATCTCGAGAACGGTCAGTATTTCCACCCTAGAGACCATGATTTTCGGAATCAGCGTGCTGAGAAGGCTCTGTGAGCCAATTTTCAGCCAAATCGGGATGGCCCGGTCATGGATGGTAAGAACTTTAGAGGGTTCTATCTCGAGAATGGTCAATATTTCCACCCTAGAGACCATGATTTTCGGAATCAGCGTGCTGAGAAGGCTCTATGAGCCAATTTTCAGCCAAATCGGGATGGCCCGGTCATGGATGGTAAGAACTTTAGAGGGTTCTATCTCGAGAACGGTCAATATTTCCACCCTAGAGACCATGATTTTCGGAATCAGCGTGCTGAGAAGGCTCTGTAAGCCAAATTTCAGCTAAATCGGGATGGCCCGTTTCTCGCTGCTGGACTCGCTGCGAGGGTTCTATCTCGAGAACGGTCAATATTTCCACCCAAGAGACCATGATTTTCGGAATCAGCGTGCTGAGAAGGCTCTGTGAGCCAATTTTCAGCCAAATCGGGATGGCCCGGTCATGGGTGGTAAGAACTTTAGAGGGTTCTATCTCGAGAACGGTCAATATTTCCACCCTAGAGACCATGATTTTCGGAATCAGCGTGCTGAGAAGGCTCTGTGAGCCAATTTTCAGCCAAATCGGGATGGCCCGGTCATGGATGGTAAGAACTTTAGAGGGTTCTATCTCGAGAATGGTCAATATGTCCACCCTAGAGACCATGATTTTCGGAATCAGCGTGCTGAGAAGGCTCTGTGAGCCAATTTTCAGCCAAATCGGGATGGCCCGGTCATGGATGGTAAGAACTTTAGAGGGTTCTATCTCGAGAACGGTCAATATTTCCACCCTAGAGACCATGATTTTCGGAATCAGCGTGCTGAGAAGGCTCTGTGAGCCAAATTTCAGCTAAATCGGGATGGCCCGTTTCTCGCTGCTGGACTCGCTGCGAGGGTTCTATCTCGAGAACGGTCAATATTTCCACCCTAGAGACCATGGTTTTCGGAATCAGCGTGCTGAGAAGGCTCTGTGAGCCAATTTTCAGCCAAATCGGGATGGCCCGGTCATGGATGGTAAGAACTTTAGAGGGTTCTATCTCGAGAATGGTCAATATTTCCACCCTAGAGACCATGATTTTCGGAATCAGCGTGCTGAGAAGGCTCTGTGAGCCAATTTTCAGCCAAATCGGGATGGCCCGGTCATGGATGGTAAGAACTTTAGAGGGTTCTATCTCGAGAACGGTCAATATTTCCACCCTAGAGACCATGATTTTCGGAATCAGCGTGCTGAGAAGGCTCTGTAAGCCAAATTTCAGCTAAATCGGGATGGCCCGTTTCTCGCTGCTGGACTCGCTGCGAGGGTTCTATCTCGAGAACGGTCAATATTTCCACACTAGAGACCATAATTTTCGGAATCAGCGTGCTGAGAAGGCTCTGTGAGCCAATTTTCAGCCAAATCGGGATGGCCCGGTCATGGGTGGTAAGAACTTTAGAGGGTTCTATCTCGAGAACGGTCAAGATTTCCACCCTAGAGACCATGATTTTCGGAATCAGCGTGCTGAGAAGGCTCTGTGAGCCAAATTTCAGCTAAATCGGGATGGCCCGTTTCTCGCTGCTGGACTCGCTGCGAGGGTTCTATCTCGAGAACGGTCAATATTTCCACCCAAGAGACCATGATTTTCGGAATCAGCGTGCTGAGAAGGCTCTGTGAGCCAATTTTCAGCCAAATCGGGATGGCCCGGTCATGGGTGGTAAGAACTTTAGAGGGTTCTATCTCGAGAACGGTCAATATTTCCACCCTAGAGACCATGATTTTCGGAATCAGCGTGCTGAGAAGGCTCTGTGAGCCAATTTTCAGCCAAATCGGGATGGCCCGGTCATGGATGGTAAGAACTTTAGAGGGTTCTATCTCGAGAATGGTCAATATTTCCACCCTAGAGACCATGATTTTCGGAATCAGCGTGCTGAGAAGGCTCTGTGAGCCAATTTTCAGCCAAATCGGGATGGCCCGGTCATGGATGGTAAGAACTTTAGAGGGTTCTATCTCGAGAACGGTCAATATTTCCACCCTAGAGACCATGATTTTCGGAATCAGCGTGCTGAGAAGGCTCTGTGAGCCAAATTTCAGCTAAATCGGGATGGCCCGTTTCTCGCTGCTGGACTCGCTGCGAGGGTTCTATCTCGAGAACGGTCAATATTTCCACCCTAGAGACCATGATTTTCGGAATCAGCGTGCTGAGAAGGCTCTGTGAGCCAATTTTCAGCCAAATCGGGATGGCCCGGTCATGGATGGTAAGAATATTAGAGGGTTCTATCTCGAGAATGGTCAATATTTCCACCCTAGAGACCATGATTTTCGGAATCAGCGTGCTGAGAAGGCTCTGTGAGCCAATTTTCAGCCAAATCGGGATGGCCCGGTCATGGATGGTAAGAACTTTAGAGGGTTCTATCTCGAGAACGGTCAATATTTCCACCCTAGAGACCATGATTTTCGGAATCAGCGTGCTGAGAAGGCTCTGTGAGCCAAATTTCGGCTAAATCGGGATGGCCCGTTTCTCGCTGCTGGACTCGCTGCTCGCTGCTCGCTGCTAGTTTGACAGACGTACGCGACGCGTTGTTTGCGCCGTAGTTTGTCACGCTGGCGCCAGCAAATGCGGCTACTAAATAATTGCGTTGCATTAAACCGAACTCGGCCCCCGACACCGTAAGAGGTGCAATTTCCCTCGAGACATTACCCAGCCTGCATGGCATCAAATCGGAAGAAACTTGCACCACACAGTTCAAAAATGATCGAGGCTGTCACATATGTATAGTATTTGCCACATCTTTCATCAAATCATGAGATAGCTTGCGTCCATGTTGCAGCCTGGACACCAGTCCGAGGATGAAATTTTTGTTCATTTTCGAAAGGCAATATTTTTATATCAACAGCAATCTAAGAGTTTGTATGTATCTTATAACGAAGTCCAGTGTCTTATCTTCTAAAAAATGCATTACAGTCATAAAAATATTGACTAGACTCCCTACAAGCATTCTCGACTGGTGACTAAAAATCGAAGAATTTTTCATCCTCGGACACTCTGTAAGAAAACAGCTATAATTTCCCTAATATTCAATATTTTTCGATTATATCTTCAGCAAACATGGAGAACGATCCATTTAACATGCTAATCCAAACAGCAGATGATTTGGAAACTTCATGAAGGCGTGAGAGATCCCCGCGGTTACCTGGCAAATGTCATCCTCAGCCTGGCCTTTTTAATGCTTTTTCATCCTAATTTCATCATTCAGTTGTAGAACTAGTTTAATGCAATTCTTCAGGGAATGTTTATACAAAAGCAATAAATTAATTTAATTTTAATTTTTAGACATTATTTGATTGATAATATTGTATTATCGAGTGTATTTATCTGCACTTACCTACACCTTTTTATTGTTCTGTTTCTTTTTTTAATCGAGGCAATCACGAAGCGCATGATACATACACTGTGCTGAGATATTTCCATGTGTCATTACTATCATTGCTGATTGGAAAGGAAGGTGCGTATAATTTATCATGTATATTTTTTGTGGTTTTCATGATAGGTGCAGTTTTTAACCTTCTAACATTATTTTGGGACATTTTAACCGATTTGAATAAGGATTTGGTGCATTTGTGTTGAAAGATGAAAATTATGAGCCAGGATGAAAAATTAGCAGATTTCATTAACTGTGATTTTCCAGGCTAATACCGGAAAAATTTTACACTGTCCTATTTCCACATCACACATAGTAATACCCTCCCACTCACACCCTCGCTCGCCCTTACCCGTGTTTTCTCTGAGCACAGGCCGTCCAGCTGCCGTGCCCGGTACCAGAAGTGCAGATCATGCCACGGCAACACCGAACCGTAGAAGAACGGCTCCCCAAACAGTACATCCACAGGCTGGGTTACCGTCGTCTGTACCGACTCCGGGTCGACAAACTGCACTATATCGTCGGCGTCGTTGTCCCGACAGTACATCTCCAGCGCTCGGCGCGTGATGCGACTCGATTCGAGGACGTAGACCCGACCGGCGCCCAGCTGAGCGGCGAGCACGGCGTATATACACCTGGGGAGGGGCATCTGGATGGTCACTGGGGGACATGCAGCCCGTGGATGTTCAGTTATTGACGTCAGAGGTGGTGCGGTTAAATGGCGAAGGGTTGGTTACTCAATTTGTGATGAGGACTCAAAATATTGTGCAATGGGAGTGATATACCTCCATAACACGCCGCAACTCGAATCAGGCTAAACTTTACACTTCTCACATTTCACAGGCAAGTGTCGTTGAGAACATGACACTCATACATCAACAGGTAGTTCAAGGCACAATACGATAGCCAATTTCTCACGCATTCCTTTTGGTTCGACTAATGTGACACAACACTGCAAAAATATTGTCGACTAACTTTAAAACACGTTGTCTGGGCGTAACTCACGCGTCCGAAATGACCATCACGGAGCAGCCGGGCGTGATGGCCTGCTCTAGGGCGGCCGTGTATAATTGGTGGCGCCGCGGGTCGTTCATGGCACCCGCGCGGGTCCGGCTGACGGTCACGTGGAGGCCGCAGAGGCAGATGGGTGCCGGGTCACTGACCTCGCCCGGCACTGGTACGCTGCCGGTAGAGTGGTACGGTTAGTGGTTCAATAATGTTCATCGCTTGATCGGCGAAGATCAGCTTTGTCAAAGTAAGATATAAAATCAATGAATGCAATCAAAATATATCATAACATGCACACGCAGTGACAGGCGGAAGTACCTACTACATACTACAAAGTGAAGTGAAAAGGCTACATCATTTCTCCTTCATTCCCCTGCCTGCCTTGAAAAGGTCCTACTTTTGGCTATTTTATTGTTTTCTCCTTCAATAACGTTTATGTGAAAGTATATGTACATCGCACAGTCATTAGATGGGCCTTGGTACGATCCCTCTTTTCACATACTCCACCCACCCTCCTCCCACTCACTCCTCGCTATCGTTGACGGAGAACCAGAGGCTGTACTCGTCGTGCGACGAGACCAGGTTAAACTCGTCTCTCCTGCGCAGGCGCACCTCTCTCGGCAGGTAGTAGACCGCCTGCATCCAGTGATCGCGCCACGGTATGTCCTCCGGCCCGCTGCCCGTGCGCCCCTGAGTGTCCGGGTGGGCCCAGTAGGGCGCGCACGACAGCAGCACCTGAGAGTTCAGAGGGGAGGAGGGGTCAGATGGGACATGGTTAGGGGGCACTATCCCTGCTGACATTCGGTAGAGAGGTCAGTTTTTGGTAGTTTGGTGGGATAAACATAGGTAAATACTGCGACTAGTCAGAATTACGGGTCAGTTGAGTAGCAAGCAGCAGCCTAGCTTTAAGAATCGAGCACGGAGCACGGCTTGGTTTAGATTCTAGAAGAGAGCAACGCATCATATTAATGAGATGGTGCTGTTCTCGAACAGCAGAAGCTCGCCTCAAGCGGATCCCCACGATTTCACCCACCTCTCCGGCCGGGTCCATGGTGATGTCCCACCACATGAAGACGGCATGTGCGGTGCCAGAGTTGACGGCCTCCACGCGCGCCACCGATGTCCGGTCGAACACGATCGGCGTCCGGTTGGTCCAGTCGAAACTGTGCCACCGGTCAGGGTGAGAAGAATGGTCAGTGTCGGTCGGAATAGACACGCCTGAGGCCAACTGAATCACGTATCGCAGAAAGTGAGCAATTTATCAACAGGCAAATGAACCCAACTGTTTGGTACACAAGTCTGATTTATCTCGCATATAACTCCTCGACAAAAACGAGAAGTGTCGTTTAATGTTTTTAAATTACAGGACGACAAATGACCAAAAAGCTTCTAGTTGACTTCGCCAAAGATGGAAGAGAAGACAGCGAGACTGATGCAAGATTCCTCCCCTTTTGCAAAGACAGATTAAGAGCGCATTCGACCCAATATAAAACCTATACGAGTCTAGCTATGTTCTAACTTGCAGCGTAAGCCCTATGAACCCATATTCTGTCCATTGCCTAGTCCCCAGTCGCCGCCGTCACCCACCCGAACACGGGCACCGGCTGTGAGAGCGCCGTGAAGTCTGAGCTGCTCAGTTGGCTCAGCTGCAGGTCGTGTACGGCCGCCGCGCCGTGGCACTCGGACACGTCATCCGGCACGTGTAGTGAGCCCAGAGGAGAGAAGCGACTCCAGCGGCGCACGGCGGCCGACTGCACCACCTGAGCGTACACCACTGCTGACGAGGGCACCACCAGACTGCCCGGCTGGGGGAGAGGGGGAGTCAGTGAGGTCCCAACTGTACCACCTGGGCGTACACCACTGCTGACGAGGGCACCACCAGACTGCCCGGCTGGGGGAGAGGGGGGGTCAGTGAGGTCTCAACTGTACCACCTGGGCGTACACCACTGCTGACGAGGGCACCACCAGACAGCCCGGCTGGGGGAGAGGGGGGGTCAGTGAGGTCTCAACTGTACCACCTGGGCGTACACCACTGCTGACGAGGGTACCACCAGACAGCCCGGCTGGGGGAACGGAGAGGGGACAGGGACTCAATGCAACATACACCAACAGAGTAGGCGCGACCAGTGAATAGTAAACATTCTTCACAGGTTCCGATGATAATGTACTTCAATCCCCCACAAAGTCAGCAGATCGTCTCAACCCCTCGCAAAATCAGGCAACAATCATGAGCCTCACTCTCTCATAAGCAAGACGATTGTGTTTCCCCGGCCATAACAGGCTCACCCGAGCATGTGCCGTTCAGCAGGAGCACATTCTCACACAATCGTGTATCTCACCTCGAGCAGATGCTGGTGGGCGTGTTTGAACGTCTGCAAGCCGCCCTCTCCGATAAGCTCCGTGTCAAACACCTCGGTCACCAGCAGGTTACAGCGGCGGGACAGGTCTCCCTCGGGCCCCACAGTCAGCTCGGTGGACCGTTTGGGCACCAGGTGCACGCGCTCCGAGAGACCGTTCTGCGCCAGGATGCGGCCGGCACACTCGGCCATCGGTCGGAACGCCTGCGGGCACAGGGAACGGAGTCAGGGACAGGTCCGTGCCACTGGGTTGGCAGGGCGGGGACAGTCAGGTTCTAGATTGAACCAGTGATAAGTAATAAGTGATAATTTGAACCGTAAGTCGTAAACATACAAACAGGGACGAAAAAAGTCTGATCATCATAAATGATGAAGCTTAAACATCGTTAACACACGCTAACTTCTAATTTAGAATACAAGGACAATGATGCATAGATCAACAAATATCATCTCTGTTGACAAGATTGATGAGAGATCACCGACTAACGGCGTCCAACAGACCGATGAGCCCCACGCGAACATTCTCCGGGGCTACCTTACCTCGCAGGCGGTGACCGAGTCGGCTCCCAGGCGACACGCCATCATTGAGAGGAGTCCGGTGCCAGTACCAATGTCCAGCACATGGACGGGCCGGCCGGCCGCGCGCAACGCCGTAACAGCCGCCTTCAGACCCTGCTCGTACTTTTGGTTCTGAAAAAACGGAATAAAAATAATAATAGGAGAGAAGACGAACGTAACTGTGGTACAGGGTGACACAAAAAAACGGTCATCACCAAATTTCGAATACCTAACTTCGGAAGTTTTATTCAGATCATCACCAAACTTCGGCCACTTAAGGTCACACCCATGTAGCATACATCCACCAAGTTTCAAGTCTTCACTACGATTACTTTTAGTACAGTGTGTGTTTTACTGACGCTCCACAATGTGCTCCATCCAGGTGAGCGCCACGGCGTTGCAGGGCGTAGGCACACTTGCATCCGGCGGGCAAAGTTGTCGATAACCCGATGGCTGTGCACTTTACAGAGTGCAATGGCCTCTGGAGACAGTGCTCAGGGGGTGTGCTACCCCTGAAACGTTATTCTTATCGGGTTATCGACAACTTTGCCCGCCGGATGCAGGTGTGCCTACGCCCTGCAGCGCCGGGGCGCTCACCTGGAGCACATTGTGGAGCGTCCGTAAAACACACACTGTACTAAAAGTATTCGTAATGAAGACTTGAAACTTGGTGGATGTCTGCTACATAGGTGTGACCTAAAGTGGCCGAAGTTTGGTGATGATTTGAATAAAACTTCCGAAGTTATTCGAATTTTGGTGATGACCGTTTTTTTTTTTTGTGTCACCCTGTATTATAAATGCAGCTTTTTATGCTGATCTGTTTACAACTTACAATTGTTCATTTGAAAATAAACTACCTAGGTATTACATACAGTGCCTTAAATTTAATGCCATACTACGATTAATTCCCAACAACTCTTAACATCTGACTTCTAGTCTCTTGCCGGTTAACTTCCTTTCTGCCGGTAAACTCCCCCCCCCCCCCCAGCGCCCTGCAATGCCGAATGCGGCCGACTCACCCGCTCGGTGTCGTGCAGCATATCGGCGTACGCCGAGCGGGCCACCTCCTGCTGGTAGTCGTACGTTTCGGGCTGCATCTCCCAGTCCACGACGCCCGTCACGGGGTTTACGCGCTGTGTGAACACGCTCATACCACGCCGAACCGCTGATACCAGCAGCGGCGCCACGCGCATCCGCTTCTGGTGGCAGCTAAGGACCGGTTCACACCACTCCTGCTCTCTGCAGCGGAGTAACTGGCTGCAGCTCACAGAGGCAGCGTGGCTTCCAAGTTCTGATGCTGTTGTAGTAGATTACCTACCTGGAGAAGGAAAAAAGCTTTTAAAAAGTTGTGAATTGCCCAGCACATGTAGCAAGATAGCAAAACATGCCTTACAAATTATCTATTATGTCCCAAACATACTGATTGACGGCAAAGCTAATAAAAGAAATATGAATGAATAATTAAGAGTTAATCATGGAGAGATTGGACAGATGATAACTTGTGTGCAAAGATTCACCGACAACATTGGCAAAGATCTAGACATAAATGGTTGTCGTTGTGGAAAAAAAAACATTTGTATTGAGACGGGTTACACAGCACATTGGGTGGACGCGTTTCGTCTTCTCATTCGTTTGAAAAAGAAGGCTTTAGACATTCGAAACAAAACGAGGAACGAAACAGCTCGAAAGAAAGACACACGATTTATTTCAATACCGAACTCAAAAGTAGCCGAAAGCATCACTCAGAAACTCGAAACTACAGGCTTCAAGGTGGCACTGACCACTGGAAAGAAGATAGGTGAGTTAACTCAAAAGAAAACTTCTAGAAATAGAGAACTTAGCGTAGTTTATCAGGTACCGTGTGGTAACTGCGACAAATCTTATATTGGAGAAACTGGTAGGGGAATCCAAACACGATTAAAAGAGCACAAGCGAGACATACGAAACGACGCCGACCACAGTGCCTTTGTTGTTCACTCACATTCCACTAGTCATTTGCCAAATTGGGACGGGGCAAAAGTGTTAGCGAATTGTGGGAACAAGGGATGTCGGAGAGCGACCGAAGCGGCATTTATTACAACGAACGATACGATCAATACCAGGGTAGGGTTTATTAAGTGGGCAAAATCAGCAGCAGTGTTCAGCATTAAAAACTTGACTTAAAAAACTTACCGTTCGAGTCGTTATAAGTGTGCTATTTTTATTTCTATTCTCGTCGATGATTATGTAACAGTAGCTGTGTACCGACAAATAGTTTTTATCGAAGGTTATCATTTGTAGTAATGCGCATTCTTAGCATGCTGTATTTCAACAGAGTGTGAGACTGCTGTGCTAGTTTTATTCTTGTGTGTTTGTATTGTTTTAATTTCCGAGAGGGTGTCGAAAAAGTCATTTAGACGAAACGCGTCCACCCAATGTGCTGTATAACCCGTCTCAATATATATATTTGTCTATTACTACTCAAAACATTTGTATTTTGTGGAAACATGATGTACCTAGTCAAAATGTGTGGCAAATGCCAAAGAACCTGAAAAATTGATAGAATGAACTGTGATGAAGATTTACACCTGAAAATTGAAGACAGAAAAAGGAATTACTTAGAACACAGATAACAGTAGTACTACTGTGCAATAATTTTAGTAAGCATTGCCAGTCTCATCAGTCAAGAGCCCAGGACTCTCCTCCTCACGAGAAATGAATCTAGCCCACCACGGTATATAGAGAACTCCACAATACGAAAATACAACCTTCCGGCCATGTGATAAATATCACATTCCTCCCATTTCAATTTCAAGCTTTGAAAATTTTAGGGCATGTGTCTGTTTTAGGGCATGTGTCAGTTTCCGACCCAGTTGCCTAGCAACTTGTAAGGATATGGTTTCCGTTAGGACAGCTACGAAGGGAAAACTTCATACGCGGCTCAGACATTAGGGGTTTGGAGTGTGTTGAAATCAAATTGTTGCTCTGGCCTTTTTCCTGTTTGTGAAAATGTTTTTTTTTTTTCAAATTTATTTTTTTCTCAAGTCCAGTCATAGGCAGCAATAAGCAAAATATTTTCGATGGTTTAGGAAAATCATTGAAGGAAAAATGTGCGAAAGTTTCTCTGTGAAAGTTGAAGGGAAAACGCGTGACTATTTCTGCGTGATTGAGACGCTTGCGACTAGACAACAAATATTGGCTAGGTGCTTGTGTATTGTGTAACTCAAGTGTAACTCGTGTATCTATCCCATGCGCGGTGATGTGTCTGTCAAGGGTTCCTGTCAATTTGAGTAATATGCACAAATTTCGAGGATTGTTAGGATAAGGCTGTGGCTCTGGTGAACGTCTTTTTAACCCAGCACATATTGACAGCTAGATGTTCTAAAATCTTCCAAAATGGACGACGAGGATCTCAACAGGTGAGTGTTGGGCGAGTGTCTGACTTGGACTCTTTCAGCTTGCCAGGTGAGTGATTGCGCGTCACTCACTGTTTTTATTCATTCCAGTGAGATTCCTTCCTTTATCACTTTAGTGCAAGGCTCTACTTCAGTGTGATTGTATGCTGAATGGAAATGTCCCCTGCCAAAATGCTAGAAGCCCCAAAGATAGGTTTTGTAAGTGAGAAAATCCAGGCGCAACCATCTTTCTTCTAAAAGACTTTCTTCTAAATGATCAACAGCACCCAAAGCAACATTCTTATGAGCTCAGTGGCGGATCCAGGGGGGGGGGGCAAAATGGGCATTTGCCCCCCCCAAACGGCATGATGTTAACATTACGCCTATGGACGATGCATGGAAAGAATCGATAAATTTCTATGGTTTGCCCCCCCCCCAAAACTCTGAGCTGGATCCGCCTCTGTATGAGCTCATGTTGATCTTGCATTCCATTGCAAGATTAACATTCGCCTGACATGTCCTCCCTTGCCCCCAGGCTGGCAGCCGAAGAGCTTCTCAAGGAGGCAAAGCGTGGTGAGGCTCGCGCCCAGGTGGGTGGCTCGATGGCCTGGCTGCCTGGGACCGTACCCAACACTGACAAACGCTTCTTGGCGAACACCCTTCGTCACACCCTGGCGTCCAACAGGGTGCGGGAGCGGCACGTCGCCGGCCCGTACCGCCGACGGCCGGACGGTGATAGTGGCAGGGGCGACCCGCCCCGGCACTCATCAGCCTGGCAGGGGCACGGTGTGCGTGTGCAGGACCGCCACGAGAGGACAGAGTCGCCGGAGAGAGTGGGGAGAGAGGAGCGTAGTGGAAAGACCAGTGAGAGGACAGAGAAGAGTGGTGCGAGGTGTGGGACTGAGGTGAACCCGCGAGTGAAGCCTGCGGAGAGGCGGAGCAAGGCGAGAACTAAAAACGAGAAAGGAGTGGGCGATGACGCGGCACTAAATCGTTCAAGTAAAAATGCCAAGTTGGCGTCGCGATAGTCAGTTGAAAGCGTTCCAGACGGCAGCGAAGTCGGTGTGATGGTTTCTTGTGTGTCCGATCTCAACTAGGTATACATCTGTACATCTGGTAACTGCTTATATGTTACCTATGCAATTTCGATGCGACAATGCATTTGGATACATTTTTTGTGCACACAGGCGCGCACACAGGATTTTTGAATGGGGGGGGGGCACGACCTTCGAACTGGGCCCCCCATGCCGAAGGCCCCCCCCCCCAAGAAAAAATACGGCCCACGGGGCTATATTTCGGTTGGTTTGAAGCTTGAGCAATTGGTTTGTCAATGCATGGTAAAACAATTATTTCGGTACCAGCTTAATTTTCAAAACATATATTTTTACGCTAGGCTGTTTTTTCTCAAATGCGACTCAGGGCCGGTACATATATGTACCTAATCATCTAATTTATTACGTAAAACATTTCATTATTAAACATTTTTGCAGGTCCCTCAGAAATCAGCCCCGGGCAGCGACTGACTGCCGGCCGGCCGACCGGCCCCGGGTGGCTAGAAGTAGGGGCCGGTCACTGTTTGGCCCGGATGTGTAGGAGCGGGAGCAGCACTCCTTTTTCACTACGTATATTCGCATATTTTTTTAGGCACATCGACATGAAATGTCATTATATCTGATACGATGCGGGATCACAGACTGGAGATCCAGATTATAACTTATATTTAATGATTAACCAATGAATCAAATCAACAGGACTATGTACGATGCATGTCGGACACGTACCCATAATTTCGCCCAAGAGGGGGTCACCTGCTGGTCACCTGACCCCGGGCCCGCGAGTCACCCGGGCGCCCGGGATCAGCTCAGGCAAGGATGTACATACCCAGGACCTTTCGATGGGAGGAGGGAGGCACGGTGGGTCCAGTCTCACTGGCAGACGGGTCTCTTTAAAACGGTCTTTGCATGAGAAAATGTGGGAAATTGGCAAGCAAAAGTATCATTTATGCCCGAGGAGTGTGCCTAATGTACACTAATGCCTAATTTACATGGTATTTTACGAGCGAGCGAAGCGAGCGAGCTCCTCAGAGTCACCGGTGTGTGGCGCGTTCAAAGGTGCCAGTGAAAGGCCGTCAGATGCGCTGGTGTTGGGTCCTCACAGGCGCCGTTGCGGGGTCTTAGGGCTTAGAGACACTGGTGGGGCCATCATTGGCATGTGTGTGGCCCTGCAAAATGGCCTGCAAGTGAAAAGTGGCCCGTCATAGGCTGGCAAGGACACTCTGAGGCTGGTAAGAGGCCCTCAGAGTCACTGGTACGTGGCCCTCAGAGGCGTCGGTGTGGGGACTCTCAGAGCCGCCGATGTAGGCCCTTAAAGGAAATAGTTCACTTTTAACATGGGGTTTGGAACTGGAATAGCAGTTTTGTTGCTTGCGCTGAGACTAGCACAAATCAGAAGCTTTTACGGCCCAACGATCACCCTAGACGAAGATATTCCATTTTTCGTTCCGAAAAGAGTGCCTTGCAGAGGAATGCGTGCCTTGCTGAGGAATGCAGTCACGTCATCGTCAGCCAATCAGAATGCTGCTTACAGCCGATGGGTTTGTCCTACGCAATATGATTGGTCAACGCCAGGGTTGGCATTTTTGCCGGCAAAAACTAGTTTATGCCATTTGCCGGTTTAAACCGGTTTTAACCGGCAAAAAGTGGCAAAAACTGGCATAAACTCAGAAATATCACAATGCTATGCCTAGACATGATTTTGAACAGGAAACATTTTAAGGAGAATTCGGTGAAAGCTTTATGAGCTTTATGCTTTCAAACAGAAGTGACATTAACCATTGAAATGTTTCATACCTAACTCAGAAACATTTTCATGGGCTATCCATAAGGAGCTAGTAAGATCCCTTTTGGGGGTGACAAATGAGCCAGTGCAAGGGTGACTGGGTGAGTCCTGCACAATCAGAAGTGCGAAGAGGTATCTGCCACTGATATGCGCACGGCACCGCATGACACCCTACTTGCCGTGGCCGCCTTGTCCCACTCTCCCCTTACATGGAAATACATTCCGTTGTGGATGTCTACCGACATGCATAGACATTTTACGCAGGGATAAGTAATCAGGCAACTTCAGAATGTTTAGTGCATCTATATAACTACCTGAAATGCATTTGTACATTTCAAATCCATTCCTAACTAGTAAAGTTGTAGGTTTGGCCATCTGAGTTTTAGCCAGTTTTTGCCAGTTCTTGCCACCAGGGTTTCTGCCAGCCGGTTTAAACCGGTTAAAACCACTGGCAAAAACCAGTTTTTGCCACCCCCTGCCAACCCTGGTCAACGCGTAATAAGCTTCCGCGTCAAACATTATTTTATATAGAATATAGTTCTTCTTATACTAAAATATAAAAAAATAATCCTTTTTACAAAAACGTTTTGTCTTATTTTCTGATCATTTTGAGCATAAAAAACATAAATCCATAGCAAAATACTAATTTCAGGAAAGTGAACTATTTCCTTTAAGGTGCGCTGGTGGGGGTCCCTTGGAGGTGGGGCGAGGGGCCTCGCAGTTGCCGTTGTGGGTGCCTTTAGAAACACTGGTGTGGACCGTGTGTCTATCACAGACGGATGTGGAGCCATAGCAGCCAATCCCTCGTTGGCCGTTACTACTTAGGGCCCTGAGCGGCCGGCGAGGTCTCTCAGAAACCGGCATTGGGCCTTTATGAAGATAATTGTGGCTACATAGGAGCCAATAACGTCCCCCCACAAGCCCTGTGGTGTCCTTCCGAGTTGAAGTGCGGCCAGCGCGAACCCTCTGCTACCAACTGGCGCCGCAGGGCCCCTCGGTTTCGAAGGAACCTTAAACCCGAGAACGGGCACGTACCCCCTCGCTCCCTTGCTATGTCACTGAATCCAAGTGATGGGACCCTTTAGGTAATCAGGGGCGTTTCAGATGACCAGGGGTTTTCAATTGATCAGGGGCCCACCAGGTGACCATGGCCCCTCTGGTAGTAACCAGGGACCCCATCAATAACCAGGGCCCCTCAGTAAACGGGGGCCACTCAGGTAAGTGTAGGAGTCCCGCAGATAACCAGGGCCGGCAAGGTTTCTCAGGTCCGTTTTTTGACAAGGCTCTTATTGACTCAGGTGCGAGCCCTTTGCCATCAGCAGAGGGCCCTTTCAAGCCTTTTGAGGGCCGTTTAACGTCTCTTGAGTTCCCATTGAGGCCTTCTAAGGGCCCTTTGAGCAGTCGAGGGGCATTTGAAGCCTTTTGAGGGTCTCTTGACGTCAGCTGAGGACCGTTGGACGCCAGCTGAGGATCGTTTTTGGGCCTTCTAATGGCCATTAGACGCCAATGGATGACCCTCTGACACCAACTGGGGCCCTCTGACACCAGCTAAGGGCACTTTAAGTTTGACGCTAGCTCAGGGCCCTCTGACGCTAGCTCAAGGCCCTTTGACGCTCTTTAAGGTCTTCTGAGGGCCCCTTGAGGTCTTCTAAGGGCCCCTGGAGGCTTTTTGAGGGCCGCTTGACGCCAACTGAGGACTGTTTGAGGCCTTCTGATGGCCATTTGGCGCCAGCTGGTGGCCATCTGGCACCAGCTGGGGGCCCTCTGTCACCAGCTAAGGACCCTTTAGAGCCTTCGGAGAGCCATTTGACGCAAGGGCATGGCCCTCTGACGCCAGCTCAGGGACCTTTGACACCCTTTAAGGCCTTCTGACGTCCGTTTGACGTTAGCTGAGGGCCCTTTGAGGCTATCTGAGGGCCCTTTAAGGCCATCTGAGAGTCCTTTGAGGTCATCTGAGGGCTCCTTAAGGCCATCTGAGGGCCCTTTGACACCATTAAGGGCCCTTTGACACCAGATGAGGGCCCTATGACGCTAACTGAGGGCCCTTCGAGGCCATCTGAGGGCCTTTTGAGACCATCTGAGGACCCTTTAAGGCCATTTGAGGGCCCGTTGTACACTGTCTTCGGTGGTCTAAGGATTAGTTAGAGGCCCATTTGAGGCGGCCTTCGGCCGCCTCAAATGGGCCCCTTCCTTCGAGTTGGGCCCCCCAACTCGAATGGGGGGGGGGCACGGGCCCGTGTGCCCCCCCCCCTTGTGTGCGCCCTTGTGTGCACATTGTTTCATGCTCTTAGGTATTCAAGTGGCTAAGACGTAGCAAACCTCCCATTTTTCAGTGATATAGACAAATTGCATTTGCAACTGTTCCTTGCACTTTGCAGGCTCTGTAAATTGCGCATTGAAGCCGTAAAACTGAGAGTAGGCACCGGAAGACTTATGATTGGTAGAAATGTATGCGAATTTCTGCACATCCTGCAATCGATTTTCAAATGGTGCTTTCATTACTCGGCTCGCTCGGGCGTTGCGAAGTTGAGAGGGAAATGGTATTCCCCATTTCCCAAGGTTGATCATGCTTGGTACCAAGATACGGTAGGTACGCATTTCTTCGTTCGCTGAACTACAATTTTTAGCCGCTAGTTTATTGTGCGCTGTGTGATTTTTCCGGGACGACTGTTCCCGGAGACGATTTTTTTCAGCTCGCTGTTTCCTTCTGGGCACCACACGCTGTCCCCGTCCAATATTACCGGAGCAGCGCCTGGAATGGGGTGACGTTTGTCCGTGACAGAATAAATAGACTGCCTCGTGATCGCACACACCACGGCCCGGGATCTTACTTCTATCATCCAATGCTTTCAAACATTCAAACATTTGCGCAAAGTCGTGATTTCAATAGTTTGTCGTGTACTGATACTCCCGTATCGGCGATGCCACTTGCTGAAACCACCACATTGAACAGCGACCATCTTTTACTGCGCGATGATCACAGTTGACTCTTCACCGTCATTGCATGATACAGATACTGTGGGGGGAGGGGGCATCCCGATCCACCGCTGTGAGCAGTTCCATGCAGCGATTGAGTGGCCCGTGTCGACCGCGTTGGACGGCTATCTCTTCGACACAGCACTGCCGGCGTCAGGGATGCGGACCCCGTCACTGTAACATGGGGGCCGGGAGGGACGGGGTCAGTTGGTGATTGGCGGTCTGACCTCGGTCAGTGGACCAGTAGGTGTGGCAGTTTAATGGGGCTTATGAAGTAAATTTGTCGAGTGCCCCATCTATGGAAAGGTTAACACGAGTTTATAGACATACCGTTACAAAACCCAGCAGGAGTGGTTGCAAATCTGAGGATAGTCAGATGTAAGCAAAAAGTGAACTAGGGTTATCTAAAGATTCTTAATAAATACATCTAAAGGCACACTGCAAAACATATCAATATCGATGGGTGCAAGAATTCTGACCTCAACTGAAGGGGGAGACGCCATCTCCCCAGCTTTCTCCGCCGCCGGACTGGGCACTGCTTGGGATGACGATGATTCCGTTGTATTTGGGCCGCCGTGTTCAGTAGCGGCAGGGTCAACGGCTTCGGCACTTTCTGTGGCAGCGGCTTCGGCTTTTTCTGTGGCAGCGGAGACTAGCCCCGCCATTTCCTCCGAGGGCGCCGGTTCACATGTGCAGAGCTCGTTAAATGTTACTATACCGTCTGCGTCTTGCCGGCAGCACAGCCGTCCGAAGTACTGGCGAAAGGAATGGAAAGACGAGACCGATCAGTAGACGTTTTACGAAGTCAGCATACGCCTCACGCATATTCATTGATCCCTCCATAATAACCGCGTACTACGACATCCAAACACAGCGACACCTGACGAGTTGCCTCACGCTACAACCACAAGATCTGTTGCTAAACGTGTGCACCGTGTCCGTGCAGCAATGCAAACTCGTAAGCCAGCATAATTAAGTCTATGCCTCCCTGCCATAACGCCCTACATACCGCGCATGCTGTTCCGCAATACATATAGTATAGTTTAGTTACCTTCCTCTCCGCTAGATGCCTCTCAGTTATCGCGCCTGATCCATGCTGCACCGCAGTGCAACGTAGTTCTTATCCCACTCGCTAGACGTCTCTCATTTATAGCGCCTGATTCATGCTGTGCCGCAGTGCAGCGTAGTTCTTATCCCACCCGCTAGATGTCACTACAAACAGCGCCTGGTGCATGCTGCACCGCACGACTCCCAGCCTCAGGACCGGAGGCGCTGCGGCGGGCGCTAACACAGGAAGGATACTCACGTGGCTGCCGCTGCTCCGACAGTTGCTGACGCGGTAGGTGGCGAACACATGTACAGGATTCTCGGCGGGGGTGGCGTGACCCACGGCAGTGCAGGCCGCCTCGCCAGCAGCGCCTCTGAGCGGCGAGACGTCCCCGTCGCCACCTGCAATCAGAATCATTACAGCGTTGTCGCTTTTGGGATGGTTATCATAAGCCCGAGAGAATAAGGAAAAGGACATTGATGGCAGTGGAAATGGAAACAAGAACCAGTGGTGTTCCAGTTCTAGTGCATATCTTTACATCAAACAAGACAAAAAGACACATTGAATCAGGTCTAGAGACGGGAAAAAGGTGCGATTATGTTGCTCCTATTTTATATTGGTTGATTGAAAGCAATAGGTAGGGTGAATAGGTCAAAAACGCCCCCCTTAAGCGCGAAACCTTCTGACACTCAACCCAACACAGATTACTTAAACCTTTGGGCACCATCATGTAGCTCATTCTTTTTACTACGTTTTGAGACCAAGAAAAGACACCTGCGTGAAGTATTTAACCCCCCAAAAAGGTTTTCGCATACCCTTGCAAAAGGGCGTTTTGCCCCATACCCTGGGTAATACGCCCACACCCATGTGCAAAGCGCCCCCACCCCATCTATCAACAGAAAATGATGAACATGGCAGAACTTGACGTCATTCTGACGGCATTTGTGGTCAACCTATCATAGCCTTTAGAATAAAATTTTGTTGCAATGTGTAAAATGGATGCCCGGAGGAGTCCTGAAAGTTTGGTGACGATATCTGCAGTCGTTTAGGATATATCAGCAAAAAAGGACAGGGAGAGGCCTTTTCGGCCCCGACCTACAGGGCGCTACCCTGCACTCTCACCACCGTGCAAAACGCCCCCCTTTCAGAAAACTGGGGGCGTCTTGCCCCATGCATCGAGTAGGCGTCTTGCCCCATCCACTCCATTTCCGGTCAACAAAATATTGACAAAAAACGCGCCACTAACGCCGCAGCATAATATATTCAACAGAATGACAATAAAACGCAGTTTAGAGTGATGTGCACAATAGCAAGTTTTGTGATATAAAAAGGGCATCAAAATATTAGGAATCTTCTGTAAAAACAACAAAAACAACACCCAAAACCAGCATCAGCACCTACCCACGCTGCTCCTCAAGACTCAGAACCGGAAATAGAGACCTACGTAAACAAGCAGCTGACTGTTCTGAAAGACAGGATAAAACACCTATCCGTCGATAAGAAATACGATTTTTTTAGGGGAGGCGTTTAACCCAGGGGTGCGTTTTCCCCATAGTTACCCTACCACCATTCTAGCCATATTAGCATTTTTATTTAAAGATGAAGAGACACAGCTGGATCTACTCTCGAAATGTTCTCATTCGATTTGTGCCACAGGCACGCTGGTTACGTTGCTGATAGTGATGCTGCTGGCTTTATGTGCAATTTGGTGTTATTAGCTGGGGATAGGGCGTGTCGATGTCTAAATTGATGAGCGTGGGAGAGCACACAGTCAGTCGACTTTTTCGTACACCTAAGATAATATAAACAAAATTTCAGAACAGGTGCAGAGGAACCGCGGATTGGCGACTGTTTCGACGCGGGCTGTTATTACCTTGTGGCACAAAAGTATACCGTTTCCCCGTCGAGCGGTGCAGGTCACTGACCGTTGAGCAGAGTTTTGCGGGCGGCGCGCCGGCAGGCGGACGGGCACCAGGTCTCGGCCCGCCGGCACGACACCAGGAAATCCTTCAGCACCGGGTCCGGCACGTCCATCAGCAGGGGGCTGAACATGAGCCGGCCCTGGCGCAGGTCGCAGTAGCACGTTCGGCGACTGACGAAGGCGGCGGCCGGCCGCGGCAGCACGATCAGCGCAGCCAGGGCGGCCAGGGTGGTTACCGCCAGACGGCGCTCCGAGCTCCAGATCTGAGGGCAGAGGGAGCCAGCGGTGGTGACGAGATTCACAGGAGGCGAGTAGCTGTACAACTTGAGAGACGGACATGACGACTGAGTAATCTTGAGGTGCGCGATGAAATTCTGGTTAAATATCAAACTTGGTGGACTTGCTACTCAACAGTGAGGTCGTGAGCGAAGTTAGCCCTAGAACGCCTAGGGGGGGGGGGGGGTTGTATCACCCCCCCCCCTGAGGTTTTTTCGAAGTGCACGCTAAACGACTTGTCGTAGCGGGCTGAAATTTTCAATACCCTCTGGGGCAATCTTTGCGCATCTTTTGCCGAAAAAAAATTGATCGGGTCATGTCAGGTCACGGAGTTATGACGTCATAAGAGGTACAGCCTCCGGCCGACAGTTACCAAACGTGTGCGCCGAATCCCTAGGTTTTCTGCCGGTGATACCCACATTGTTTGATGGATCATGATGAAACTTCCCATGCATGTTGGGGCAAGCATTGGCTATCGTATGGTGCAAGAAAATTGACCGGGTCAGGTCAGGTCACGGAGTTATGACGTCACAAGAGGAACAGCGTCCGGTACTATTTTTGAAAAGCGCCCGAACCACTATTTTGCTAATTCTTGTCACCTCAATGGGAATATGCAGCAATATTAGCTTCTATAGGGAGCAAATGGACCTCCCAAATCCAAAAATACAATCAGATTTCAAAAACTTAAATTTTGATTTTTCGAATTTCTGCCGCCGACTGTGACCTTGCCGACTTCCGGCGCTCCCAACGCGCCATTTTTAGAGCTAGGGAAACGAAATACATACCAAACGATAGAGAATTGATCAAGGAACACGATAGTGAAGGTTTCAAGTCGATATCTCCCACCGTTTTGCCGCAATCGCCGCCGAAAGTTGAAAAAAGTCTATTTTTCCGAAAATTTGACCTTTGACCGGTCAAAAGTAGGTCAAATGTTGACCTAGGACCAAAAAATATACCACCATTCGCGAGATCTCGTTGAGAGCAATCCGTTGGTTTTTTCCGCTAAGCTCTACGACCTTCCGTTTCGAAACGCCAGGGGGGGGGGGTCGTAACAACCCCCCCCCCCCTGGTCGTTCGTGTTATGAGAAATGGCCTGGTCGTGCGAGGGTTAGTACACGTGTTGCGAAGTTCACGTGGTGCCACTTGATTTCCAGGGGTCTAGTAGGCCATAACATGGATAAGCGTAGGTACTAACTTGAGAATGTCCAAACGTACCAAGTATGGGGGAAAATCGGCCAAGCAGCTCTCTAGAGGAAAACGTGGCCGTAACGCGCACTCACAAGTCACAAACAACATCAGAAGTCTTAGTCAGTTTTGCGGTCCGCCTATCTAACCACTTTCCTTCCAGACGCCGGGCCCTGCTTATGAACATCACGTTAGTCGGAAGGTACAGCCCTCTGCAGACTGCGTGGTAGGTAGGTATTCTTTTTCGACAAAACGGATAATAACTTAAAGGCTATATTATCAGTCGGTCGGAATTCATGCAAATAGATGTGCCATGCTCCACCCTTTTGATTTGGCCTATCACCAAACAAAGTATACGCCTAGTGTGGCAACAAAATGCAAAATTTTGTTTGGGGGGGGGACAAAAATAAACTTTTAGGCTTTGTTGCCAAACTGGATGGAAAATGTAGACCATGAATGATAAACCCAATCTAAGGTACCGAGTCTCGCACATGTTGGTGTTACGATTTCCGAGTGGCCGATAGCCTGCCTAGCATTCGCGTTATTCCCGGTTTTGTCGAAAAAAAAAAGAATACCTACCACGCAGTCTGCAGAGGGCTGTACGTTCATCATTCCAATATTAAAGGGACACTCCCACCTTAACATTAGTTTTGAGTTGAGATAGCCAAATTGGTGGCGATGGCCTGCAAATACCGGTTTGGGCACTCACAACATCGACAAATGCTTTAATTCGGAGATATGGAATTTCAAACTTGCAGTTTTCGGATTCTAAGGGGCTAGTGCATTGGTATGCCCCCTTAGAATTTGTGACGTCAGCGGAGATCTAACGATTTTTAAATGTTTGACTAAAACGTTTTGTAGCACGCGGTGGTATATGCTGCTAAGCGCGCAACAAATGCCGCACTTTCAAATAAAGTCGCTAGGAACAGCGGAGATTCCAAAAAGTAAACAAAAGTAAAAGTCTAACACCTTGAAAACCGGTGAATATTTTTCGATGAAATTTGGTAGATATTCGTTTTTGCTCTTTCTGAACCTAGCGACAATCACTTTCATGCCAATTCATTAACTTTTTTGAAGGTGGGAGGGTCCCTTTAAAGGTAAAAAAGGGTGGTACGGGGACCCGCAGTTGCTACTGTACACGAACCCCAACTCCAGCCGTCTGCCTGTCCAGTAGGTAACAACCGATAACATTGATATCGGCTGCCGGTCCCTGTACAAGAGCAGCTGAGGTTTTCTGTGCGTGCCCTCTGACAGCTTATCGTTGTTCCGTGTGAGGGTGCTGGGACAATTTACTCAGGGTTGCTGTACAGTAGCAACTGCGGGTCCCCGTAGGGGAGAGTGGGGAAAGATGCCCAGGGTTTTACTATGTCATATATTATTCGAAAATGACGATGGGAAAGCAAAAACTTGGAGTTTCAACGGAAGCCGACATCATTTTTCTCCAAAAATGTCACACTTTCGTGCCTGAAATATTATTACTTTTTTTGCTATTAAGCATTTTCCTGAAGAAGTGAAAGGGGGCATCTTACCCCACAGGGTGGGAAAGACGCCCCCTGACGTTGGGAAAGATGCCCCCTGCACTATAAGTGACATAAATGGGCACGTGAATCGCCTGAACGAATCAGTAGTCCCTTCGAGCCTGCAGTAGACACCAAACGTCATCATAAGGGCCCTCAAAAGTAGTCGTAAGGGGCTTCAGAGGTCATCGTTAGGGCCATCATAGTCCAGCGCGGCCAAACAAGCCTACGTGGTGGCGTTCGGAGACCACCGTGGGGCTCTTATAGGTCTTCATGATGCTTGAGGGCCCTCGAGCCCATCGTGGGAACCTCCGATGCCAGTGCGGCCCGTGGGGCCAACGTGGGAGCCCTCAAAGGATGTCGTGAGGGGCCCTGGAGCCAATAATTGGGCCCACAGAGGCCGTCGTGAGGGCTCTCAGAGTCAGATGCCGCCCAAAAAGTCGCTATGTGGGCCGAGAGACCGGCATGGGGAGCACCCGACCGTACTGGACTCTCAATAGTCCCAGATCGGCTTTTGTCTACATCACAAGTATGTAATAAATGATTTGACGGGCTGTTTGAAGGACAGCCTACGGATTTAGGGGGGCGTCTTTCCCCATCAGGACAGGGGGCATCTTACCCCAAGGTACCGAAGTAACATTAAATCAGTACAATTTGTTAGCCATAAAACTACACCATGAAACAAACTGTTTGGGACACAGTACACGCATGCTAATGTATCACGACTATAGCAAGGGACGCAAAAATTATTCACCTTCTTTGATATTTACAATGTTCTGACACCAAAATATTTTTTGAAAGCAGCAAATAAAAAACATGCAGTCATCAGCCAGCCGTTGCCCAACTGAGCTTCGCAATTTTTTGTGCCGTTAACAGGGCAGGCTTCCGCTTTACGCTAAGAACATTAATTTCCAGGTCCGATTCTTTGTTTCATCGCTAGAGGGGGTGGGGCGTCTTTCCCACCCTGGGCATCTTACCCCACTCTCCCCTACTATACTGAAGCTGAGGTTCACACGGCTTTTGAAGGGCAAACGTTGCTTTTCATGTGATTCAGTGCAGTGTCCAGAATCTATATATGATGCTATCAGTCAGCAAATACATGATAATCCATTGAAGGGATGTCACTCGACCCAACCCAGTCTGTGGCCGTATTCAGGTCGATCATTTTCGTAAAATTTTTCTTACGCATGACCTACTTCAACAATTTTTTAATGACGTGAACTCCGTCGATAAAAACTTGCGAAGCGTCGACGTGGATACCAAATGATACTTACGAAAGAAAATCGACTTACCAAGTCAACGTAAATACGGCCCCTGGACTTCTGCCAGCCCAGAGTTCAAGTTGGGTGTTCATTCGGTAGGTGTATAGAAACGGCTCCTGCAACTGTGCACATGCAGCAGCGCAGAACCCGACTCCATGAAATGCGAAATTTGTATTGGTTTGGATATTGGCATAGCAAACGCAAAAAAAATGAGCATATGCAGATGCTTTTAAACGACTGGGCAATTTGGCGCGAATCTGAGTCCCAATGGAGATGAGTGCTGAATTCATTGACTGCCGCCTACCCTTCTAAGTCACCAATCCATGCTAGTCCTGCAACCCATCCTGGTAACAATTCCCGGAACAATGCTCACTTACCCGCATCGTGTCTCGCTCCTCTTCACGACCAGTCGTCTCCACAACGCCGGGCCCGCCAGCCGACTACGGCCGGGCGGCCGGGTGACCCACGACCGGTCAGAGGTCGCCCCGGGCAGAGGGCCCGCGTCATCAACAAAACTACGTCAAATACGCACGCTTCGCAATCGCAGGCCTCAACTGGAATGTGATAAATGCGTGTACAGCTGTCACACTTATGGGTCCGAAAGTTGTAAGGTGTCAATAGTTAACTGAAATAGAAACGTTCCATTGTATCAAATTGATAGGTCGGTTTGTTGACGTCACGCCGCGTCGTTCCATTTCGATAATAAAAACCGTTGGCACGTAGAGCCGCATCTATATCCAGCCGGGACTGCGCAGCCCACACCCGCGGCTATTTAACGTGTGACGCTTATTGGTTGGCGTTGTCAGATCGGTAATGGTTTCTGTCATATCTGGCCGAGCGCCGAGTGATGTGATGCGTGACCGGGATGGGCCGGCGGACCTCAGTTCACGGCGGCTCATCCCGGCGAGTCGGCGGGCGGCCGCGCTCCGCCGACAGCGATTGATCAGAATCGACCGCGGTCAAGGACGCCCCCGCCCCCCCCCCCCCCCGCTCCGCGCCCCAGGCGGGTTTGTTCGTCTGGCACGGCCAGTCGGCGGCGGCAGCCGGGTTAGGTTCAGGTCTGATTCTTATGTAACTTTCTCAAGGGTATTCATAGAGCGTCATGGAATTATTGTCGGAGCTAGTATGAGCTGATCAGTGGCACAAGATAGAAACTATTAAAGGACAGAAGTTCTTTGCTGGTCTGGCTCTGTTTATATAGTTGACAACTCTGGAGAACCGGTGAAAAACAATCTAACTAAAACGAGAATATTTTAACTCCAGTGGACCAACAATGAACGATATTATTGTCTGTCGTAAATTACCACACACATAAAAAGTAAAGCCGGTCTAAGGTAATTTAGATCTAACATGTAACAACATCCAATGAAATATTCTTCGAACTCAGCAGCATTCTGAAAGCGACCGACAGCAGCAGAACATTGGCAGGCGGAGGTGAGCGGAGCGACAACCGCACGGGATCGATTCATTTCAGTCCGGCGATCATCTGCACCGACTTTCTTTCATCATGCGGGCGTCACCGTCGATTATCGACTTTGGAGCCAACTAACCACAAACGACCTTCGCGCCGGACGCCCAGAAAGGCACCGGAATAATTTTTCATTTTTTCATATGACAGCATGTAGGACGTAGATGGAGCAAAACTGTGTACTTTAAGAAGACGTGGCCGATGTCAAAGGCTCTTAATCAGAAATTGTTAAACGGGAGTTTAGGGCGGTGAACACTTGCATCACTTGCCCCGTTTCTTTGGAAGGCAAATGCTCCAGGACAAGTCACAAATTGGTTTTCCTCTAGGATTCGGAAATGCCAGCTTCAATGACTACCTTTAATATTAAAGGCGTCACCTGAATGAGCAAGCAGCTTTAAATGTCCATGTGAGGATCTCAATTTACTGTGGCCGGGACGCTCATAGGTTTGACACTGCCTGCCGCCGTTTTATCTCCAGGTCCAGTAACGCCGACCCGCTGCTGGGACGCCCCCGGTCCCCATCACCCCGTTCCTCTGAGCCAGTCCGGCTGCCGGTTGAGGCGACCGCTCAGCCAGCAATAAGTCGCCGGCGCCTCTGTGGACCCGGTGCTCTGACCTATCCATCTCCCAGCCTACCAATGGAGATGCCATCCATCGGGGCCGGCCCAGCCCAGTCCCGGCGGCCGCCCCCGTTCGCCGGCATCCATCATCGTCGGCCGGCGTGCCTCGCCCAGCTGCGAGAACCAATTAACCGAGCCGGCCGACGCGCCCCGTGCACTCACCTGACTCCAAGATAGAGGTTAATCTTGTGTCCAGGCGCCGCCGTGTCGCGGTGACGCAGAGTTCGAATGGGGGAGGATTAATGACGCATTTCAGAATGCTTTTACGATTTAAAACCACGAACTATTGCAATTTTTCTTACGAAAAATATGCAAAACTGACGTGTTCTATTCTAGCAAAAATTAACTTGTTGAGACAAAAAAAGAACAACACAATTGTTTAAGAATAGAACATTTAAATCCCATGCCTACGGGATCAATGCATGCCTTGATGATTCCTCATCGTAAAAGCAGTGCTCCAAAGATCTTCAGAGGAGAAGCCTTTACTGACAGGATCGACGCATTAGAGCCTCACCACTTGTTGCCAATATTATTGCACCACGGCTTCCGTTTGCCGAGCTGTCATTGACGTGCTCTGGCCTGGGCCATCTTCTTGTCATATCAGCGCAATAAGTCAGGCGTGTGTGGTGGCACTAGGCCTGAGCCGTCTCATTCTTCTTTCTTTAGCCTAATTAGTAATGCAACGAATAATCCAGGCAAATTATGGGCGCCATTACGTTAGAAATAAGTAGTTGGCATATATCTAATTCGTTTATCTGCAGTCCTGAAGAATGTTTTTTTCACAGCTTGCCTGCCTCACACGTTTAGCATAGTTAATGAAACGCATCTCAAACTATGCGAATTTAGGGCAGAACTATTACGGCTTGGAACTCTTTTTGTTTTCCGTCAGCATACCCAATTACCATCAACTTAGAAGAGGCACCTCTGCCAATCTTCGGGCGTAAATTATTTCAGCCGACTGTTTTTCAACTGTGAAACGAGCTCTTCACACGAAGCGGAACAAATCTAGCCGGATACCAGAAGACGACAGCAGATGTGCGGCTACCTACTTTTGAGAGACGCAGCATGACTTCCCAATGGATTTCAGTCAGGGCAGCTTCAAATTGAACACCTGACGTGGACTAAATTAATTCTTCATTTGAGTATATGAGCACCAAATCCACACGACCACAGCGAAATTCATTTCCATAACTTCAGCAATCATTCAGCATTCCACTGACGCAGAAACACTGTAACATCTTAGCAGCGCAGAACTTCGCCGGCTAGCAGTCGCACATTTGTCACTGGCGGCCCTGCTGACGTACGGAGCAATTCCTCTCACACGGAACAATCACATACGCACGGAACAATCACACACGCACGGAACAGCCCCGCTCACGAACAATCCCACACATCACCACAAGCGATGCGTGCGAGGAGCTCCCGCGACACAGAACGTAATGCAGCCGTCCCGCGCCGGGCTGACGGCCTGAGGAGCGGCCGGGGGCGCTGATGAGTTTCATTACGTCCAGCTGCGCCACTCATTGTCACCAGATCGAGCCGGCATGACCCGGACTCTGCGAGAGCCGACAATCGTCCCGATCCGTGTCAGCTTGTCCATTTCCGCGGCGATGTTATCACCACTGCCGCGTCACGCCGCCGTTTCCCGAGACACCGCATACCCGCTAGAGACAGAGGTTACACGGCCGTTACCCGTGGCCGGAATATAGACCACCTCACTGGGGCAGAACGAGTCGCGCGGAGACGCACCACCACTGGGAGGAGTTCAGCCGCTAGCAGAGCGAGCTTTATGGTCAGATTTGCCGAGAATGTATTCTCGTCTGGCGGAATTGAGCCGGCCGGACGACAGCTGGTATGGACGTGGAACGGACGACTGCCGCGCGCCGCTCCAGCTGTGTGAACTGCGTATGAGGCGCCAGCGGCGGCGAGGGTGATGGCCTCGTATAGTTGAACATTGTATGACATTGTCACTATGATTATTGTACGCAAGATCAGCACATAGCTTTAGCAAACACCCATGATAATTGGTAGATCTTTTGTTAAATAATTGGAAGAAAATAACGTAGCGACCGTATTGAGCTTATTGTAAGTACTTGCCTTATCCCTGTTGATAGTAAAACATCCACAGTCGTAAAATAAGCAAGAGTTAACCCGCGCCGGGCCGGGGGGGGGGGTGTTTGAACACCCCCCCTGTGGTTTTTCGCAGATATCTCAAAAACGGCGGCGCGGAGCGCCACTGTTTTTTGCACACCTGTTCGTGCATCTTTTTCACACATGTTGTAAAAATTTCAGATCCAGGTCGCCTTAGGCCAGGTCACCAGGTCACGACAAGTGACCTCACCTCAGAAAAAAATAAGAACGCTGGTCATAGCTACACCGACTGATCGATTGCCTTAAAACTTTCAGCGATTGATTAGAGCAGCATTATCTATAAAATGTGTATCTCGGAATTTTGATATCGGTGACCTAAGGTCAGGTCAATTTTGCGGCCTCTCCATTATAAGTCAATGGGAGAAAATTGAAAAGCGTCTGTTTTGCACGAACGCTATTCTAGACACTCTCAAACATCGAGATGTAGGTACAATTGACACACTGAACCGGAAAATGGCAACTGTGACCCCTCGTTATGTCCCCGAGGTTATCTCAGGTCACGAACAGAATCTAACAGTTTTCCGCTAATAACTTCTGATAGAGGCGTGCTAGAGCGCTGAAAACGCCCTAGAAGTGTTCGGCTCGACGTTGCGGATCGACTGACATGCAACATGACCTTTTCCGGTCAGGTCATGGTCTTGACCTGAGGTCAAATTTGCAAGTTGACCTTTCAAGGTCAAATTATAGTTCATTCGACGCGTCTCAACGAGAGGAACACGATGCTGGCAAAAGTAATGCCATGACTCTTTTGAGTCAAAAGTTATTGCCGAAAAAACGCTTTTCGTAAAAACAGCTATTTTTGGAGTTTTTGCCCTCTGGAGGCTAAACCGTTCACCTGACGTCAAATCTGAGAACATCTCTCAGAAAGGTCTGTAAAAGGGCTATCGAATGCGCTTTTCTGCGGCGCCGTAGCTCTATTGGTTCCCGAGATAGCCGTGGGCAGTTTCCAATATGTTTAAATAGTCAACATTTTACCTTTGGTGACCTCTGGTGATCTGACCTTTGACCTGACCTAAAAAATGACCGAAGTATTTTTGTCCTTATTTTGGACGTTCTTTCGATTGCCGCTTACCGCGTGTCGCTACGTGGCCCACGAGCGGAGTAAGAAGGGGGTGTACAGACACCCCCCTCCCCCGGCCCAGCGCGGAATCGAGCACCGGCCCGGCGCGGGTTAATATTCACTCTTCATAAGTACGTACATCTCACACGACAATGCCACTATTTGAAGATCTACGAGCAGCATACATACACGTCGCATGCTACAGTGAGTGGTCTCGAAGATTAGTATCACAGTGTGTCAAAACTAGGTCTGGCAC